GTGCTGGCCGCTTTTCTGGTGTTGGTGGGGGTCGTGGTGGATGGTGGTGTTGGCAAGTGTTCTCGTGTTGGTGGGGGTTGTTGTGGGTGGACGGGTGATGGTGGGTTGTGGTGCTGGCCGCTTTTCTGGTGTTGGTAGGGGTCGTGGTGGGTAAGTGGCTGGGGGTCGTGGTGCTGGTGGTGTAGGGTGGTGGCTAGTGGTGTGGTGGCTGGCGGACGGTGGTGTGGGGTGGTTAATTTATTGTTGAAAATCAGAAATTGTAATTTTTTTTTGTTAATTTATTTTTTTTTGCTGTTTAAAATCAGAAATTGTAATATTACAACAATTAATTAATAAAAATATTAATGTTTTTATATATTTTTTGATTATGTATCAATTTAAAAACCAAAAAAAAAAAATTAAATTTTTAATACCCCTAATGAGCAGCAGTTTGGCGCCAAAACCGCTGCCCTTTCACTACAATTGGCAAGCGGTTCAGAACCGCTTGCCATTTTAAAGACCAATTGGCAAGCGGTTCAGAACCGCTTGCCATTTTAAAGACCAATTGGCAAGCCCCCTAAAGGCATGCGGTTCAGAACCGCTTCCCATTAGGGGGTTTGAACCGCTTGCCATTACTTATTTTCTACTAGTGGATTTTTGAATTGTTGCCATTAGAAACAAGTCGTCTAAAATTTTGTTGCTAGATGATAACGTATTTTTTTATTTGTTGCCATTGGAAACAAATTGTATTACATTTTGTTGTTCATTTATATGTAGTTCAATTTTTGCTATTATGTATAAAATTATTTGAAGACACTCTTCTTATTATTTGTTGCTATAATGACATCAAATAGAGACGAATTTCAATTTCGTCTCTAATTTAGAGACGGATTATTTATTTTGTCCCTAATTTAGAGACAAATATTTCAATTTCGTCTCTAATATTTCGTTCACTTATTATAAATTATATGTATAGAAGTAAACAAATGGTATTTTGTATAGTTGGTAAGAGATTCACCATGTGACTTTGAGGTCACAAGTTCGACTTCTACCAACTGCGACTCTTGAGACAGGGGATTCAAAGAGCCTTACATGCAAAGTCGAGCCAAGTTGACCTGACCTGAGTGAGATTTCAAATTGGTAAAGGCCTGGATCGGGTTGAACCGAATAGCTAATAGGGATTAGGTTTTTGTCTCGTAGTGTTGATAACAACCAATATTTATGATTTGTTGCTATTTTTATGAACCAACTTTAATAATTTGTTGCTATTTTTAGGAACCAACATTAATAATTTATTGTTATTTTAGGAACTAATATTAATAATTTGTTGCTAATTTTAGCAACGGCCAATAATGGTAATCTGTTGCCAAAGTTGGCAACGAATGCACCAAAAATAGCAACCATCATGGAAACCGTATTTAAATGGATGCAATATTGCAACAAAATTGCTTTGCAACTGGTACCCAAAATCCCATGCAACAAGCCTTTTTGCAACAACAAATTTTTGTTTCCAACCTGTAGGGAATATTTTCAAGCCTTTAAAATCCCACTAACTTGAACCCCACTGTGATCATACACTAAAGTGCGGTGGCGTCCAAAATGGAAGAAGATAGAGCAAAAGAGTCGCCAACAAGTTTTTTAGGAACTTGTAAACCGTTCACGAGGTGAAGGTTACACCCCTTAATGATCCAAGAGATCGTCAACTCCATAAGGTCATGAACCAAATAAGGGTTCAGGGATGAAGGTACAAATCCAACCTAAAAGAGATTGAACCTGCCCTAATAATAGGCCTCTACTTTATTCTGATCGTATTCATGTGCGCTTTCCAATTAACATGCAATCAATAGGATTAACCCTAAATCTGTTTATCTATGTTGGTTGAATATAATGCACAAATAAATCTATTATTGGTGATCACTTGAAATTATAATCAAATTAATCCTAAACAAGATTATTAAATATCGTATCAAGCGTGATTACAAGTATAGATTCCCTTTAAACATGCATAAAGGTGTGATCAAGCAATAACAATAAATAGCATCAAGCAACATAATAAATAATCATTAATAATCATGACAATAAATTATAATCATAATCATAATCAAAATAACAATAATAATATTCATGATCGTCATAAATCATAACAATCATAATCATGTTCATGTTAAAGCATGACAAAAATAGCAAGATCCTAGGCATGATACTAACAAGATTAATAACAAACCCTAGCATTTCACTAAGCAATAAAAATCAAATCTTTAGCCCTAACATGATACTACAATCATAAATATTAGGAAGAACATAGGAAGCATCACAATAATCATATTTAATATTAAAATTACCCTAGACATGATACTAGGAATATCATAATAACAATATAAACATGATCTCTACATCACAACATCAATAAATCAATTAAAGTACTTACTTTGATGCCTCGTACCTCTTTCTAATAACAAAATACACACGTTAGTAACTTCAAGGAAAATAATAAACAAACAATTAAATTAAATAATTGAAATAGAGATTTGGGACCAAACCCTCAGAAATTAAAACCTTTCACGTCTAGGGCAAAGGCAACTTCGAATATGACTAGGTGTTTCTAGATCTTGTGAATGCGGAATTTTGTATGTAAAAGCAAAGGTTTAGAAAGAAAGAATTGAATGTTTAAGAGAGATGAATGATTTTAGAGAATGCTAAAGAATTAATGATTGTTGATGAATGATGGATATGAAATGATGAATGAAAACGGAGTTTTTAATACGATATTTATAGAGAAAATCAGCCAAAAAAGATAATTAACAAAACAGAGTCTGACGCTCAGAAAACAGGACTGGCGCCAACCCTGGCTATCTGGCGCCAGACACCACCACTAGCGTCAGGCACCAAGGCCTGGGGTTGGCGCCAAGCCTGATACCAACGCGTTTTCGAAAATCCGATAAGTTTACCGTACTGGAGGATAAAATAATATAATTTCCTCAAAAATGCTATTTGATTTTGATTAAAACTCTGAAAAGTCAACAAAAGTCAATTTATCAATGCTAATTGGATTAGGAATGAAAAGAACCTTCTAGAAGAATCTAGAAGACTAAAACCATTCCTAATTGCATTAGGAATGATAAATCATATTGGGCCCTCCCCTAGATCATTGGGCCGTATATAAAGCTCAAACCGGGCCCAGTTTGGTAAATTGGTCATAACTTCCTCAATATTCATCAGAATTGGGCTTATAATATATCGTTGGAAAGGTCTTTGCAAGCCCCATCCAACTACACTACTATTGGACCCATATCATGGACCAACCAAACTGGATTGACTGTTTTCTTAAAATAAGTTTTCAAAAACAGAGAGAAGAGAAAAGAAATTAAAACTTTCCGCAACACTAGAACTTTCCACACTTTCGTTTCATTCGATTATGATTCGACGTGAAAGGTACTCATCACTGGGTTTGGTTTTGGGGAGACACAAATGGGTGTCTACACAACCCGTTGCTAAATAGAGTTGGCAACGAATTTTTGATGAATAACAATAAATTTTAGTTGATGCTATATTAACATAATTTTGTAGTGAAGTTTTTTGATTTATTTCTGTTTCTGTTATGGAGATGTATGAAGAAGGCATTCATTTTGTATTAAAAATCAGAAATAATATTATTTCTTTCATGATTATTATTTGTTTAGTCAGATATTATATTATTTAGGGCAGGATATAAATCATATTTCTCAGAAAATTATTTTTGTTGAATTTTTCTAAAGAATTTTAAAATTTAATTCAGCTATTCGTATATTATAGTCAGATATAAAATAATTCTAGTCAGATATTACTATATTTTAGTCAGGATTTAAATATTTTCAAAGTTTATTTAGTGTTAATATATTATATAAGTTATGTCAGTTATTAATCTATTTTTATCAGGCATAATAATATATTAATCCATTTTTAGATTATTTTGATCAGAAATTACATGAAATTCATAAGGAATTACATGATATTCAAATAAATTCATTTTATAGTCAGATATTAGATAAATAATGGCAGTAATTAATAAATTTTTGTCAGGTATTATAGAGTCAAAGTCTGATATTATATAACTCATGTCAGTTATTAATCTATTTTTGTCAGGCATAACAATTTGTTAGTCAGAAATTAAAGTCAATTATAAATCTATTTTCTTCATCAGTTTTTATATTATTTTCATCAGATATTACATGATATTCATTAGGTATTAGTAAAGTTATAGTCATTACTTAAACAGAAATCAAATAATTTCATTTTACAGTCAGATATTATATAAATCATGGCAGTAATTGACATATTTTTGTCAGGTATTAAAGAGTTAAAGTCAGATATTAAATAACTCACGTTAGTTTTTAATTTATTTTTGTGAGGCATAACAGTTTATTAGTCAGGTATTAAAATGTTTAAATTAGATATAAAATTTTAGTCATCTATTCGTATATTATAGTCAGATATAAAATAATTCTTGCCAGATATAACAATATTTTAGTCAAGATTTAAATATTTGAGAGTTTAATTAGTGTTTAGTATTTGATATTTTTAACTCAGAAATACATTTAACTTAGACAGGAATTAGAAAATATTAGTCAGATATAATTTGTTTTATCTTAGGCATTGATTGATTTAAGTCAGGCTTAATATTTTTTTCAGGTAATACATTATATAGTTAGTTTATAATTATAAGGAATTAAATAAAAAATTCAAGATTATTTTATTTGATACAAAACATATCCCAATATAAAATACAAATACAAATATTAAGCTGAAACTGCTTACCTCTGGTATGGAGTTGCTCATTGCAAGATCTTGATCAGTGAAGATTGATTTTGGTTCAATTCCACACATTGACTTTTTGAAATTTGAAAGCAGCCAAACAAATGTATCAGTCTTTTCATCAGTTATGAATGCACATCCAAACATTGTTGTTTTCCAGTGATTGTTTATACCAATAAATGGAGCACATATCAACCCATATTTGTTTGTTCTATATGTTGTATCGAAGATTAAAACATCACCATAAGCTTTGAAATCTTCAAGCATTTGGGAGTCACGCCAAAATAGCTCACAACATTATTTTCTTCTCCAAATTTCAATCTATAAAAGAATGAGGGGTCTTGATCTGCTCTTTCTTGAAGGGTGTCTAATACATTTTGCATGTCTCCACCTTCAACCATACTCATTTTCACCCTTGATACATAATTAAGGTGATCTCTCTTAGTATGACCTACACATTCTTCTCCTCCAGCTTCATTTCTTATATAATTATAAGCATCCATTGGTTTGATACCACTCTCAATCATGCTCTCAATTAGCTCACCCATTGGAGCTGATATTTGCCTTTCTGATCTTAAGTGATGTCTTTGAACTGTTATTACCAGTTCATGATTATGTTCCAACTCATGTGTAAGAACAACAAATCTATCTTCTGTATTTTTCTTAAAACGAATATGAGCTTTGCATCCAGTTCTTGTTTCATTTACCTCCCATTCTTTTCTCTTTCTTTCATCAGTTTTAACTAATATGGGTATTTCTACTGATTGTTGGTCACCAACTATCTTCATTTTACCCTTTGTATGTCCTTCTTTAGAGCATCTAAAATAAAACTCATATAGTTTATCATTGGTATCTCTTCTTTTTGTTGATTTTCTGACACTGAAACCAAGTGATCTTGAATGAGCTTTGTATAAAAAAAATCCATCATTGTAGTCCAACACAGTATAACCTACTAAACATCTACTTATGTTTTCATCCTTGTCATATTTGAAATAATCTGCAATAAAAGTAAATATAACTCATATCATATCGTATTTTTGTCAGGAATTACATTATTATACACAGTAATTATTTTTTTTTAAAATTTATAATACTCAGGAATTAGCATTTCTTAGTCAGAAATTAGAATATCCAAATCAGGAATTACAATATATTAGTCAGGAAATAAATTATCACAGTCAAGTATAATATTAGTCAGAATAATATTAGTCAGGAATAAAATAATAAAAGTCAGGAATTATATAGGAAATGAAAAAGATATAGATAGTATTAGTCAGGAAATAGATAATAATAATCAGGTTTCATATAATAATAGTCAGTTGGATTTTTTAATTTAGTCATAAATACATTAAAATTGTAAGGAATTAGATAATAATAGTCATAAAATAAATAATTATAAACAGGTTCAATATAAAAATAGTCAGTTAAATTATAGCATACAGGAATTAGATTTTTCAATCCAGTAATAAACATTTTGAACTTGTCAGAATCAGATTATTTTCACAAATTACCAAATTAGTCAGGAAATAGATTCTATAAGTTAGAAATTATATTGTTTTTGTCAGAAATTAAACTATATTAAACGCATACATCATTAAATTACAGAGCATTTAATTATCAATATACCTATTATAGCAACATCTTCATCTCTTTCTTCAGCATCTCTTTCTTCATTGATATTGTCTTCTATAATTACATTATCTGCTGCATACATTATTAGCATTAGTATATTTGAATTTTACTTTAAAATTATCAGAAAAATAGATTCAAATTTAAATTAATTTTCTACGACATGTTATATATACAATTCGAATTAAAATAGCTTTTATTGCAAGTTATTTGTCGAACTTAAATGCTATCGGAATATAATTAGCATTGATTTTAAATTATAAGTCGAAATTAACTACGATTTGAAATTGAATTAAATTATGCTTCATTCTAAATTAATAACGATCTGTAATTTCATAAGCATTGATTGCATATTATAGGTCTAAATTAACTCGAATTTACATACGATCGGAAATTAAATCGAAATTTTATACGATCTGAAATTCAATATGGCTTGCATATAAATTATAAATCGAAATTCATCATACAAATTCACTATTACATTTCACAAATATTATTTGAAATATTAAAACAATCTGAAATTATGAATTGTAATTTACCTTTTTCAGCAGTAATTGAACTAGAAATTGATTCTATGGGTGAATCAGATTCTACTTCATTCATCATTGTGTTGTTTGATTTCTCCATTTTTTTGATTTGAAGTGTTTGAAATTTGAAGATTTGAATGCTCTGAAATTTGAGGAAATGCAGTCGTTGAATTTCGTCGAAATGAAGAGTGTGAAGTTTTGAGAAAATGACGGTGCTCAAAATTTTAGGAAAATGATTAAAACAAAAAAATCAGACATTTTATTAAATGGCGCGCGGGCTTTGGTCGAGTTTATCAGGCCCGCGCCTTTTTCATTTACAGCCTGATCTCACGTGAGTCCAGTCTCACGCAAAACGTTTTGATGTTTATTTTTACGTCCTTGTTGAAACTTTTCAAGCAAAGCAATAGACAATTGAATTCAATCACAAATTCACAAGCATAACACGAGCAGACAACATTGTTACTTTATGACATTTTTTCAACAAATGGCAGCCCCTAATTTTACGTACTATTTATGCAAGTATTGCTGATATAATTTGCTATATTTTTCTTAAAAAATATATAATTTGCTATATTTAAACATGTGATTAAATGAATCTGAAGAGATTATTGGCTTTATTGTAATTAAGCACGTTGAAAGCCTTCCGCTTTTTCTACGCTAGCTAAACTGAGAAACCAATATAAAAGTATTGTAATTGACTAATTGAGCAATGAGCATGTTTGAAATTTAAAGTTAATTATGCTTGGCTTTTATTTTCTTGATCTAAGGCAATTTCAAATCTCTCCAACTTGCATTTTTCATATAATCAACGGGCTCAATACCTTTTAGGAGTGTTAATGGCCATAATCATACTTTTATAATATCATGATAAATCTTAACTTTTAAGTAGGAATTACACTAAGTAAAAATGTTGAGCCCATGAAAAAACCCCATATGTGAGTGGTGTGTTGTCCCACATTGGTTGAGTTTATAAGTAAGAATTTGTATTGGGATGTGTACTGTATCCCACATTGAAGAAATAAAAAAAGTTGTGTCCACTTTATAAGGCTAAGGGGCTACTCCCCTCATTGCCATATGGTTTTGAGATAGAACCTCCTTGATCGTATAAAGTGGACAGTTATGTCGGGTGTAGCCCTGGTTTGTTAATCAAAAACTTTGCATAATAAGAAGAGAGTTTGACAACACAATGTCAAAAAAAAAAAAGAAGAAGAAAGAAAGTAAGCTCTTTATTGTTCTAGATAGGGGCTTTGTTTGGCAAATGGCTGTTGGCTGGTTCACTTGGCTTGTTTGACCAGCTGGAATGTTTGGCTGTTTATAATGGCTTTTGAAATTGGCTGTTTAAGCTGACTGTTTATAAAAGTGTTTGGTAAATTAATTGTTTGTTGTTGGCTATTTATTAGATAATTTGTGGGCCAACAAAAAAGCTACTCAAAGCAGTTTTTTCATTTTGGCTTAAAAGCTAGCTTTTTCGCGGACTAAAAAGCCAATTATCAAGCACATTTTTTGGCTGTTTGACCACATAAAAAAGTCAAAAGCCAAAAACTAACCAAAAAGCCATTAAAAAGCCAATTACCAAACATGGCCAGGATTATTAGAGATGTCAATGGGGCAGGTACAACTTAAAATCCACCCCCGCCCCATCACCCATGGCGAATATGGTTTTTATCCCCATCCCCGCCCCACCACCCGCCAAACCAAGATCCATGCGGGGATGGGGCGGGTCTCCCACTTGACCTGCCCCACTGAATCCCTAAGGATAATAGTCTCAACTCTCAAGTCACATGTGGGTTAACTTAATCAATTTAGAAAAAAGTATTTTTTATATGACAATTAAAAAAAGTCTAGATTCAATCCTTCAGATAGTTTGTTACTTTACCTTTTTTTTTCCAGATCTAATCAGTTCAAATAAGTTAAGTTCGAAAAAAATAGGTTTTAATAAGGACTACTGTACGAAGTACAAATTACTATGAACATATATAAGTTTAGAAAAATGTTGTCCATCAATCTTAAACAACCAGAACCGTAAAGTAACATAAAAGAAAAATATAGTTGGAACTCTTAAAAGATTGTCAATATGGAATAGAGGGACTATTGGTACCGAGGTAGAAAGCTATATAACCCAAGGAATAATAGAAATTTCTTCACCTATTATCAACATTAAGGGGCCGTTTGGTTGGGGTTAATCATCAAAGGGAATGGAAATCAACTGCCCTCATTCCCTTTGTTGTTTGTTAGACCATTTTTCCCATTCCCTTCACCCTATTCATTCCCCAAATCCCTCTAACTTTATTTCCCACCCCCTAGGTATTTTCATTCCCATTCTCTACCCATCTTCACACCACCATCGGAAAACCAACCCACCTTCATACCTGACCACCGCCGCCCCTCCCCCCACCACCGCCCAGGCCCGTATTTGGGGCGGGGCAGGTGGGGCGGCTGCCCAGGGCCCCAAAATTTAAGGCCCAAATAATGCAATATGTTAAAAAGAAAATTAATACAGAATGCGTATTATAGGAAATTAGTCAAACCAATTGAATGCTTTATTAGTTATTCCCCTTGAAATTTCCACTAATCAGCTATCAATACTCCTTGAAAATAGCTCCTTCATTTTGGGAAATTGAATTTTCCAAATTCATTCCCCTAATCTAACTAAATTCCTCCGTATTTTTCACTCCTTCCATTATTACCTTTGTTTTTTCTGATTTTTTCATCTACCTTCCTTCCCAAATTAATTCTCAATAAAACGATTTCCCCCATAAACATTTTCTCTACATACATTCAATTTATAATGGGTTAACAAAATTTTAAACCTAAATATTTTCCTATAGTTATACTCTTTCAATTGCTTTCACATACGAGTATCAATTTTTCTTATCAATATTTTATACGAGTATTTGTTTATGTTTTTTTTCACCGTTAAGTGTTAAGTCTTATTTTGGATTTTCATCCTTGAATTTTGAAGATGAATTATTGCTGTCAGTCATATGAGCCATTATCCTAAATTCATTTCTAAGTTGTAAGTTCATCAATGTACTATTTTTTTCCTGAAATTATAAGTATTTCTTTTATTATAAATTTATATTATTGAACTATTCAACTGTACATGAAAATTTTCTGAAATATTCAATTTTAGATTAAATTATACGAATTATGATTAATAAAAACATGGATAAACTTTTACTTTATAAATTAATTCAATAATTTTTTTTTTTTTTAATTTCATACATTAACTAAATAATTCGTGTTTTAATGATTTTGCATCTAGGAAAGCTAGAAGAAAATGTTTGTAACTTTGTATAAGCGTTATAGTACAAATAAAATTTTATGCTTTAAATAAAGTGTTGCGTATTTTATTTAATTGCATACCCGATTTTTTTTATAAAAAATATACATTCTAATCTAATATTAGCAATTAGGGCCCATTTTTATGATTCGCCCCTATGCCACCAAAATCTCAGAAACGGGCCTGCCACCGCCGCCCCTCCCCCGTCCCTCGTCGCCCTCCCCTCCCTCGCAAAAACATCCCACATCCCCCGCAAAACCCTAGAAACCCCTCCCTATCCCCGTAAAACCGCCTCCCAGCCCTCCCACCATCTCTCGAAACCTTAGCGGCTAGGGTTTCGAGGGTAGTGGGAGGGCTGGACGGTGGTTTTACGGGGATAGGGAGGGGTTTCCAGGGTTTTGCAGGGGTTGTGCAGTGGGATGTTTTTGCGGGGGAGGGGAAATGTGTGAGGGCTCGAGGAGCGGCGGGGAGGTGCGGCGGTGGTCGGAGAGTGGTGGAGGAGGCGAGGCGGTGGTCGGCGAGTGGTGGAGGAGGCTCGGCAAGTGATGGAGTGGCTGTGTGGTGGCTGGAAATTGTGGGAAGTGAAGCAATGTGGTGGTGTGGTGGTTGGACTGGTGGCTGTGTTTCCTTTGTTATTCAAAACAAACAACACCCCAAATTTGGGGGATTTTCATTTTATTACGATTCTTTTCCTTTGTTCATTCCATTCTGATTACCCTTTGCGAACCAAATGACACCTAAGAGTAGTGAAGTAGTCTTACACACATAGCTAGGGTCGTGATGAGCTCACTATTAAGAGCTAGAACTAATCAGTGTGGCTTAGGTTTCTGTATTTTTGCCATTATTAATAATCCCATAAAGAATCACTCCAACTTCCTACTTACTTCATAAAAAATTATAATAGGTATGATCTTTTTGTCTATCTTGCATCTAAAACACATTCCAAAATCCAAAGTAGCATAATATTATAATGAGCTAGATACTATACATGCATTATTAATCGTCCTCAATTATTTGAATTATTATTCCAAACATTTATATATACATTTAATTAAAATCACTATAAATTGCTATAAATCACGAAACCTTAAACAAAAATCCTAAGAACAAAACTTTACTCCTAGACTTGATCAACCTCGTACTAATAATAATAATCCATGGACCACAATCCTCCAACTTCATCGAATCCCTTCGATTATGATTCAATTTCACTAGATGATGAGCTAATGCAGCTTATCAGTAATGCTTTTCCACAAACCCCTCAAAATTATGATGTTTCAGCTTTGTTAACTACTTCAACAGAGAATCAAGCTCAATATAGTCATGATAATTTATTGACTTTTAGTAACTCATTTCAAGCTTCAACTCAACTACCTCAACATAATAATGTTGTGGAGTTCAACTTTGCCACAGCCCCCGCCCCGGCCCCAGCCCCAGCTCCAGCCCCGAGTAAGGATGAGGCCGGGAAGAAGAAAGCGAAGGCCGTGGAAATTGAGCGGAAGAGGAGGCATGATATGTCCTCCCTCTACCAAGAACTTCGGTCGTTACTACCTCCTGCACTTATTAAGGTTAGTACTACTTTGTACCTCGTATACTTCTTGTAAGTGGACCAATTCAACCAAAATCTTAAGCTGATGGTTGAAAGTGGGGGTAGATGAGATTCGAATCCGTATCCTTCGTGTCACGCTGACTCTGATACCATGTTAGTGGACCAACGCAACCAAAAGCTTAAGATAATAATGACCCAGAAATATGTTTTATACTCTATTAATTATATTACTCTTTCCATTTCAATTTGACAATCTCATTTTGACTTTACGCAGTTTTTGAAATGTACCTTTGACTATCAATATCTTCATTGTTAATCGACCTAAGGTTTTGCATTAATTTGACCATTGTTCTGTCTGTAATTGCTTTGTTACAATGTTAGAAAATTTAGCCTCTATATACTAGCTTATCCATTTAAGATTGAGTAAGGCAGTATTTTGCTAATGTATGTGTTGCATTGTCCGATCGATGTAGCAGAAGAAGCGGTCGATTTCGGATCTCTTGCAAGTGACAACAAACCATATAAACAGCATGGAGGAGGGAATAAAAGCACTAAATGATAAAAGAGATGAATTATTGAAAATGACATCAGGTGCTGGAATAAGTTCAAGCAGTAGTAGCACTTCTAAACGGCAGCAAAGTCATCATGTGACAGTAAAACCTTGTAAAGATGGACTAATTGAAGTTATTGTTCGTACAAGTGCATTGGATGACGACGATCATGAAAATAACAGAGGTTTTCGCCTTTCGAAAATGCTCCGTGTACTTGGTGAAGAAGGGCTAAATGTGATCAACTGTGTTTCATCAAGAATTGGCAGTAATTTGGTTCACACCATACAAGCAGAGGTAATATATATATATATGTACTTCATACATTGCCCCCTCCCTCCCCATAAAATTGTCCCGTTGCTTTTTATTATTTGTAACTTTGAAATAATTTATATCTCACAAATAATATTCTAAAGTTGCGAATAATAAAAATCAAATTTTATTACTGGTTTAAGACGTGTTTTAGGCATCATCAAAAGTTTTATACTATCTCCGTTAAATGTTAAGTGCAACTTTGGAATATTTTATATTTCACAAATAATACCCCAAACCTACACATAACATTTTACGGAGGTATGTAGTAGATAATTTTTAAGGGACAAAGGAATTACTCCGTGTATATTTTATTTGTATATGTAGTTGATCTAATTATAAGTAACTTTGTTCCTCCAGGTTGACGATGGGAGAGGCTTTGATCTATGTCTACTGCGGCAGACATTGACGGATCACTCATGAATTATAAATTAGTAAAATTAATAAAATCATTTATTCGCATATTATATTGTACTTATTATAATATATGAGTATATGGCTTAATTTTCTTGGTGTAATTATTTTTTTAATCTATTTTAAGAGGCATTTTAGCATATTTTGTAAGGATGACAAAGACTTGGACGAATTGATTGAGAGTAGGTAAAATAGTACAAGTATTTCCCCTGGCCTCTTCCTTAATTAATGTACTTTTTTATTTGTTATAGTCTTATAGAGTGGATCATTATGCAACCCACTAGATTAGATCATTAGAGTATAAATAAGTAATTAATTAAATATCAAATACTTCTTCCTTTTTCAAAAGGTTTAAAGGTTATGTCTCAATACTTCAATAGTCAACACTCCCCCTCATATGTAAGATCGCTTAGTAAATTTTGTCATATATAATGTTTTATAGGCTAGAGTGCGTTTTTTTTCACTCCCCATTCACATGAATAAGTTGGCCTAATAGTGTACGTAGTAGTGTACTTCATTAAGCCATTAAAGATTCTAACAGTAGGTCTGATTCTAATATATACCATATTAAATTCGGGCATGGGCTACACCTTCACCAAAAGAGAAAGTCACTTTACAAGCAGTTTAAGGATGTTAGTTCCGTCCCAAAATCTATGAAAATAGCCCCTTTTAGCCTTATAAAATATAGTGTTTTATTCTCCCATACATTGTTTTATTCTCCCATACACACTCACATGTATTATATTGTTTGCAAGACTATGCCAACATATAACCTTGTATTTAATTTGAACTTCTGAAGTTATTTTTGTTCATTTTATATTCACCTATTCTAAAAAATAAAACTAAAAAAGATTAATAAGTATGAGACAAATAAGATTAAATAAGGGTTAATATTTAATAAGGGTTACTAAATTTCAAATTATAGTTTAAATTTTATACACACACATATATACACACACTTATTTTCTTTGTATTTGGCTCTGCCTCTCTTGAATCAAAAAAAAAATATATACACACACTAACAATGAAGTATAACTCAAACAGTTAGAGCATCCCTTTAATTATCGAGACCAAGTCTTTTTCATTGATATTTGATTTTACTCAACTCGTTTAAAGAAGGAAAATTTTATGAATAAAGCCTAATTTAATTTCCTTTAATTTACTTTTATTTATATCGTATTCAAGGTAATTATTGATTTAGGATAACTTTACAACAAATGTACACATGTAGTTTTTCATCGTTTGTGCCTACCCGTATTTCCTAAATATTAATGACATTACTTTCCAAGATATTTCATATTTTAAAGGAAATTTTACAAAAACCTCCTTATAATTTTTTTTTTTCGAAATCAAACCTTAATTAATTTTTTTTTTTCGAAATCAAACCTTGTCATTGAAGGGTATTAGCACATATCTAGGTGCGGCACCAATTGTCAGGTGTCTTGAGTTATACAAGCCAAATGTCATCATTGTATGTACAGATATCAATATATCATGAGATTCTTAGTTTCCAACATTTCATCTATGCTTGGCGCATATATGTACTCTACATTATTAGAATATATACAAGCCCAACATTTCAATAATTATTGTTTTGCATATTATTAAATGAATTAGTGTTATTACAATTTCTATTGTTAAAACCGTGGTTGATGTAAGATCAACAATATTTACATACAGAGATTAGAGGAATATTAAAAGGGGAGATTCTAGACAAAGACGGAGGAAACCATCCTTATAGAAGGAAGATATACAAGAAATCATCTTTAATGTAATTGTGGAATATATAAATAAAACTTTTTAAATTTTGATAAGTCATAAATATTGTACAATTCTTCTACATATAGAGAAGAGGATTTGACATTAAAAAGCAGATGTTGACTAAAATTTGTAAAACCATCAAAGTATTTTGCAAGGATAATTTTTTTTAACTTAGATATTCTCAAATTTGCAAACCTTACATTTGTAAAATTTGGAGTATTTCCAATATTGGTGAACATGATTAGTATCTCTTCTATATACTAGAAATTTATTTTCCAATACTTGGAATAATTATTGTAACTAGGAAATTGTTTAACTTAAATACTTTTTTGGGGTTACATGACAGAGAGAGAGAGCTTAAAGCTATGAATCCACTAAAAAAGAGCAAGGAGAAGGAGAGTTTTGAGAAATAAAGAAAAGGGCTAGGAGAGATAGAGTAGAGTCAAGAGAGGAAAAGGGACTGGAGGGAGAACGAGATATATAGATAGATAGAGAAGGCAATGTCGAGAGGAAATGTTAGCTAATTTGTAGCACTAATTTGTATCACTTTCCATAGTTATTTCCCCATAAAAACTTTATCACTAATCCTAACTTGTTAATACTACAAATTCATGTGTATCATTGCTATTATACAACTCGAACACACCCCGAATATCACAATAGCCGAACACACCACGAATATCACAATAACCGAACACAACCACGAATTTCACTTATCTTACCGTTGGGGGAGCACTCGCATCGCGCGTGCTCCAACGACTAGTGAGTACAAAATATAAGTACACGGTACAACATCAGCACACAATAAACATTTCAGTGTTTTTAATCTGTATTTGGAAAGAGAGGATCATTCAAAAAAAGGCGAGAGTAGAAAGAGCCAAAGAGCGTCGTTCCTTCTTCCCAAGTGCTTACTAGTAAAACACAACCAAGCTAAATTCAGCGGTAAGGATTTTTGGGGGCATTTTCAAAATTTTTCCAGAAATTCAACTCAATTTCTCACTCGCTAGGTAATTAATCCTTGTCTCATTCACTCTCATTGCTTAAATCTTTCGATTTTTCCTTTTTTTTCGGTTAATTTTTAGTTAAAATTGCTTAATTGAGGAATTTGCAAAGCTGAAACGGTTTATGCTGTAATTTGGAAGAGAAACGGATGAATTCTGGGAAATTGATAGCTGAATGTTGCTATTTCAGGATAAGTTATTGTTAATCCTTTTTAATTTAGAACTAATTGGGTGAAATTGAGACGAAATGTATTATTTGGTCATTTAGGGTTATTGTTGTTTCTTAATTTGATTGTTAGTTGTTGAATGTTTGAATAAATACTTTGAATTTAAAAACTATACCAAAATGGTTTATATATGTATAATTGTTGCAAAAAATTAGGAATATAATTAGTGGTCGGAATTTGAAACAGCGGGTGAAGGTTTAAACTAGCATGCCGGAACGATTCAAGTTGAGTCGAGTCGAGAAGTTTTCAAGAGGCATGGTCTTTTAGAACATTTATCAGGATCATGGCTTCATTATTGGATGAGAATAGTTGTGGCATTTTGTTTTGCTGTAGCCCCTTTTTGGTTAATTATGTTCTCGTGTTTGGTTTGCTAAATGACATGAGTATTCATAAGAAAGGAAGAGAAGTGGAAGGAAAGCCCTTTACAAAATCAAATTTCGCTTCCCTTCTCTTCGTTTCATTTTCTTTCATTAACCGAACATTGGGAAATAAAATCACTTTCCTTTCCTAACCTTTTCTTTTCCCCTCCCTTCCTTCCTTTTTCTGCTTTACTATAATTGAACTGAATAAAGCTGTAGTATGTGTTACTCGTAATTGGCTGAACATCCCGTTACTCCGATTTTTCTAGTGATGTCTACGTAAGGGGGGATATAGGGGCACTAGTGTACAATTTGTACATAGCCTTAGTGCCTTTACTCATATCAATGCAAAGAAGCATTATTAGTTTGATTTTATCATTGTAGAAAAGCAGCATCCATGATAAGATTTTGTGGTTAGAAGAACTTTGTTTGCTACACTTTGCTTCTTATTGGAGACAAAAAAAGATATTTCACACTTATAATCAATGTAATATAGTTTTTAGCCTGTTAGAGCTATTTCTTTCTCCCTCCATCCCTAAATAATTGGTTTCATTTCTACTTTATCCCAAAATTATACTTCATAGTCCACTTTCTAAATTTTCTTTGTAAAACTTGCTACTTCTTTGTTTTCTGCTTAATGATAAGTTAGAAAAGATTACTTTGTGGCATGGTAAAGATGTAAAAACTTAATTGAAGAAGGATAGTTATAGTAATTCAACCTAATTTCTTTAAAATGACCTTGAGTTAAATGTGGCCTATTGTATAGGACGAAAGGAGTATATTGTAACATCAGATTTGATCCAATGTGGAATCTCGTTGATGGAGATACAACAAACTTCATGATAAAAGAGAACTTGTGGCTTGGGAACTGTGAAATCTGAGGTATGGCTTTGTGCTGTCTGGCAGTCTGCTCTTACTGAAACAACTGAAATTTGGATTATATGTTTCATGAGAACTCTGGATAGAGGTAATTGCATACATTGACATGTGTATATCCATTGCTTGAGTTTCCTTTTCAATTCCAATTGCTATGAGTAGGGAAATTTTGAGATAAGAATATCTAGGTAGATGAGTGTATTGTGTAGATTTGAAAATTTTCATGCGCAGGAAGATAAATGTCATGCTGCACTTGCAATTGGTTAGCAGGAGTGCGCATGAAGATTATTGGCCTCTTACACTGCTTGGAATGCATTATGGATTAATAAATTAAGAGTACACATTAATGGATTTTTTACTATCAAAACAAACCATTCTTTTTAAGGGGATTTTGGAATAGGGTATAGCTGTATAGACTTGAGGTAATGTTAGCATTAACCTCCATCACTAAATGATGTTCATACTTGGCTTCAATGGACATTCCGAAAAAAAATTCACCTTTTTGTATATATGAAAACCTCGTTCATCTCCACACTTTCTTCTACTTTTCCTTCTTTATCCACATTTTCTCTTGCTTTTTCTTTCACTATCCACTTTTTTGTTTTAATTTAATCTATTTCTTTTTATTATTAATCCCTGATATATTTTTAAAAATTGGGTATACATTTTGTAGGGGATTATAGAGTAAATACATGCAATATTACAATGTGTGTGTTTATAGGTATTTTATGTCCATTTATTTACTTAAAAAATTATTATAATTTTGACATGGATTTTATAGAAATTAGATTAGCAGATTCAAGAGTTTCTCTAAAATGAGAATCTTGACTATTATATTGATGATTTTGTTTATTTAATGCAGAAGATTAATTTGGTTGAGTACATGCAAAGAAGAGCAGGCCAAATTAATGAAGGAAAAAGGCTTACACCATTTTGGGCCGGATAGACTATCCAAAGTTTGATGCTTGTTCTATGTAGCTCTCTAGCCAGTCACAAGGCTCCCATCCTTAAAACGTTACAATATATATATTCTTGGATCTTGATATCCCTAATTTTTCTCACCAAAACATTTGCTCCAAGTTCAAGCTGCAATTTGAGGTTTTCACACCTTTATTCTTTAAAGCACACTGCTTATTTTCCTCTGATTGATTTTTTAGTGCATTTTATTGTGGTCATTTGATTATTCTACTGCTTTGAATGTCTAATTTATTGTTAATTTTCTGTGTGTATTGATTTTCTGTGAATAAGAGTCAAGCGTGTTTGTTGCTGTTGTTGTAGATCTTATTTGATACCTAAATTGATCCAATCTTTCACCAAATGTGTAAACATGTCGTTTGAAAGATTACTCCAGATCATCGGAATCTGTAGCAAATTTGGCTACTTGTACTTCCTTGTAGCTCCACATCCGTTAATTGTATTATGGAAAATTCTATATGATGGCCTCTAATTATTCGTTGGTTTTTTTTTTGGGGGGCCATATTCTTAAGTGACCCTTTGCTTTTGTTTATATCTCCAATGTGCACTTGTATTTGTTTTGTGGTTAACCTTAAGTAAAATAAATAAAATTACTACCTTTTGGGTGCAATGGGTTGTTTTTTGTGGGTGGAGTTGGTTTTGGATGAGTGGGGTGGTTTTGCGTGGGTGGGGGTTGGTTTTGGGGCGGGGTGAGGTGGGTTTAGGGATGGGTTGGGGACTTGGGGGGGGAGGTTGGATTTGTTTTAAATGCGGTGGTGGTGGCTGGATGGCAGTGGTCGCAGCTAGGTGGTGATGGTTGGATTAATTAGGAGGGTAAGGTAGTAATTTTACTTATTGGAACTAAAGGTTAACCATCAACACCAAAAGTTAGCCATATAACATCTATAAGGGCATGTTAGAGATATTTGCAAAAGTCGTGGGTCACTATAGAATATGGCAATAGTAAATTTCCAATGTATACAATTATACAAAGTGCAATAATTAGAGGCCACCATGTAGAATTTCCCTTATTTTGGAATATCATATTTATCTGTGAAAAGTTGGTTGACATTTCAAAAATACGAGAAGAGGCTAAAAAACCATGTAAATGAGTTAGTGAAATGTTATAATTAGGATATTTATCTGTGAATAAACTGTTTTCCAAGTCATTTGACAAGATTGTTGTATGAGTATATAGTGAAGCATTTTCTAGATAATGGCTGAAACTCAATGGAAGTGGGTTATAACACTTTTATTTTTATTTTTAAGTACAACTGCTCTCTGTTTTTGTTCATGTACTTTTTGCTGATTGGTTATCTATCTAAAAGGATAGTTAAACCACTATTATTTTTAAGGACAACTTGTTCTCCGTTTTTGTTGTTGTACATTTTGCTGATTGGTTATCTATGTAATAGGATAAATACTCTTTCTCCTTGCTCCTCAATTATTATTTTTTTCTCCTCCCCGAATGGCTTTGCGCCATTTCTTATTATTTTCCTCCCCTGTTTGCCAACCCTTAGCGTCTCCATTTATGCGCCACAACTTTTCCACTGTTACTAATAGCCAGATCTAATAAACCCTGGGGAGAGTTAATGGAGGATGGATAAATAAAGTTTTGGTCTTTGTAGATATCCAGAATGGCATTGGCCTTTTTGGCAGAGAGATGGAGGAGGGAAGATATGTTGGTAGATGATAGATGGCAGAGGTGTAGTTCTAAATGAGGTGGTGAATGTGGTAATGAAAGTTAGAGTGGTGGTAGCATTGATGGACGTCCAAGAAATGGAAGGTTAGGGTAAAAATAGAAAAAGGAGGAAGAGAAGATAGAGGTTCATTAGTCAGAGTCTCAAAGAGATTGGGATATAGTATATGTTAATTTGCTACTCTTATTGACATATATTGCTTCCTTTTGACCTCCTATTATTAGGCACCTCTTTGTATCCATAGAATGATATAATTGTTAAATCTTATCTAATTAGCAAAGACCACATCTGTATCAACACCTCCAAGTTAAAAGTTAGACGAAGGCCGAGTTATGTGGTTATGTTGCAGGATTGTTCCTGAACACGTTAGTGCATAGTAAATTAGTTATATGGGAGCATTATTGTATTTATACATCTAAGAATACCTCCTCTCCGTGTCAAAAAAACTCTCTCTCTCTCTCGGGAAGGGAGTGTTAGAGGACTATACATATTTACTTGTACAATCTAATAATTGTACTTACTAACTAGGGGCAAGCAATTTGTATTTTTCTGCCATGTTTAACAACAATCATATTCATTTGTTCTGTAGTGTTGCCCCTCTTAAATCTAAGTCAGAAACCTGTGGCTAGGTTTGGGCTTGTATGCCTATACTCTTGTAGGGGAGAGTGGATTCATTGGGGAGCCTCTCAAGTGTGTGCTTCCTTGGGACTTGGGGAATCTCTTAGGTGAAATATCCTGAATCCCATATAGAGGTTTCTCTATCCTTTTCTGAATACAGAGAAGTAAATATTAAAACCAAAATATCAAAATTTAAAATACTTAATTTTGGACCTCATGTACAATATGGACTGTATGTGCAGCCCATTGTAATCATCTTGGTTTCAAAAATCTCTAGGCGTAAGAGGTACAAGTATTGTAAACCTGAGTGACGAGGCATGGGGCTGAGGCTCACACATCAAAGATTTTAGGTGCTAAGTTTTGGGGGAATGAAAAGTGCTTTGCCTCTAATAATTTATATTCTAATTTATAATTGCTACTGATGGCTATATGATTCCTGCTAAAGACTATTCCCAGTAGCAATGCATTGTTTTTCTGTCGTTTTGTCTGATATTAACTTTATAGATGAACCTAGCAGGCTATTTTTTCTTCTAAAAGTCGCTAATGCTGCTGCAGATTGTGCCATTATTGAATTGACTGGACAGATATATATAGGACATGTCTACTGACACTGCAAAGGAAAATGCCTCCATTGTTGATTCTTCTGTATCCCGGAAGCATGATGCCAAGAATTTGGAAGAACCAGGTATTTTCATGATGATTTTATTCCTCTTTGGCTTGATTCAAGCAATTTATTCTGCTAACGTAACTAGATTATAATACTGCAAGGAAAAAATTCTGTCAAGATTCGTTGGCCTTATCTTGTGGTTTTACTATTGATCATTTTTTTTCCAGCTGTTCAGTTGTAGTTTCCTTCTTGAATTTTTAGGCTGTCAAAGTTTGATGCCTGATTAGTGATTATGTCATTATGTGTCTTCCTGCACACTGTATTTTTCCTCTTCATTTTCCTTGACCTTTTCTGCATTCTAATGCGTGTTAGTACATTTATGTAATCTTTTTTATGCTTTTTGGGTATGCATGTCTACAGAACTGCGCTAATTAAAACTTTACCAAAAAGTGAAAATTTTGGTTTATGAGAACAGTGGTTGAGAACATCCAGGATTTTAGAGAATACTAAAAATGAATAGCAGATGCTGTAAAGGATGAGAAAGTTAACCTAGTACATAAACCTTTTTTAAATTAATTTGTTATTTTCAGTGAGGTCTTGCTGTGAATAATATTTTATAGCTACATACTCTAGTTTGAAATTTTGGCATTCATGAGCTTCTCAAAGGCTACCAACTAGCAAATATGGCAATTTTTTCGTTGATTGGAGTGAAAACAAGGGAGATCAACTAGGTTTTTGTTATTTATTTCCCAATATCCATTAGGTTTAGGCTCTTTTTAAGTGGATAGTGCTCTTGAACCATTCTATCTTTGCTCCCGAACCACTTTTTTTTTTTACACATACTTTGTATCCATACTACCCTAGAAACAAGAGCTTACATTAATTCGATTTCAGGAATGGAGGAAGTATATATCGTTTCTTCCCATATTTATTTACATATTTTAATTATTTTTTACACATTTTGTAAACACTAACAACTTAATATTTTTTTGACAACATATGCTATTTTTAAACCAGCAAAATGTTGCTTTTAAAACCATGTATAAGTGTAGTCAGTAAATGTACATAATTGGATATTTTCCTAGAAACTGTTTTATGACAATCAATGTATTCTCTCTCTCTCTCTCTCTCTCTCTTTTTTTTTTTATTTTTTTTTATTTTATTATTATTTTTTTTTATAATTCTGTAACATGCTTTATTTCAAAGTAGTTAACAAATAATATTGCTCAATACCTAATGAAATTTTTGTAACTTGAGCACACAACTTTGAGGTTAAGCAACTGATGACTTTATAAAGCTTTTATTGTTGTCTACTGTGTATTATGCATGTAAAAAATGTTTTTTTAAAATTGCTATAATAATTTATTAACTTTAATTTTTAATTTGTTCGCTTAGCCTTTTGAATCATTTTCGTTTATTTAGCTCTCTGAAGTTGAGTTTTGATTGACTTTTGCCAGCTTAGAATGCCTCTACATTATTACTTGCAAACAATTTCATTAGTATGTAGGCATGTTGCCAATTTTCACTCTTTATTAAGACTTTAGAGGTTCAGTACAATTCAAGTATAAAAATGAAGTTGATATTGACATTGATGATCAGATAGTAAATGATGCAATTCTATTTTGTAACAAAAGGTGATAAGATTATTAGCATGAAAGACTGATTTTGGTATAAGGATTGTTAATATCATACTTTCTCCCTTTCTATTTGTTAGTCCCATTTAAATTTGCACGGTTTTCAAGATAGTCAAAAAAACATAAATATCTCCAATTTAACACGCATAAATAATAAAAATTTGATATTTTTAAAGTAGACATTATAATGTACCTAACAAGATCCCACTTGACTATGTTATTTTTTACTCCATCCGTCCCCAAAACTTGACCCTTTTGGCCTAATTTTAGTCCCAAGATGATCGACCCATTTGCATTAAAATACCCACCGATTTACAACAATATTTGTGCAAAATTAGCTTCCAATATAAAATTTTGTTTTTTCATGTATTTTTAATCCTCTATCTTTCTACTTTTTTACAAACCCCATGTAAATTTATCTTTCCAATATGTTTTTATTTCTTTTTATTTAAGTTTTTTAATAACCACGAAATCAACCCAAAAGGGTCGAAGTTTTGGGGACGGAGGGAGTATGCTTGGCATTGAACACGACCAACACGTCGTCTATCAAAGTCGGATGACGGGTATATTATTGAGGATTTGTGCTCAAAGCTTCAAAGTTAAACCCCATTATTAGCATGAAGACTAATTTTGGTATAAGGATTGTAAATATCGTACTTTCTCTCTTTCTATTTGTTAGTCCCATTTAAATTTTGACGGGTTTCAAGATTGTAAAAAAACAAAAATATCTTTAATTTAACACGCATAAATATTAAAAAATAGATATTGTTAAAATAGACATTATAATTAACCTAACAAGATCCCACTTGACTATGTTATTTCTTATAAATTATTGAGGATTTGTGATCAAAGTTTTAAAGTTTAACCTCAAAAAATACAACGAGATAAACAAATAAAGATAGAGAGAGTAGGTGTTTAAGCTTCTAAAGTCAATTTTAGGATAATTTAGATGTAGTGATGTAAAGTATTCACCACATAGGGAAGCTATTTATTTGTGGAGAATTGGACTTCCAATTGGACATGTGGAGACAGTCAATGCGGTTTTGAGAATGTTTCATGCAATGTTACAAGGTACGGGGTACGATTCGAAACGTGGTACGGAAACGAATACGCGGAACGCTGCCCTTTGGTGATTCCGGTACGATGGGTACGAATATATATATATATATATATATATATATATATATATATATATATATATGAATGAAATACGAAAAAGTATATACTCTGTATTTTGAAAAAATAAAAATACTGCCTTGCCCTTGGGTCAATCGTATCTGATATTTTTAATAACCAAGGGAAAGTAAAACTGTAAAAGGGTGGGTGTCATAAAATAAAGAGGAAACTACTAGTGTGTGGGGTCCAATTGTTATATTTAAAAAGCCATTCAGTTTTCTGACTTGTCTCTCCTACTTTTCACTTAATTTATTAATAAAAAAATAAAAGTAGTATCCAATGTTCTGATTTCTCTCTCCTCTCTCCTATGTTTGTCTTCAACCTTTATTCTCCACCATTTTTGAAGCTTCAACACAGAGTGTCAACAACCTTTAACCCTAAAACGCAAAAGCATAACCTCAGTCTATGAAATCTAAATCGGGTTGTCAATTTCAAGATCTGAGTCGCGACCACAAGCAACCTGAGTCGCGTTTGTACCGCGTACGATGAACTAGGTCGCAATTCGCACCTCCGTACCGCGAACCTTGTAACACTTGTTTCATGGTGCTTTTGGTTATGGAGGATGGAATGACTTCTAATGAATTTCAATTCAAAAATTGGAACTAACATTGTTTTCTTAATGGCATGATGATATCAAAGGAAATTGTAGTTACACAATACCGACTTCTAGCCCTTTATTTTTATATTTAATTGAGTCTATGATGGAATAGATGTTAGGTGAGCAAAGGATTAGATTTTGTAATGTGGAGCTTATTGGGTCTAAATTTAAAAGGCTACTATAATTGAATAGTTGATGAAGTTGTTGGGGTAATAGGTGAAGAATTCTATTTCTATAGTGGAAAATAAGGTTTATGGTGTATGGATACTACCAATGCAACAGGAAACACAACATGGCTCAATAAGGATGTAAATAAGGCAATTATGAAGAGAATAGAATGGCTATCTTTGAATGATTGTAGAAAAGAACAAACTATAGCATAGTATGGTACATGCTGGTAAGATGAAGGAAGTTATTTTGATGATTAATTAAGTGAAAGGTGTATAAATATGTATACGACAAATTGCACTAGAGTTGCTGCAAAAGAGATCAATAAGATGGCAAGAAAAATGCAAGCAATGACCAATGGCCTCTTTATGGTGTGGTGTATGAAGGATGAAAGACAAAGGATTCTTGTTTATGATAGAGAGGTTGTGAACAGATTGACATAATACTTTGATAAGTTGTATAGAGGACATCATTCTTGAGGACGAAGAAGTCAAATTGGGCAATATGTGGAGGGATTAAAAAATATTGGTACAAAATGCTTTGGAGAGAAGAAAGTAGGGAAGTAGTTGCCTCAAATGGTATCCTTGTTGAGGTTTTGAGATGCTTAGGGAGGGATGTTATTGATTGGTTAATGATACTGCTGAAAAAAAAATTCGAGGACAAACAAGATACCACAAAAGATAGAGAAAAAAGACTTTTCTACCTTACAAGAATTAAGGATAAACCCAAGAAATAAAGCTTATGACTTATACCATGAAACCGTGGCTGGACCGGATATGCTTGGAATGTCTACCAATCTTTCAAAGCATCCATCTTACTAGTAATCTTAATACCCTGCTTTCTATTAGATCAGGTGTGGTTAAATTATTCATGCATATGGATATATTTTAAAAATGTTCAATTGCATTTGTATGTGCAAGGCTGAATTTTTTATCTTGTTTTGAACTAGAGCTTTGAAAATACTGTTGGCCTTTATTAACTGAATGAAATATTTAGTATGTTATTGCTCATATCTAACACTTTATATTTTTCGTTTAGCTTTATACATGTAAAAAAGTTTTTTTTTTTATTTTTTTTATTTATGTGTGGACTGATGTCGGACAAAGGTAAGTTGTAATCTCAGACAGTTCCAGCTGTAGAGCAAATGAGGAGAGAGACCCACCTAGGACAGAAGATAAGGGGCACAGTGCTTTGATGAACAATTCAGATATGGTTTTAAAAGATACGAAGTACTTTATCATTAAGAGCTTGAATCATGAAAATATCCAACTCTCAGTTGAAAAGGGAATCTGGGCTACCCAACTCATGAATGAGCCCGTACTGGAAGAAGCTTTTCATGTAAGATTGCTTCCTTTGATGTGATGATGTTTTATATCAATGTTGTATTTTATCGAGATTCCCTTATGTTGCAGAAATGTCGTAAAGTAATTCTGATATATAGTGTTAATTCAAGCGGATTCTTCCAAGGGTATGCACAGATGATGTCTTCTGTTGGCCGGAGGCGGGAGAATGTTTGGACACAAGGAACTGGTGCTAATAATCCATGGGGGCGCAGTTTCAGAGTCAAATGGTTGCGTTTAAGTAATTTGCCATTCCACAAAACTATCCATCTGAAAAATCCACTGAATGAATACAAACCTGTCAAAATAAGCAGAGATTGCCAGGTTAATAATGCATGAATTATCTCTTGCCTCCCCTGCTCAACTTTGAACAGAGTTTAAGTTGAATTAAAATATTTCAATTATTATCAGGAGGTACCTCCAGAAATTGGGGAAGCACTTTGTCAACTTATTGATAGAGAACCTGAAGAGGACCCAAGTCTGAAAAGGTAGTATGATAGGTCAGAGCTAAGCTAGTCAGGTTGGATGTGCTATTTGTGATTTTTTATTTACTCTATTTCAGGGACGCATTTGTTGTGAGGAGGCCTGGTGTGGAATCTGGATATTGTTTTCCTGAAGAGGGGTATGTTGCTCCTTCTATGGATATGACTTGGACCACAAAATCCATGCTCTACTCATCTTATCTATATCAATATCATACTGAAGCAAGTGGGTCCCTTATCGCACACCATGAACCTGTTGGATTATATCCTCCCAAGAGTCTGCCTATCTCAGGAAGTAAAGGTTCACTGACTAGGCAAGCCCATTGTAAAGGAAGTGCTTTAGACTCACCAGCTGATCACAAAGTTTCTTCTCAAGTTGATGGCATGCGGATGTCTGGTGAAATGAGTCCTCTGTGTAGTACTCTTTCTGAAGATGAGTTTCTTGAAATGGTATGGTCCTATCTTAGCTACTTTAGTTATCAAGAGGCTCATATGCTATATTCTTTTCAGCTTATAATTATTATTTTCTGCTGCTGATTGAATTATTTTAGAATATTTGAATTTTTATAGCTGCAGTAGTAATTTTGTATAGTTATCTTGCTAAAGCCTTTCCTTTGTATATACAGTTTTCACAAATATATGAATTATGAATTGTTAAATTTAGAGATAAGATATGGGAATATTACTCACATTAATCCTACCTTTTTCTTAATCTGCAATAAGAATTTCACTTTGTGAAGTCAATGTTAGAAATCTTATCTTTTGTTAGTTTTAATGAAAATTCAACCAAATTTACATCATTAGTAAAGGTGCCAAACTGCTGATTTGGTAATCATAATTCAAAATTTAGATGTGTAAACAACTCCCCCCTTCTCTCCTTCTCTCTTTCTCTCTCTCCACTCAACTCCCCTTTCTTGCTCCTAGCAAGCCTTCCACCTTGATAATGATACCTCATGGCTGCAGCCATTTCCCTGGAGTCTTGGCCAGCCTTTCGCAATGGCAATGACACCCTATGGCACCATCCACCATCACTGATATCCCCGCTCACTGCGTTATAGGTCATTTTATCTGAGAATGAATCGAGGGAGAGAGATCATTAATTGTAATAGATTGGCCTTAGGAGGGATATTTTGGTAATCCCGGTCTACTCTAGAAGCTGATTCGTTCTAATACTACTCGGAATTAAGAGAAAGACTGCTTCTTCAATAACGGAATAATTAAGGGATACAAGTAGTAGCTTTAGGCTACCAATCTCCTAGCAACTTGAGGCAACTCTCCAAGTTTTCCTCACTAATTTTTGGATACCTTTTTAAGTTACACATAGTGACTTACTTATACTAATGGTGAAGGTTGACCTTAAAGCTTACATGTGACTACTTAACGAAAATGGAGAAACCATAATAAAACATTCTAGATGCTAATTGCTTTTTTTCCTTCTCTTCTTTTTAATTAAATTTGTCGTCTACTTAAGTGGAGTTGTCTCTTCCTAGAATAGCTTTTTTTTGGCTGCTACGTCCTAAGGCTAGTCTATTACATTAATCCAATGAATTCTTCTTGGGCTCTTGATTCTGATTGTTTTTAGTATTTATGGTTGATTCGGTTGAATTTGATTCCTGAGCCAATTGCATAAAATTTGTGGCTCCCATGAATATGCTTATTGGCGTATTGCTGTTGTGATAGTGGGTGGTAATGTTGTTAAAGAGAAGATATGTAGCTGAGCAATGGTTTGTGATGGACTCGTGTCAACCGAACCTTCGGGTCTATGCTAGGAGGAGGGTTAAACAACAACCACAGTAACAGGAAGCAATCTCAAGGCATCAACACAACTCTAATGAAGTAGAAGACAACTAATTAAGAGGAAGAGAAGGAAAGAAAAGCAATCTAATTCTATTATGTTTCTTATGGTTTTTCTAATTATGATAAGTAGTCACATGTTAGCCTTAAAGTCAACTCTGAACATTAGTTATCTTAGTATAAGTATGTTAGTTTGGGTAATAGGAAGAGTATTCAGAAATTTGTAAGGACCCTTTGGAAAGTTGCAACCTCAAGTTGCTAAGGAGACTTGTAGCCTCAAGCTACTAACTTGTATTCCTTCAACCCATTAATGAGAAATTAGTCCTTTTATTATTATTATTATTATTAAGTAAATTTGTGTAGTCCATTACAAACTTGGTATCAGAGCGGTCGATCATGACGGGGCTGACGCTGACCCAACGCGCCGACGCGGTGGACAAGAAGCTTGAAGTCGAGTCTCAATTGAAGTCGATTGAAGAGAAGTTGATGAAACACGAGAGTTCCATTAGCACAACTGTTGCGGAAGCAGTGAAGCTAGCCATGGAGGATATCCAAAAAGCAATCACCGACCACTTCACGACACTGTTTAAAGTAGAGCAAAAGAGACAGGAAGAAAACAAAGTGAAGTTGAAAGGAAGGATTGATTGCTTCCAAACTGATCCAGGCAGCCATTGATAGGAGTAAAATCAAAAGGCTAAACAATTGAAGGTCTTAAGGGGAACTCAATCTCCTAATCCACCACTTTTACCACCGCCGGTGTTCAATTTGGAGGCAGAAACAAGTCAGAATCACGGGGAGTACCAAGTGCCGAATGCAACCCCGTATATGGAAGGCGAGCAGCAGTTCGCTGTTATGCCTGGAGACCACCAGACTAGTGGTTTGCGTGACGGAGAGCTCGGAGGATGGCGACGCGGCAACGCGCGTGACGGAGACCCTCGCGAAAGGAGCTAGTGGGAGCATAGGAAATTAGATTTGTCGGTATTTGAAGGTAAAGACCCTGATAATTGGATACTTAGAGCGGAGATGTTCTTTGACTTTTATCAACTCTCTCAACGTGAGAAAAAGAAGGCGGCTGTGGTAGCCATGGATGGCCCTGCCTTGAAGTGGTATCAACGGGAACAACGTCGGCGACGCATAACCCAGTGGTCGGAACTTAAACCAAGAATTTTGACCATTTCACGCCTGCACCCTATACGAATAGTGGCCGGCGATGGGGTAAGGGGGGATGGTGGAGGATTATCGCAGAAAGTTTATCGAGTTCGTTGCTCCCCTTTGAAGGAATTTCTGAAGACCTTCTCTTTGCCGAGTTTGTGAACGGGTTAAAAGGGGAAGTCAAAACCGAGTTAAGGACGTTGAACCCGGATTGTTTAGATCGGGCGATGGAATTGGCCGGATTGATTGAGGAGGACAAGGTGTACCACTATCGAAGAGGGGGAATTCGGGGAATTTAGTTTGGGCAAGCCCAACCGATGAACAGCGAGGCCTAATATCCCAACAATAGTGGCGCCCAATACAACAACAGTAAAGGGAAGGGTTTGGGCCTCGTGCAAACATACGGCCTGCCTAACCCACCGTAAGGCCATTGAACAGTTGGAAAAAGCCAGGACTCGCTTTAAAAAAGTCAAAATAGACGTGGATCAGTTTCGAGTGAATGGATGTTTTGAAATCGAACGAGAAAAAATGAATTTGATTAATTCAACTTAAACTTTAGAACAATTTGAAATTATGAAAACGAAACCATTCAGCTTGAACAACAAAAAGCGATTAATCAAGTCCGACAACGGGTTTTTCAACAAGCCTTACAAGGAGCTCTAGGGACTCTGAATAGTTCTTTGAACAATGAGTGACATTTACGAACCATCAATGCTAATATTGGCATGTTTGGTGCGATGAACGAAATAACTGATTAGCTAACAGGCCTAATACATGGCCTAAGGTAACTGAATCACAATCTTCAATCAATATGGCAGGCAGCTCCAGTGGATTGAACGACGGAAGGAGTGGACCACCGATGCGGAGACTCACCGTAGCGGATTTACAAGAATGAAGAGCCAAAGGGATTTGCTTTAGGTGTGATGAAAGGTGGGGGATGCAAACAAAAAGAGTTGAGCGATCTCATTGCCGGGCAAGGAGGCGAGGTGGAAGATGAGTAAGGTGGCGGCGGAGAAGGGATTGTTCATGATGAGGAAATCGAGGCTCCGGTGGAAGTGTCACTTTGCTCTGTGGTGGGTATCTCAAACCCTTAAACAATGAAGTTGAGGGGCACGGTCAAGGGAAGGAGTGTGAGTGTCATACATACATGAATTTTATATGTTTTTTTGTAAAAGTTTGTAAATATTTTAATTATATATATGCAATGGAAACTACGCAAAAAAACAAATTGGACAAATAGAAAAAAAACAAAGGAAGTATTTTTTTTATGGTTTAAGTTATGCAGCGGCAAATATGTTAAGTTAATATGATGTAAATAATCATAGAAGGGTGGCATGATATTTTGGGAACTTTTAGCAACCAAGCCAATCAAATATGAGGTTTTTCTATTTAAAATTACACATGAGAATTACTCATTTAAGTTTTTTAAGTGAGATAATTGTTGTGAGACGAGGACAATGTTTGAGTGGTAGTGTAAAATATTTTAATATTTATTGTGAGCTTGATTATAGAGTTTTGCTAGTTTCCACTCCTGTTTTTGATTAAATAGTAGGGTGTGCATAAAGTTCAAGTAAATTTTTATGGGGTGGGGACTTAAGTGGGAATGATATAATATAAAGTATCATTAATAGGGGTATATCTAATTGTATTGGGAAGAAAAATAATGCTAGTGAGGTTGTGGAAGGGAATAATGAAATAATATTGTGACAGAAATTAGTGGGAGTGAGAAATGACGAAATAGTTGTGGGTCTTTTTCAATTGTGAAAGCCTTGCAATAAATCAAAAACAAAGGGAGTCCCTGATGAATTCTTTGGATAAAGTCTATTTCTTTTGTTGAGAGAAGGCAAGGCTCGGAAGAGCACTTGGCTCCTAGTTAATCTTGTGGCCTCGTGGGAGCCTTGACCAGTCTTACCCTGCATTAACCTCCAATAAATATGATTTTCAAATTGTATTGCTCTTCTCATTGCATGAGTAATAGGGTTTTATTGTTTATGGATTACTACTTTACAAGCCCAATGAAGTCAAGGCTGCACGCTTTGTGCTTGGTTGGGGCCTCGGGGGGTGTTCCTCAGTGTAGAACATGCTTTGACAAGAAGTATCTAGCCCTTAGCTTTAATACTAATAAGGAAATCCTCAGTATAGAAACGTGGATTTCTGAAAAATATACTATGTGACGCAAAATACTTTGAAGCACAAAAAGAACCCTACCGATGATAGGAGGTAAAATCTCCTGCAACTTTAGCTAATGTAAAACACCGAAATTGACCTGAAGCTTAGGTTGATACAACTTCAGCCTCCAAGCTGTAATGTTGGCTTGACTGACTGAGCCTGGGGACTTACATAGTTTGATTGGTCGATTTACAGCCTGTTTACTTGATATCAGCTTGGCTATGGCTCAGGTTCTAGTCTTATCAATAGCTCACATAGTTTTTAATCTGCCTCAGCTGACATGTAACCTTATCCAGATGAAGCATGAATTACCAGATCTGGTTTTTTTCTCTATGGACAAGCTTTATAGTATATTAACCTGATTTTTGTAATCTAAAATTCTTGCTGCAGTCTTATGAAGAATATCTGGAGGCTCATACTAGAAGCATCAAGCAGGTAATTCATTAATCCATCCTGTTAGTAAGCATGCCTTTTCTATTATTTTTGTTTTCTTGGTATGAATTTTAGTGTGTAGTTACATTGCTTAACTCTGATTTACATCACTAAGTGGTCTCTTATTTCCCCTTTTATGACGTTCTTAAATTACAACTAATTCCTGACGGAAAATCAAAGAGGAATAAGAGTAGACAATTAGGAAAATTAGAGAATAGTCTTTAATTCGGAAGTTTGATTAATTCTTTTTTTAGGCACTTTTAGGGTTATTTTTCTTCCAATCTTCCATAAAAGTCAAACAATTTGTTTGGATAAGATTTTAGGCGCGTCTAGGCATTGAGGCGCAAGACGTTAGTGGTAATGCGCCATTTATTGTCTAGGCGAGGCGATTTTGATAAGGTGCAGCTAAGGCGCATCGAGGCGCACAAGGATTTTTTTTTTTCAAAAAATTTATTGTATATTATGTGCTCTTCACTTCAATGTGGCGCAAGGTGCTAGGAACTAGGAAATGCTTTGGTGCGCCTTAATCCTTTTTATACATTGGGAATTAGGAAAGGGAGAATTATTTTCACCCTTTACAAACTTACTATCTTTAAATTTCATCAATGGAAGTAGCATATTTACATAATCTGAAGGGAGAGAAGGGTAGAAGAAAATCAATTCCTCTGTTTGGGACTTTTGGGAGATGAATATTAGGAGAGGAAGAAAGTTTTATTTTTTTTATCTTACAAAAGGGAGAATTATTTAACCCTTCACAAGCTCATACCGATTTTAAACTTCATCCTTGGAGGTAGCATATTTACAAAAGCTGAGCCCCAAAAAAATTGGCCCTTAATCACTCCCTTCCCATGACCTCCTAGCCATTTGCTGCCACCACCAACCACCTTGCTAAATTTTTCGTCAATCTCACCACCAACAATACTGCGACAACCCTTGCAATTACACCTGAAGATGTCTGCACTTCTCATCATTATCACACCTCTAGTGAATACGAAGATAATGCAAATCAATTAAATAATTGCACCTCATCGGAAGAGAGATATAAATTCAGTCAATCATTAATAGTACAAAAGAGAGAAAAGGGGAAGAAAGAGAAATTTTGGGTTAGCTATCATGAGCGGGTGCGTGTAAGGGTAATCATAACAGTTTTGAAGGATTATATTTATTTAGGAAATTCTACATTGTGGCTTCCTGGTTTGGTTTGGGTTTTCTGCATGGTGAAAACAAGATTATTTTTTTTTTTGACTTTTTCTTTAGGGTTAATCTATATACATCTCCTTGTCAAAAAAACAAAAAACAAAATAAATAAAAAAAAAAGAAGTTAAATTACATCTAGTGCCCTCATTGCTCTTAATAAGGCTAACCCATGGAGAGAAAAAATATGGGTTGTCATTAATGGATGTAAGAGCATTTTAATCATTGTATTGTTTTGAAGGATTTTATAAATCTGGTAAATTCTAAATTTGGAAAATTCTACATGGTGGCATTTTGGTTTGGGGTTTTCTGCATGGTGGAAACCAAAATATATAGAAGTGACATTTTAAAGTGACCTCAAGGTATAGTGTATTACATCTGGTGCCCTTATTGCTCTTATATTATTTTATTGTACTGACCATCTCCTAAGTGAATTACTCTCCACTTCCACCATTGATATCTCCTCACTGTCCCAACCACCTGCACAACCAACCCATGACTCCACCTTCACCGCCAACCCCAGTAACCTTCACCTCCAAATTCTAATTTTTTGCTCATTAAGATAGGCAAATAAAAGTGGTTCTAAGACGTTGTCCATAAGTATTCTAATTCAGATAGTTCCAGCTTCGTTTCTAACTCTTAAAGTCCTAATATCTAGAAGTATTGTGGATGTGAGACCATGTGTCACAAAGAGTAAGAGTGATGCAAATGTATGAACCTGCATTATTGAGGAAACTCCAAATTTGTGTACTTTGTCTAGTACAAGTACATAAATGACAAGTACATAAATGGCAGAGGACAGAGGATTCAACTCAAGATTAATATTGATTGTTTGTCACTGGTATCATCTGATGAACTATTCTTTTCAAGTTAAGGTTACCAAATCTTCTCTTATTTGGATTAGGATATTACTAACAATGTGTTTGGATAGATAATTGGGAAGAAAAAGAAGGGGAGGGAGGGGAAGGGAAGAGGAGGAAAGGGATGAATGATTAGTTTTCCTCTCAAATCTCTCCATTCTTGGAGAGATCAATTTCTTACAACTTAATCCCTCCATTTCTCTCCCCTCCAATTCCCTTCCTTCCTTCATTTGTTATCAAATGAAATTTAATTCATCCCTCCATTTCTCTTTCCTTCCCTTCCTTTCCCTCCATTTTTCTTCCCTTCCTTTTGGTCCATTTCCTTCAATCCAAACAAAGTGGTCATTTTCCCTGCATTAAACTAGTAAATCAAGAAAAGTCAGGCAAGCCTTCTTCGGTCTTTATCATTATCAAGTATTACTTGTGCGTGCATGATGATGTGACTGAGATTAAAAAGGAGCTGCTTGTCTTTAATCTTTATGCTTATAATGCTTTACCTTTTGTGTGTTAGTGGCATTGCATATCACTGGGCTACTGGTATCAAGCAAGTGTTTTAGGTGCTAAATTTCTATAATAGTTTGCTACTTTATTTTTAAGGCATGGTCTGCTGAGCTGGTTTGTTCCAAGAAGGGGAGGGAGGTGCTAAAAAAAAGGCTTTGTTGATTGGCAGATCCAAATTTATATATAGATGTGTTGTGGTATCTTTGATGAAGCTTGTGTAATTTACTTTCAGGCTGGCAGAATATCACATGGAAAAGAAGATTCATCGAGTAAAGAGCGTGATCTTGATGACTTGTAAGCTACTAATTTCTTTCATTGGCTGTACGAAAGTAATGCACGTATGTTGCCGTCAAAAAAAAAAAAAAAAAAAAAAGTAATGCACGTATGTAATTGTCACTTACCGTTCTCTATCTTTGCAGACAAAGTCACAGTGAACATGGCAGTTCTCGCAAAAGGTCTCGTCGTTGATCTTCCTGTATCTTTATCTTTGGTGCCAAAGGAGGGTGAATTTGCAAAATCAGTCTGGTGTCAAGTTGCTGGCTTCGTGGTGATACTTGTCTATCAAGATTTTCGAAGCATATACAGGATTATTATGAGTTTTCTCCAGAACATAGAATTTATATTTCTTGTGCCTTTGTTCTGGCTGTAACATATTTATGTAACTATATATAGCACATTGGTTGTAGGATTAGAACCAAGTTGTACAGGAAAACAGCATTTATTCACCCCTGCTGGTTTTTTGGTGGATAGGGTTTTGGGATAGGAAAAAATAGGTATTGGCTATATAGCTTCATTGAATTCATTTAAGCTGACAAAACCCTTCATTTTTAGTGAATTAGAGAACAATATTGGGGATTCGAAATCCTAGAGGTGTAATTGTCAATTGCCAGCTTTTAAGATGCTAGTGAGTAGTGAGATAATTTAGGAGACTTCTCTCTCAAAACTACAATATATTCTGATGGATCTAATAAACTAGTCTTCATAAAGAATTGAACCTTTGTCTGGAGTCTGATCCCTTGAAGAACATAAGGCCCTTTATGACTTGGGTGGAATTACTTAATTTTTTTTTTTTTTTTTTTTTTTTTTTTTTTTTTTTTGTGGAAATCAGAATTACTTAACTAATTGTAGTCAGTCATCTTGAAAATGAAGACACTCAGATTTGTGAGAAGAAAGAATTTGACTATTTAGGTTGAGACTGTAAATTATTGTAATATTGGATAAAGCTTTTTGTTTTTCTTTTGTGTTTGTTTTTCTTTTGTTTTCCTGTAGTGTGTTTTTGTTTGCTTTGTTTCTAGGCTTTGCCCACTTTCTCACAAACAAAAAAAAAAAAAAAAAAAAAAAAAAAAAAAGAAAGAAAGAAAGAAAGAAAAAGAGAGAGAAAATGAAGGTTGGGAGGGAGGGTTTAATGATTGTGAGATATCTAGAAAATATTTCAAATTAACTTCGAAATATAATTCAATCCAAATTGAATAATCAATACTCATCGTATTCAAATTTCAAATTAAATCGTATTGGATTGAGATATTTTAAAAATTTAAATTTTCGGTTTGACATTGTTTGGAATTGAAAAATCTAATTATAAATTGTTCTCATATAGTCATGTTCTACAATTGGATGTTTGAGCCTCCAAAGCATAGCTCAATTATTTAAATTACAAGATTTCAGCAGTGCAGAGCAGAGCTAGATTTCCACGCAATGCGAAGCAGAGCAAGGCAGAGTAGTGCAGAGCAGGACAGCACAGAGTAGAGCAGGACATAGCAACTCTAAAGAACAAGGCCTTATTACACTAGGTTTTCAAGCTTTGTATTTTTTTTTTACTTGTATGAGTTTTGACCAAATTTATTACGCAGTATTATTTTTGAATTTGATTTGGTGAGAAATATAGACCGAAAGAAATTCAAATATTGAAAGCCAAATTTTGGTTAAATGAACACCCTTAGTATTAATCGAAATACTATTCGTTGAATGAATAATATTTTATTTTTTTCATTGGGAAAACATGTCAAGATCTATGGTAAAGTGAAGAGAGAAATAGAGTGTTCGTAGGTCTAATAGAGAATAATAGAAAAAAGGGTGTTAGTTGTGATTGTCGGTAAAGAGGTTGTTGATGTTATGTGGTCTATGTCAGTGTCCTATTCCAATTTCAAATGTCAGGAGATCTTTAGAGAATTGACTATGTCTAATTCTCTTGATATTTTAGCAATGATTTTTCAAATACTTACCTTGAAGGCGGCTCCCCAAATGTAAAATTTGGGGGTTCATAGCATGTCATCTGCAGTCCCTTTTCTTGAGCAGGGGCCACGTGTACCTGTTTATGGTACGGGGCCGCAAGTTGTGACTCGTTTTATCCGGTGTAACAATGACACTCTCTCTTTACCAACCCTTTCATCTCTATGGGTTTTGCTCTTCAACAACGTACAATGTTTACTCCGTCCTTATCTCAACTGTGGTGCCTATTAAAAAGTATGTTCCACGACGAGCAGATTTTGTAACAAGTAATCGAGACTTGTCGATCAAAAAGTTTTAAAGTTTTTTTCTTTTGTGTTATGCTGGTTTGTAAGAGCTGGTTTGGCTTGTTTAAAAGTTTCGTAGTTTGTAATAGTTAAATTTGCTATTGTAAAAAAAAAAAAGGCGAAAGAAGGAGAGATAAAGATTTATTTCTTGAAAGGACGTGAGAAAATGTCGGTGGATACTTAATGGGGGAGTTAAATACATATGCAATGAATGATTCCAAAAATATGTACAAGTAGTTATTTGTCAATAAGGTATAAATAATGGTACAAATTCTTTGGTAAAAAAAGGGTCTTTGAGGAAGTTCAAGTTAATATTGAAGATAATCTATCTATACTTAGTATTTAAAAAACCAAACCAAAAAAAACATATGCCATCATTCTATTACACTTCACTATCATCTTCTTCAACTCAATGTGTCACATGTCATTTTATATTTTTATTTTTAATTATACAATTCTTCTTAACTCTTTCATTAAACATTTTATCTTCATCTCACCTCTTTAATTCAACCTTTTTATTTTCTCTCTTTGATTTTAGTCCCTCCATCTTCTTTCTATTAAGTCTTATTTTAAATTAAAGTCCCAAAATTTTATTTCTTTAATTATGTTTTCAGTTACATATTACACTCATAATTATTGGTATTTCCTCACTCATCTCTCAATGCAATTTTCTATGAACAAGCTGTGCATTGCACGGGCCGGAAGACTAGTTTTGTTTAAGAGTGTGTTTGTGGACTATGACAATGATCAAACATATCATTTTAGAACATTTGGAAATATGTGATGTCAATGTATTAATTAAGAGACAAAAGGAGTAACACCAACTTATTTTCACATTATTTTTATTGAATTGAAATTATTTTTACTGAAGTGATAGTGATTTTACTAAACTATTTATTTACTCAATTGAACTATTTCTATTATATTTCTTTTTACAATTACTAATTTTTACTCGATTGAAAATTATTTTACTCAATTGAACTTTTTTTTTTTAATTTATTTTTTTTATGTGAAAAGAACAATACCTTACAAAAAAAAAAAAAAAAACTAATTAGAGCAAATTATCTCTTAAATTAATGGGTTGATCTAAATTTAATGATCTTTATGAATTGTTTAAATATAAACCGTTTCGATTACTTTGGAATAGAGGGAATAATCCGTAATTGATATGGTATAAAGATACTAGTACTCCTTAGTATAGTTTATGGTTAGTATAATTGATATGGTATAACATTGATATCTTAACTGATCTATACACTTTTTTCCTTGAACAAAGAAAGTTAAAGGAGAGTATCGCATACAGAAAACCTAAAACAATGAGTAGAGATGAAAAGATCACAGCTGAACAAGTCATTTCCAAGCTCAAAGATGATGGCGATTTCGACCGTCTTCGCTTCAAAATTGTCCGTCAACTCAAACAAAACGTACTCTTTCTCTCTCCTTTCTTATTGCACTTCTAAGAAAATCAAAATCTTTTATTGTTATTATTATTATTTTAATTGTTTTTGTTTGTGATTTGAGTTTTTGTTTGATATTTCGTTATCTTATCATATGCACATTGATTAGTTTCTTGGAATTTGTGGGTGTCAATGCTGAAATCTTTTAGTGTGAAAATTATCTATATTTACTCCAATTTTCTATTATTGGTCGAATTTTGGAGGGAAAAAGAGTAGCAAGAATATATTTTGGTGATATATAATTACTATTTATGTTGGGTTTTATCTATTTATTACGAATTTGTTTAAAGTTGGACTTTGAATTAAACTAATGTTTTGGTGGTGTTTGAGGTGGTTGGTATGAATCAATGGGGGTACTCGTAGCGAGAAGGAAATTGTTAAGGTAAGTGGAAAGTGGACTGTTGCTTTGGATGTTGCCGGGCAATGAGGCATTTGTTATTTCCAAACTAGTTTCTATCCCGGGTCGATCAATTTCTTGAGAGGTTTAATTGACTTGGTGGTTGTTGTTCATCTTTAGAAGTAATGTGATTGTTGTAACATTGACCGACAAATGAGGAAATACTCTTTCCTTAAGCTTTATTGTTGGTTGGATTTCTCTAGAGAAAACACTTTATGGCCATTCAATGCCAAGAATTTTGTGTTAGATTTGTTTGCAAATTGGGAAATATTATCTAGGGAATTCTATCAATATAACTGACTCTAGATAAGATAATGGATCTTAGCCTAGAACATTATGCATATATCAATTGATATATTTGGGATTTAGCTAGCAAATCAGTGCTCAAGCAGAAAGGATACCCCCCCCCCCCCTCTTCCTTTCCTTCTCCGTTCCCCACAAAATTTAAGATGAGGAGAGAGATAGAGAGAAATGAAGAAAGAGACCCATATGATGAGAAGAGAGAGTGAGAAAGCATTTGCAAATATGGTAATGTTGCAATGTTTGTGAAAATTTTCATGATGGAAATTGTTGCAATATGAGGAAATATATACGAGGGGAAAGCAAAAATGAAGGCTGCAGTTTTGCATAACTTAGTGCTATGGATAAGGTTGTGTTGGCGACTTTCTCTTAAGCTTTGACAATTGTTCTAGTGACTTCTCATCATCATAAATATACATCTGATTCACCAATATTTGCAGAACCCTGGACATTCTGGTAGAAAGAATAAGTTAATGGGTTCAGTTATCCACCTAAAGTATGAGAAAGGGCACTAAATTTCGTGATTTATATGCCCTGCTTTTGTTAAGAGTAAATTTACCTTTGAATGTTTCATCTATTTACGGTATTAACCTGTCTGGGTAGAAGAGTTAATTGAGTTGTTCGTAATCACGATTGATTTATTGACCTTTGACTTGCAAACCTAGCAATAGCTTACTAGCTTATGCGTTTCTTGAATACCATGTTTGTTAATGATGGGTGAATATTCGAGTTGTCAAGTATGAATTTGGCTGATTCTTTGTTCCCAAACCTGTTTGATAGTGGTCTGCAAGTTGAATCAATGCATTTATTATTTTGAATTCAATATATGTTAAGACTGAGTTCATAAGATATATAGCAAATGTTGACCCTAATCTCCTACATTTGCGTTGACATATTTACTATAAAATTAAATTCCTTGTTGTGATGCTACACTAAGGGTGCATTTTATTTACCTAATCTGAAATTATCTTATCTTATGTGAACTTATTAAACTTACCTAAAGTTATTTGAACTTATTATACATTATTAAAACTTATTTTAGTTGTAATTTGAATTTGGGTAACCCGTATCAACCCTCATTAGAACTTATTTTTGTAAAACTTATCTTATTAGAACTTATGATACCTAAAATAAGTGAAATTAAGGTGAACTGAACAATGCCTAATACTAAAAAAATTTATGTTCCATCCACAAAAGATGTAGAATTTGTTATATACGCTCGGGTGTTCCGTACACCCAACTAATCCGATGTTAGTTTTTGTTCTTCATTTAATGATAAAATGAAAAACAATCATCAAAATGAAAACAAATACTCATGGGTGTAAGGTATACCCGGGTGTATATGACAACCTCTCCAAAGGATGGTTGCCAAAGTAGGAAATCTATTATTGAGTACTTCGTATCATTTAATGGAAAAAAGAGATGAATTGCATTAAATTTGTCATTTTAGGAATATCACATCTATTGTTTGATTCCTTGTTAGTCTATATTCAAAGTACATGTTATAAACCTTTGAGGCATTGACAGTTTGGTGGATGTCAAATAATTTATGCTTTGGGACTATGAACAGCTTATGCTTTTGAAGACAAGTCCTCTCACTCTTTAGTAAATCGTTATTTATGGTGTTTCTTCCATCTGTGATAGCTTAACATGAAGAGAATATAATTTTTTATAAAAATAAATAAATAAATAAATTTGTAGATGCCTTTTAATATGGCCCACACGGCCACACCCCAGTATGAGCACATCTCTGGTTCAGAAGTGATATTGTAAATCTCCAGAGCTTGCATTCTATTATAGAATTTAATTATCTTTTATGGTATACCTTATCCCCCTCATTCTTTTAATTGCAATAGTTTGTTTTACATGTTTGCCGACTCACGACTTTGGCCATTAAAAGCAGTGTATAAAACAGCAAACCTAGGTGCTTGGTGATTAGGGTAGAATGCCTTTTGGCTCTAGGCGAGGAACATTCTAAGAGGCATACCTGAGGCACACATAAGCATAAATTTTAAACTGTTTTATATTGAAGAGGTGCATTGAAGTGAGCCCAAGGCGGGCCTAGGCGCAGCAGGATCTTTATTGCCTCAGTGCCGTGAGCTTTTTTTTATACATTAGTTAAAGTTGACCTTTGAAAATATGTGTTGAGATGAGTAAGATAAGATCCCACGTGGTTATGTTTTTTCCTGCGATAAATCTCCTAAGATGGTCAAAGTGGAAATATATACTGTTAAGGTCAAATTGTTGCAAGTGGCAACTAAAAAAACATGAATTATGTTTATAATTTGAAGGTTTTTTATTTAAAAGGTCATCACATCTACTACAATACCTGATTTCATTCCTTATTTTTATAGTTAATTCTGTCAGCTTCATGCTGGATTCTACATTTCTTGTGATATTCGTAGAATTGCTTACAAACTCGTTTTTATATCTAGGTAATCTGTCTTTGCAATATTTTCTTATTCTGAGATTTGCTGATTGCTGCAGGAGGACTTGCGTAACAATATTATTTCAGTGGTTAAGCAGTCCACTGTACTTAATCGTCCTGGTGCAGAAAATATGCAAACCAGGAAACTTTGTGATGCAATTTATGAAGAAATTCGGTGAGTTACAACACGTCTTTGCTATAAAGTGCATTGTGATGTAAGACAATATTAGTTTAATCTTTTATCGTTTTGATGATGATAAATTTTGCTCTCTAGACACATGCAAGAGGAATACCTTACCCTTTGGAAATATGTAGAGCATTTGATTGTACATGCCTAGATTGCCTACAAGCTCCAACATAATTATTGGAATAACATGTTACCCTGGTTATATGTAGGCATAACTTAGTCTTCAGGTTCATAGGACATGAGGAGGTGAGTTCATAATGGAGTATGTAAGTGCCAGTAGATCATGTGTGTAAGAAATCGAAATTAGATTGTGGGCTGATGGGCGACATGGTTCTGTACACTCACTTTGTTGATGTCTGAATGGCTTCTATACAAGTATATAGTCAACTAATGGTGTGCAAAAAACTTCTAGAATGGAAGGCTTTTAATGTCTCCAATAATTCAGCCTAGTCCTGCACTTGCGAAGTGGATGGTTTTGTGCATCACATAGACATGTTGTAGCTACTTTTTTAATAAAATGTACTCTCACATCTGTGGACAGGACTATGGTCTTTTCAACTTGGAAACAAGATACAGAGTAAAAAAATATTATATTTAGTCAAATGAATGTAAACTTAGCAAAAAAAAAAGTTCAGTTCAAGTTCAACTAAGTTCAAACAAGCTCTGCTGAAAATACATTCGATTTAACTAAGAAAAGTTCAGTTCTGCAAATTTAAGTCTGATTCGGCTAGATTAACAGGTTCAGATCAACAAAATATAGTTAATTCAGTATAAATAAGTTAAAAGTAACCTAGTGTATAGACACTGTGCTCTGCCATTCTTGTTTTGACTGTGTGTTTATGAAAAAACCTACAGCATGAAGCAAATTCGTCAATAGGTTGTTTTTACTAACCTTGATAATGTAAGGCTTGTAGATTTGATTTATATCTTGTGCTGAGTGTTAAGCTTGTATTGCCAGAGGTTACATTTGTTGCAGTTCATTGACTTCTTTACTGTGAGATTAGGTGCTGCAGTTTGTTAAGACTTTAGTTGCTTGTCACGATTGGCTCATTTCTAAGTTACTAACAAAGCTTTTTACTGCCCTAAAAAATTTCAATTTCATGTCTTCTGAGCTGTAGAACTCTGACATTCCATTTTATGTAGGCAGAGGTGATGGTTAATTGGTTGTGTTGCATCTTTGATACAGTGAAAAGGCGATGAGTCAAATTTCAGATGGCTTGTGGGAGATTATTCGATCAGGTGATGACATGAAAACTGAAATAAAAGAAACAGTTCACTCAGTCTATGATAAGCTACTGAATCCTGAGCGGAAAGCGATTGATTCAACGTCTTCCTCAGGCCAAGTGCCAATTAGTAGAGGAACTGAGTTTAATGGTCATGTCATTGTTTCTGGGGAAAGCAATGGTATAATGTCTAATGGAGAGCATAAAGAAGTCTCAGGTTTCTCTTTGCATAATAGTACTGCCACAAACAATCATGATTTAAAACCCGAGACACAGCAGCCTCATCCTGGTAATAATAGTTTCACTGAAGAGGGTATAGAACCTCATTGGCGCAATGGTCCATTGCAGTCCAAAAAAGGTGATTCCAGTTCACCTCCTGGCTATTCCTCATCTGGAAAGCGCAAGCGAGCTTCCGATGCTGATGCCGATGCAGATGAAGACCCTGATATTCCACCAGGTTTTGGTTAACCATCCTCACTAATTATAGAGATAAAGCATGATTAGCCTTTTAACCACGAATACTTTTGTAGTTTTTTTTTTCTTTTTGTAGGGTAAGGAGGACTCTAACTAGACTTCAATTCTCAAAGTTTAGTGTATTTTTTTTTCTAACCATTATTCGTTGGTGTCCGGAGAATTTAACCTTGTAACGAGAATACGAAATTACAAGGTGAATTCCTAACCAACTACATTGAGCCTTTTTGGTACAAATACTTTTGTAGTCACTAATCCTTTTCAGAGTATTGTTAACTTGTTAAGTGCTATCGGTAGAATTATACAAGTATATAGATTGTAATTGTTTCAGTCACACATTTTATAACAATTTATTTGTTGATGTTGATGAAAAGTTTGCTTTTGACCAGGATAAATTCTTTATATTTCGAAACATATATGATTTCTTTATTTCCGTATATGCTTGCTTTATTATTTGCTCAATTTGCACTATTTTGCACACATTTATCTTATTGTTAATACTTCCATGCCAAAACCAATTTGTTTTTGATGAATTGCAAAAATAATTATATTACCTCTTTAGTAGAGGAGTAAAGCAAACAAGTAATTTTCAACAAATGATCTTAGCAAGTTGTATACGTCAAAAGTTGCTCTTAATGTCAAGTTGATAAAATCGTGATTAGCTAGATTTCAACTAGCTAGATTACGCAATGCTTGTTCTAGAGGTTTTCGTAGGATCCTTATTTATTCCGACTGTGAGTCTTTGTGTCTAATCTTGGCCCCAAAAAGCGGGATGAGGTTTCTTTATGCTGGTTAATTCGGGATATCCGGACTCTTCTATCTACTATGGAGGCTTGCAAGATTCTAAAAAGGAAATGGGTGTCCCCTACTATGGAGGCATTGGTTCGCTGAAAAGGCTTGTGCTCGAGAGTGTCTTTTTTAGTCCTTTTAAATTGTTGTTTGTTGTTTTATTTCTTAGTTGTCAGTGTAAAAAAACAAAAAAAAAAAAGAAAAAAAGCTAGCTTTGGTAAAGTCTCAAAAGTGCAAACATTCTTACTATCTTCCCTTGAGATCAAAACCTGATTAAACAGGAATAAAACATTTATGAAGTACACTTCAACATACCATCGTAAACAAGAGGTGTCAATTCGGTTTTTCGAGTCGGAAGATCAAGTCGGATTTATTTTAAAGGTGTGTCATGCTATATTTTGTTCATAGAAATTGAAACATGAATCAAATTCTTGTGAGTTTATTCAGGAGACATTTCTACACTCTAATGGTACGCATACGCTGGTACCTTAACGGCTTAACCCAATATAGACCTAAAGACGAGTAGACGACATAATATCATTTCCGAATTGGCAAATTGACACAATTAATACAGTTGAGTACCTTAAAAAGACAAAAAAAAAAAAATGACGATTCTGAGGTCAATAGTCACAACAACAACCGCCATAGCAGCCACAGCTCTACCTGCAGCTTACGTCGCATCTTCTCTCTCCTCTTCATCTTCTTCACCATCTTCATCTTCTTCCTTCTCGAAGTCTCTGGACCTTCGTTTTCTCTCTCCTCAATCACCTTCGAGTTCAGGGGTTGCTGCTAGATTCGGCCTTATCAAGAGTTTCAGCTCTCCGCCTTCTGCTGTTCTAATGGAGAATCCTAAGGTCTTCTTCTCATGTTCGTTTCTTTGTCTCTCTGTTTCTCTTTCTATCTCTAAATCGAAGATATTATGCTGATTGATTGTCATTGATTTTGCAGGAAGATTTGAAGTTGCCGGAATTAATGGTCAGTTTTTGTTTTAAATTGATTGAATTGGGGAATGATATAATTGATTAAGATGATGTTTTGATTTGATTTGGAGATTGATAAATTGTGTTTAATTGATTGAAGTGGAGAATTAGAATGATGTTTCAATTAATACGAAGTATAATGATTTATAATGATTAATTATTGAATTTGGGAATCGTTTATGCAAACTAAGTTGAATTTCTATGCTTAAATGTTAGTTCTTTTAATTGAGAATCAGAGAAATGTAAGCTTTTTTACTATGTTGCACGGATACCGACACGGACACCATACGGACACGGGAAAACGGCAATCCCGAAATAGGGGACACGGGTACGGCATATAACAAGGCATATAATATATCAAAAAAACGAGAACTTGACAACCTATTCAATAAAACACTAAATAATTAGCCTCAAAACACACAATTTTGTTAAAACAAGTAAATAAACAAAGTGTACGAACGTAGTCTCATACATATCAAGAAACCATCAAACCAAATACATGTCTTAATAATAGTTTTACAAATCATAAATAAAATAAACAAAAGTACTAATAGTTTCATTCTTCACCATCACCAAGTACATCATCAAAAATCATATTCTCCATCTCGGGTTCATCAAGTGAGAGCTCGGCCATCTCTAGAATACCAACCTCTCCTAGGTTGTCATGCTCATCTCCACCCACATCCCACAACTTAGATCTCCCCTTAGTGTATTCTTCACTTCTCCTAGAAAGTAATCGAAGGTTGTTATGAATGTATACCAAGTCTTGAGCACGTTTAGGAGTAAGCTTATTTCTAGTGCAAGAATGAATAAACTTATAGGTGCTCCAATTCCTTTCACTACAAGAAGAGGAAGAAGGTTGACCTAATAGCTTATAAGCCAAACCTTGAAGCATAGGCACTTGGGAACCATAAGTTGCCCACCAATTTTTAGCATCCATCAAAGCCATATCATGCATGCAATCAATGTTGAGAAAGATCCCCTCTGATTTTTGTGAGAATATTGCAAATTCCGTGTTGATCTTGAATCTTTCATCGGGACTTTGGAAAAGCCTTCGAAAGCATTGTAATCTTTGTGTGGAAATTTCATTGTCGGCATTTGGAGCAACTCGTCCCGGGACCTCATTAAGCCATTCTTCCGTGTAAAATCTTTAACAACAAAATAAGAATAGCCATAAGAAATTAAATAAAAAACAAGGAAAAATAAATAAAGATGAATTAAATAAGTAAAACTTACCTTGGATTCAAAGAATGTGCTAATGAATGAAGTGGAGTACTACCCTTACTCCAACGACTACTAAGAATCCCTTTAACTACATTAAAGAAGGTAGATTGTTCATAATCTAGTTTACCCTCTTTCTTGTAGATGGCATCTTTCACCTTTTGAACCATAATGTCCCATCTTTCATAAACCAAATGCAAGGAAGATTTGTCGGTGTCACAAACCCTAATCATCTCATAGATTGGGCGTGTAAAATCAAGAATGTAATCAACTTTTTCCCACCATATTTCATCCAAAATCTTTTCCCTTACATGTGAGGCTTGCCCGCGTCGATCATCCTTGTATAAGGACCAATTCTCACTAATAACCATTGATTGAAGTGATGTTTTAAGGAGTTTCAACCTTTTAAGCATGCACACAATTGAAGCAAAACGAGTGTCGGCAATGCAAAGTAGTTTTAATGGCGAAAACTTATTGAACATTGAAAGCCTCATCGAATGATTCATTATGTAATTTTTAATGAACAAGGCATCTGCATGAACTTCCGTTATCCAATGACATTCATCATATACTTCAACATTATTCAACACATTCTTAGCTGCACAGATGCTTTTCATTGCAAGATTAAGTGTATGAACAACACATGGTGTCCAATATATATGAGGATACCTACCCTCAACCAATTCCCCTGCAGCCTTACAATTACTTGCATTATCTGTGATTATTTGAACAACATTTTGATCTCCAATTTCATCAATCACCTCACTTAGTAAGGTAGCAATGAAATCTTTGTCCTTAATCTCACCCGAGCAATCAATAGCTTTCATAAACATAGGACCCGTTTCAGAAGCAATCATAATGTTAATCAAAGGCCTTCTTTGTGGATCACTCCACCCATCACTAACAATGCTAACACCTTTTGTTTTCCATGTGGCTTTCATAGGTTGTAATAACCTATCCACATTTTCTGTCTCTTTACAAAGCAAAGTTGTTCTAAGTTTGTTGTATCCGGGAGGAGGCTTATAACCAGAGAGATTAGAATTGGCAGCCATTGTATATGAACTAACATAGTAAGGGTTTCTAGCAAGATTAAAAGGCAACCCCCCTGTGTAAAACATTCTAGCAATTTCAGAATCCAAGTGGTCACGAGATTTCACATTAAAAGCATCGGAAATTGTATTTTTTGATTTCCTCTTCTTTACATTATCAAATGAACCTAGTCTCATTGATGTAGCTTCAGTTGATGTGTGAGAAGATATGGGTTCATTTGAAAAAGGTGGAACTTTTGGTAACAAAGATTTTTTATAATCCTCGGATTCACGATGAAGCGATCTTAGTTTAGCAAGGTCATCAATTTTCACTTTATTACAAGTTTGAATCCCTTTCCCTTGTTCACCTAGCAAATGAGCTTTCACTCTAGTGTATGAACCATTTTTAACTTCGCCGCAAAAGTTACATTTCCAATTATAATTTCCTCCACCACCCGATATTTTATCACCCTTAACAACAAACTTCCACAAAGGGTAGAGGTCTTTCATTGACTCAGATGAATTACTACTACCACTGACATTGCATGAAGCAGAGGAACTAGAAGACATTCCTGACAATTTCAGCAACACAACAGCACATTTCAGCAAGACAACACAACAAAGTGAGCAACACAACAATACAATTTCAGCAACCAGCAAGTCAGCAATACAATTTCAGCAACCAGCAAGTCAGCAACTCAGCAATACAATTTCAGCAACCAGCAAGTCAGCGAGTCAACAATACAATACAATTTCAGCAACCAGGGCACAATACAATTTGACAGCTGAACCCATCTCACAATTAACATCACAATTAACAATTAACATCACATTTAACAATTAACAATTGCGAATTACAGTGATACTGCCTCCACGGCTCCACCTCACAATTAACATCAGCATTCAGCAATTGAATTTCAGAAAACAAAGTACAGAAGACAGAAGTCACATAACCCTTACCTGGTGGTGGACTGGTGGCTGGCGAGTGGCGACGGACGGTACTGGGTGGTGGACTGGTGGCTGAGGACGAACAACGACAGCCTGAAACCTAGGTTGAGCGAGTTAGCGACTGAATTAATTGAATTTAAAAAAAAAACAAAGTACAGAAGCCAGTCAAGCCACGGCCTGAAACCTAGGTTGAGCGAGTTACCTGGTGGTGGTCTGGTGGACTGGTGGCTGGCGACACTGGGGTGGTGGCTGAGGACGAACAACGAGCGGCGAGTGAAGTCTGTGTCTCTGTGAGAGTAGGCTGTAGGCGACGAAGCGACGGTGAACTGAGTGACGGTCTGGACCAGCAGCAGCAGGTGAAGCGACGGCGGTTATCGGCGCGACGGTGAGTGGCTGACGGTCTGGGACTCAGGGAGCTTGAGTAAGGCAGTAGGTTTGTGAATTGTGAATGGAGGAATTGAGAATGTGAGAGAGTCAGAGAGAATGGAGGAAGTTGGGCTTGTAAAGCCGTAATTGCGTGTCCATCACAAAACGGACCGTGTCTGGGTGAGACGGCCCGTGTCCGTACAGAAGAAATTCAAAAAAAAAACGGACACGGATTTTCGCGTGTCCAAGACGTATCCCCCGTGTCCCACGCGTGTCCGTGTCCGACACGCGTGTCGACTCGGACACGCCACTTGGCAGGCGTGTCCGTGCATCATAGCTTTTTTAATTACATGTGGTATTGAATCAAAGAGGAAACTGGATGGATGATAGTGAATGCCAAGAAAGTTATCTGAAACGGGCCACAATTCAGAAGACTAGAATTTCTAGGGTTAATTTGTGCATTATATATACATAATTATGTATATATGCATCCTATTCTTGTCCATGTTACGAATATGATAACGACGAAAGGAATAGCACAGGATCGCTGCTGTTTATGAGTGTCTGGAGTTCTTTTAATAGTAGTATTTGTTTACCATTCGGGTGATGGCTGTGGCGGTGGTATCTCTAATTTATACTATAGGTTTTTCTTCTGGATTGTTTGTCTTTTAACAATGATTTCCCTTTGCAATCAAGTCGATGATTTTAGATAATGTTCTATGTTCTATGATTTTGGGTACTGTAGTTTTAGTTGCAGAAACAAAAACAACCCCCTTATGGCCTATGGAAGAAGATATATAAGTTATTTTGCAGGACACCCCTCCCTGTATACCATTTTGTCCGTTGCCTGATGCAATTTATTGCATTAACTATCATAATGTTGCTTCAGCTTGAACTACAACAACTACTTTTTTTTTTCTTTTTTATTACTTGAGAAGATGATAGTTTCTTTTCTTTGGAACAGACAGAATTCATGGTGGATATGAAGTGTGAAGGTTGTGTTAGTGCTGTAAAGAGTAAACTAGAGACTCTAGAAGGTATTTGCTAACGACTTGAATCACTAGCACATCTATAACGTGCTGAATTCTTGTTTTCATTTGTTTTACTTATCTTTTTTGTTTTCTTTACTTCAATAGGAGTTAAGAGTGTTGAAGTGGACCTGAGCAATCAAGTAGTTAGGATTCTTGGTTCTTCACCCGTGGTAGCCATGGAAAATGCTTTGGAGCAAACTGGCCGTAAAGCACGATTGATTGGTCAAGGAGTACCTGAAGGTTGGTTACTTGAAATTTTTTGGTTCATCACTTTTTTTTTCCTAATTTAAAATTTGTTATTGGGTGATTTCTTGTCCGATAAAGTGCCGTACCATTTGAATGATGTTTGAAGGGAAGTGACATTATTTTGTGTCAATTGAAATTCTTTATTATGACTGGCTTTGCATGGTTTATATGTTTTTCTGTCATGGTTTCCTTACTAGTTTGTTATACTATATTATTTTTTCATGTCTTCAATGTGCTAGACTCTATTGTGATACAGGGCACCATGTATTGTGTAAAGCTTGTTAGGGTGATTGTTTTCTCTCAAAGTCGCATGGATGAATTTGTTTTCATGCCAACTGAACTTAGTAAATGTGAAGTAATGGGTCAAAGTTCATGGATTCTCTGATAACTCAGTGTCTAGTCACTGTGGCTGCAATCTTTATTGTATCTTTTGGAGCGGAGTTATTGATAGTTGTGATTTCTTAAAGTGCACAGGTGAGAGTAGCTTGAACCAAACACATTTGAGTGATCCTTCAATTTTGAATCATTTTGTAGTATATTTTAACACCTGCCATCATGACCTTCCCGCTTGTGTCTCGGCCAGTTTAGATTGTAACCTAAAGCTTTTGGGAAACAGCTAGATTTTATTTTGTTTTTACAATTTTTTTTGTAGATTTACTGGAGGTTGCCTACATTCATTAGGGACCTATGTTGGTCCATCAGTTACAATTATTCATTACTTATTTTGTGGTATATTTTGTGAAATTTAATTTCAACTCTTGACTTCGATGTAGGTTTAACCAATGGGGGGAGCCCTTGAGCTATAGGCTTTGATCATAATGTTTCTAATATCCTGCAACTATGCTGGTGCTATGAGTTATAGTTAGTCATGTTTATGGCTGCCCTTGGTTGTAGTAAATGCCTCCTGGCATGTATAAGTTGACTAATCTTCATGTAATTTCTTAGTTTGTGGTGAGGAAGAAAAAATTTAGGTGGAGTGCAATGTATTGGCTAGCTGGAAGATTTTAAAGCTCTTCAATTTTTTCAGATGTCAATGAAGATGATAGGGAATGAGGATGTTTTTAGAGCATGGAACATCCCAAGGGAGGTATCAGATATCAATATCTTATGAAGGTTGTAATTCTCTAGACTTAGATTATTGGCTTTGTTTGGCTCCGGCACATGAATGGCCATGAGATTCCCTCTAACTTGATTGGAAAAGATCATTTAGTCTGTAGCAAGGCATACTACCTATTCTTTTCTTTTTACCAAGATCAGTGATTAGATTATTACATGGCATTGTGTGTGTGTGTGTGTGTTGGGGGTGGGTGGGTGGGCGGGAATTTACATGTAATACGTTAGATGTTTATAGCCTGCAAGTTGTAACTACTTGAGTGTCATGGGTGGGAATTTACATGTAATACGTTAGATGTTTATAGCCTGCATGTTGCAACTACTTGAGTGTCACTGTATGTAATTTTGTATTGTTGCATTATTTATAGGGATGCTGACCTTGCGTCATTGAAAGCAGATTTCCTTGTGTCTGCGGCAGTTGCCGAGTTTAAAGGTCCAGATATTTTCGGTGTGGTTCGCTTTGCCCAGACACACATGGAGTTGGCCAGAATCGAGGCCAATATCAGTGGGTTGCCACCTGGGAAACATGGCTGGTCTATAAATGAGTTTGGTGATCTGACTAAAGGTCCAGTCAGCACAGGGAAAGTGTACAATCCACCAATCCAAGGAAGTGAAAGTGAGGTATTGTGGTCAATTCATTTTCTTGCATGTACACAAGCTATTGATGTGCATATTCTTGCATGCATACAACCCACCATACAAGGGAGGGCATTATGTCGGTTTTTGAGGGGAAGTACCTTCTTTAAAGCTGGGTTCAAAACTTCTAATGCAACATAATGAACTGTAGTACCTTAAACATCCTAATATTAGCGAGGTTTGCTGAGGATCAGGTGTAGGTGGCCTTTCTAAATGAGAGTGAGGCTACTATGGAAGGAAATAGTAGTAAAACTGTGTTCCATGGAAACATAATATATAAAATTTACGTGTCGTTGAGTTTGTAACTGATTTTTTATTTATCTTGTGAAATGACGGGTGTGCTATTCTCCAGCCATTGGGTGACCTGGGAACATTAGAAGTCGATGAGAAAGGTGAAGCTTATTATTCAGGAATCAAGAAGATGCTGAGGGTTGTTGATTTAATTGGACGGTCCATTGTCTTGTATGCATCCGAGGATAAGTCTGATCCTGGCCTTGCAGCTGCAGTGATTGCAAGAAGTGCAGGAGTAGGTGAGAACTATAAGAAGCTTTGTACATGCGATGGAACCACGATCTGGGAAGCGAAGCCTGATATTGTCACTAGCAAAGTCTGACTGTATCATTAAACCATACAACTTGTACAGATGTATGTGCCTTTTTAAGCAACTTACCAATTACAGCTCCTCACATATGGATTGTTGTACTACCTCCATCTTGATATAGTTACACTTTTCGTTAAAATTATATCAACAACTATTTCAATGAGGGAGTTGTACCTAAGAACATCAGATGTATTGAGGAAATACCGAAAAAATACAATCATAATATACTCAGGTCAATTCCAAATATTTTGGATGTCTTCGAAAGAGATTTCTTCGAAGAGATTTGATTGTGTCTATTTGTCTCTGTACTATCTCGTGTTTATTAGGAAATTCATTTATGTGCGTGAACACCCTGCTCAAAAAGCTGCACATTTACTGTGACACCTGACACTTGAATAGAATCATAAGATATCCAACATGAAACATTTAAACCTATACTATTGAATTTGTTTTACAGCTATAATGAAGTTTAAAGCTATATTTAACATAAAACCATTAGACATAAGTATATGAGTGCATTATAACGAAGTCATTGTTACATATCTTATGTCCTTGCTCAAGTATACAACATTTACATGACATTGGCATCACTGACCACATAACACAACCAATGAGTCATTGACAAACGTTTTCATGACTGAACATACAATCTCTTCAGTCTTCACCAATATACAGATTCATACAATAAATATGAACAGAACAACAAGATAATAGATTGTTTGATAGTGGTACATAATACTTTACAAAAGAAAAATGTACTTATAAGTAAACATGGTCGTGAAATAACAATTTTCTTTATATTCGTTTTTTTTTTTTCCTCTAAAGTCTAGTTCTTTTTACTAATTTTTATTTTAGCTTTATTTAACATAAGTTCACTAAAATTTAACTTAAAAGATAAACTAAATGGAGAAATTGACGTATTCATACACGGTTAAAAAAAACACCGGAGTACAAAATACAAAAAAATAAAAAACTCCAGAACCAAAAAGAGGTTAGAAGTGCGCCGTTTTTACGAAGCAGAAGAGGAAAGACTGAAAGACCTTAGTTCTTGTTCCGCCAAATTCTAGAACTACAACTCCAGAACTTCCAACACTACCTCACTTTCCTTCTTCTCGCAATCTCAAGAACCCTAGAAAAACCCCTCTTTTAATTTCCCAATTCAATTAACTTCTAACTTCTCAATAATCCCAAAATGGAAGCCACTAAAGACCAAACCCCCGACGTCCGATCATTCGTCGAAGCTGTTTACGCCGATGACGAAGTTCCAATTTACGAAATCGAAAGCCTTTGTATGCGTTGCCGCGAAAACGTATCTACCCTTTTCTCTCTTCATTGATTTCGCCACTTTTTCTGCATTTTTATTTGGTTTTTCAGTTGAAATTAACTAATTCATTATTTTTTATACAGGGTACTACAAGGTTAATGCTTACTCAAATTCCTCATTTTAGAAAGGTTTGTTCTTTTTTTTAAGTATTGATTTTTATTGAACGTTTGTTTGTTTGTTTTTTTTTTCTCTGCTAATTTTGAGTTTTTGGGAGTGTGTTCACTTTAGTAAGTTGTGAATTTAAGGTTGAATTAATTTTGTGTTGCAGGTTTTATTGTCGGCTTTCGAGTGCCCGCATTGTAATGAGAGGTAATTTCAATTGTAAGCTTGATTATTTAGTGCCTTTGCAATAGTAGGATTAAGAGCAATCAAAATATGTCTTTTTATCTTGCATATCCTATAGAATGCAGTAAAATATGATATTGTTTGTTCATACTGTTTATAATATGACACATTTTGTACTCTGATGTCAAAATTATTTGGAAAATTGTTACATTGTCAATTTAACGACGATGATATACTCATATATTTCTTGGTATAAGATATGTTTCTCTTATGTTGTATGAGTGATCAGGTAGCTTCTAGTGCTCTATAATTTGGCTAAATTGCTTGAATCTATTTGTTTTTCTATAAATGTCCTTGATTAGTGTATGATGTGGGTGACTTATCTATTGTTTGGGGTAAAGGGATGAATCGACATTAGCATTTTTTATTTGGCTTTTCAAGTGGAATTAGTGTAATAAGTTGTCATTTGATTTTGGAAGAGATTATCTGTGAAGAAAGTTTAAGTACTCTGTATTATTTGGGAGAACATTCAATTTATAATTTCTCTGGTAGAAATATACTGTTAAAAGAAACATAAGAAAATTTGTCACCTTGCTCTCTTACTGGCAGGAATAATGAGGTTCAATTTGCTGGTGAGCTACAGCCACGAGGATGTTCTTATACTCTAAAGTTTCCTGCCGGAGACTCAAAGGTCCATAATCAACTTGTGTTTATTATTTCTCAAAGTTTCATTTTTGTGGAATTCTGTTGTTATTAATATGCTTAATCAGTTAGACTCACAGTTGCTGATTGCAGATGCTCAATCGACAAGTCGTCAAATCCGAATCTGCAACCATAAAGGTACTTACTATTTTAGGTTTGCATAACTTTCAAATTGCCACTTGAGCCTTGTTGCAGATTAACAAAGTATTTACTGCTCTTATCTTGCTTCCTTCCTTTTAGGCTGTTATGGATTCTTTCCTTGCCTTTTGTTTGATGTTTGCATTGTTAAATTAACTTGACTAGGTGGCTATCCCCATGTTAAGTGCAATTGTTTTATGGGTTTTATTTTTTATAAATTTTATCTATCCTGTTGGCTATCACCAATTGCTATTGAGATCTATGTTATGCTCTCTTCAACTAAAATTCAGGGTTCATGTTTGAATATATTAAGGTTTTTTCATGTCTGATCCAATCTCGTGTTCTAATTAAACTTTGACGTTAATTTTACTCTAATGTATTAGGAAAAAATAAAGAAAGCTATCATGTGGGATCTTGTTAGATATGTCTCAATGTGTATTTTACAACCAAATAATTTAAATGATCTTAATTTATGCGCTATAAAAGATATCTAGTAATAAGCAAACGTAAATAAGAATTCTAGTAGCTTTAAATCTTTTTATTACCGCTCAAGTATTTCCTTTTAGGATCATTCTTTTGTACAGTAGCTCTATCTGCCTTTGGTGAGGACTGTAATGAAATTTTTTTCTTTACGAGCTTCATAAGCTAGTGATCATCTGATCAAAGTCCCTCCTAATGGAGTTTCCCTTAAGGCCTACCTATAGGGAATGGGGCCATTATTTTTTGAAAATTAGGCATTTGGCTTATTTCTTGGTCGCTTTGTAAATGTTTATGAAGTGAGATATGATGTGTACTTAATAGATGGCAGAGACTATATAAGATTCCTGGTTGTCTGGTCAGATGCATGCACAGTTGTACCAAAGATTGTGTTTAATTATTTGACCAGCTTATTTGTGGAGTGCCAAATCAATCCTGCTATTTAACATCAATTTGCAATTATGCCTCTTTCACTTGACAGCATAAGAACAGGTCCACTCTTTCCTAACACGGAACTATTGATTTTTGCAGATCCCTGAGCTAGATTTTGAGATCCCGCCAGTGTCTCAGCGTGGGAGCTTATCAACTGTAAGTCATGCTCTCTCCTGTGTAATTTGCTGGTCTACAGATTATCTGTTTGTGCAACACCACCATTGCTTCACATGTGCTTTTGCCACAAAATTAAAAAAATGAAAAGAAAATGGTGGAGTCTTGGACTCTCTGGTAGCCCATGTAACACATTTTTTTCTAAAAAGGGCAATGGAATACATAAAATGAGGAATTATTATTCTATTGGTTTGTATCTTTCATGAAAGGCTAGATTGATGGTTCATTGCGATAAGATCTGAGTTTGGTAGTTACTGTATTTTTTTGAGAAAAATTATGAATAGGCCTTTTTCATATGTTTCTTTGGTCTTATCATATATCATATAGAATGTGGGCTGTAAGAATCTGGATGTTTGCTCCCTGTTCATTTTATTGTGATGGTGGGCTGCTTGTTTTTACTGAAAACTCAAACATTTATAGTCTCATCATAGGTTTTGATGATTGCAGAAAGTACTTGAGATGGAATTCTTGTTTCTCCTTTTGAAGTTTCTATAACTGCTGTCACTATAACTTTTTTATTACCACTCAAGTTTTTCTGCACACCAATGTTTAGTTGTCTGTTTTAGGTAGAAGGGATTTTGACTCGAGCTGCAAGTGACCTGGAGGCTCTTCAAGAAGAACGAAGGGTGTGTAAGTTTTACTCAATAATTTTATAATTACAAATATATTTTGTGAAGTTTTTTCTGAATTATTTTGTTTTTGTAGAAAGAGGATCCTACAACCGCAGAAGCAATAGACCAATTTCTTTTGAAGTTGAGGGCTTGTGCAACTGCAAACTCTTCCTTTACTTTTGTTCTGGATGATCCTGCTGGAAATAGTTTTATTGAGAACCCGTAAGTGACTAGAATTTGATTTATCCCCTCCCCACTATATTTTATTGGATTCTTCTTGTCTTTCCCTTCTCTCCCTCTCAATTGGATTAATTTACAGGCAATCGTGCTGTCTATGCTGAAGAAATAGGCTTTCTTCTTTTGGAATTTTCTTTTTCCTCTCTTTATAATCAAATTTATCACCCCTCCATTTTTTTCCCCTAATTTAAATCTCTTCGGTATATAGTTTGCCAATTTATCTTCTGTTGGTAGGCGCTGTTCTTTGAATGTCATGTTATTTAACACTTTAACCTAGTTGACATTAGCTAATCTAATACAGGCATGCTCCATCTCCGGACCCAGCGATGTCTCTCCACTTCTATGACCGAACTCCTGAGCAGCAAGCTGCACTTGGCTATATTGTTGCCTCTTCTCAAGCAGAACCTGAGGAAGCAGTGGCAGGAACAGCAAACCATGCTACTGATCAGGTTGCTAGGGAACCACATGGGGCAGTTGGAGCTAGGGCTGGTCGCCGAGCTATAGCACAGGATAATACAGCTGAGATAGCTGATGCGATTTGCCGTTATACTGCACCAGAAGAGGTATCCTCTTCCCCTAAAAAGCAGATAAAGAGAGAAAAAAGTAAATCTGAATCTGTGCTCTAAGACTTATCTTATGCGGCAGGTGATGACTTTCCCTTCAACATGTGGAGCTTGTGCAACAAAATGTGAGACTAAAATGTTTGTTACCAGTATCCTTCTGCCTAAAACGTACAAAGTATATTTTATGTGTTTATGAGCCAAAACAGTTTATTGTTTTCTTCCGCTCTTTTTTTTTTTTTTTTTTTTTTTTTTTTTTTTTTTGGCATGTTAAAGAGTGATGTTAAAAAGCATCACATATCATAATGGATATAAAATGAGTGCTCTTACATGGAAGCACAAACAGAAAAAGCTATCAGTTTTACTAATCAACTGTTACAGAATTGAAGTGTTTTCTTCCCTTGTTAAGATGTTAACCTTTACGAAAGACAGATATTCCATACTTCAAAGAAGTAATTGTTATGGCATCAACCTGTGATGCTTGTGGCTACCGTAATTCTGAGGTTTGTCTAAACTTGTATCTCTATAAAATTACTTATATTCTAATTGTCAGTAACTTTTCAACCTAGGCTTTACCTGAAGCCCTAATATAATTGTTTGTTGCAGTTGAAGCCTGGAGGTAGCATTTCTGATAAAGCTAGGCGGATCACAGTTTCTGTCAAGAATCTCAAAGATCTGAACCGTGATGTGATTAAGGTCTTTTTTTCTTGTTGACATGATGCGCACACTTTTTTTTTTTTTTAATTGCATGTATGGAATTTGGTTGTTAAGGTGCACAAAAAGTAGTCTTATGAGGACTAGTAACCTCTGACTCTGTGCCTTTCAAGTAGAAATTGAAGATATGCTTTTTTGTGTGAGCTCAAACTGTAGGTATTTTGCTGTCTATAATTAGAAATGTAGTGAATAAGAGTATTGGAAAATCTATCTCAATTACGAGGCTTGCAAATTTGTTCTGTTTTGATTGTAATGTAATTGAGGAACTCAGGACCATGGTATTAAATCTTGGACGCATTACGACTGCATTTTAAAGGAATTCGAGCATATCAAGACCAATATTTTAGGCCGCTACAGCCACATTCCACTCAAATTGCCTGGAAAAGTGGTTACCCGATCGCGACTGTATCTGAGATTTAAAAGTTAAAACCATGCTCAAGACTTTGATCTCTGAATCTAACAAGCAATTTAATCTACATAATACATTACTCCCCTCATCACACAATGACTTTCCTGTTTGACCTTTTGTAAACAATTGTGAGGTAAGAGATGGTGAAGGTATATATGGAGTATTAAATTTGGAAAAAAGCAGAAGTCAAATAGCCTTTATCTTATTTTATGCGATGGAATTCCACCTTTCTCGACCACTTTGCCTGCAACATTGGTGGGTTTCCTCCCCTAGTACAATTGTTTGTTGTTGTCCTTTCCTTTGACTTGTATTCACCATATGTGCAATTCATATCTCCCTTAGTGACAGATGGATTTTTGATTATTTGATTATTATGTATATGCCTTGAGCAATGATCATGGTTGTAATCTTTCAGCTACCTTTCCCCCTTGCTTACCATCAGAGTTGTGGCCTGAATCAACAATTCTTATCAACTCAACAATTTTCTTGTCTAAAAATTTGTCACTTGTTTCATGAGCATTCTAACAACTTTTTCCTTTCATTGACCTGTCAACAGTCGGATAGTGCCAGTGTTAAGATACCAGAAGTTGATCTGGAGCTTGGTTGTGGCACTATGGGAGGCATGGTCACAACTGTTGAAGGTTTGGTGACCAAAATTTGTGAAAGTGAGTGTTATTCTCTTGCTTTATTGATGGTCACTTGGTTTAGTGTGCATGTGTTTCACTCTCACATAAATTTTAACATATTGAATCATGTTTGTACAGGTTTGGAGAGAGTGCATGGATTTACCTTTGGAGACAGTCTTGAGGAGGGTCGAAAAGAGAAATGGATAGATTTCAACGCAAGACTGAATAAGGTACAAGGGATGTATAATTTATGATGTATGAGTACTTTAAACAAACCTGAAGTTATGATTGTTTACTTATTATTATAGTGACGTTAGGTCTTTGGGCAATACTAACTGTAATATATTGAACGTTTTGACCTTTTGCAGCTCTTGAGCCTGAAAGAACCCTGGACCTTAATCATTGATGATGCGCTAGCCAACTCCTTTGTTGCACCCGCTACTGATGATTTCGTGAATGATGATCAGCTGAAAAGTAAGTTCTGTAAACTCTGCTACATATCTTGTTAAAGTGTTATAATGATGCTTTTGGAAGCAATTTCAATAAACTTTGAGTATCATGTATGATACAATCTAGTAGAGACAAAATATAATCGATGATAAATGGGGTATGTTAACAGTGTGGAAATAGAACTGCCATAAACTTTGAAAAAAAAAAATGCAGTATTGTCTTAAGATGCCTATTATAAGTTTCCTAAAAACTAGTTGTGTAATGGTTTATGATTATATCTCCTTTTAAGTGACTAATTTTTTTGCAAGTGATGTGAAAATAGACTTGAAACGGCTGTGGTGAGGGAATTTGTGTAAAATCTTGCGACACACTAACTCAATATAACAGTTTTAAGGGAAATGAAGCAATTAAGCAGCAATTTTTGAGGGAAGAAAGCAGTTGATTGATTAATGAAAGCTTAAAAATGGAGTCTTGGATCTGAGTGACTTCAGGCCACCACTCTCTAGGGAGCACCTTTAGGGTACAAATCTCTTTAACCTAGGAATTACAAAATGACTGCCTACCCAACACACTCCCCCTTCCCCTTTCTTATATTTACACAACAAGCCAAGAATAGATTGGACAAAAAGGCAGCTGTCACTGATTGTTAGGAAAATTCCCCTGCTCCTGCTGTGCTTGAGGTATTTGGTGTGCTTGTGTCAGCCCCTTCCTTCCCTTACGCTTGTAGGTGATCCATTCCTTGTGCGTGCTCTTCCCAGCATACCCAGCATTCGTTACACCTCCCCCTCCTTCAAAATTCACCTTGTCCTCAAGGTGAAATGAGGGAAACCTTTCGTGAATTACTGCTGCTTCTTCCCAGGTTGCATCAATTAAGGGCAAGCCTTGCCACTTAATGAGCACCTCCAAAATGTCAGGGTCTCCCTTGGCAGCCCTCGAGTCCAGCACGCTCTCAGGTTCTGTCTTGAACTCCAGTTCTTCTGTCAGCTGCACAGGAATGGTAGGACTGGCCACTTGCTCCCCTAAGGCACGCTTAAGCTGAGACACATGAAACACGGGGTGAACCTTACAAGTCTCTGGCAGCTCGAGCTTGTAAGCCACCTGACCAACCCGCTGAATCACCTTGAAAGGCCCGTAGTAGCGCGGAGACAACTTCTCATTGGGCCTTCTTGCAAGGGATTTTTGTCGGTAGGGTTGAAGCTTTAAATAACTGAGTCCCCAATCTGAAACTCTTCCTCCCTCCTTCTCAAATCCGCATGGTATTTCATCCTTTGCTGTGCTCGGACCAAATTCAAGTGTAGTTCATCTAACACCCAATCTCTTTCTTGTAACCATTCCTCTAACTTATCCACTGGGGTCTGCCCTCTGCCCACCTTGATCAGCTTGGGTGGATCCCTCCCATACACTACCCGAAAGGGTGTAAAACCAGTAGAAGCATGATAGGCTGTATTATAGGCGTATTCCGCCCAATGCAGCCACTTTCCCCATGATTTGGGCTTGCCATTAACAAAGCAACGCAAGTATGTTTCCAAGGTTTTGTTAACAACCTCGGTTTGCCCGTCAGTTTGGGGATGGTAAGCGGTGGTTCTCTTAAGGTCCGTACCTTGTAATCTAAACAACTCCTTCCAAAATATGCTTAGGAATATACGATCCCTATCCGACACAATTGATGTGGGCATTCCATGTAAACGTACAACTTCCTTAGTAAACACTTCCGCGATTGTTAAAGCACTATAAGGGTGCTTTAACCCGATGAAATGTGCGTACTTGGATAGCCTATCCACTACTACCAAGATCGAATCAACACCCTTTGAATTCGGAAGTCCCTCCACGAAGTCCATTGAGATATCCTCCCAAATGGCCTCGGGAATTGGTAAGGGCTGTAACAACCCAACCGGTTGCAATTGAGAGTGTTTGGCTTGTTGGCAAACGGCACATTGTTTCACATACGCTGCTACCTCTTTTCGCATCCCCTTCCAATATCACTCGGCAGCCAACCTTAAATAAGTCTTAGTCTCCCCTTGGTGTCCACCCACCGGGCTGTCATGGTATTCTCTCAACAATTTAGAGATCATGGAGGATCCCTTAGGAAAGCACTACTCTCCCCTTAAAGAGTAATCTCCCTCCCTCGAGTGAAAACCCTACTTGCGGCTCTTGCCTGCTGACAGCCACTAGTTTGCCAAGATCCAAATCAGCCTTTACTTCTTTTTCCACCTCCCCCCAGTCAATTCCCGAGGTAGTGACCATGGTTGTAAGTTCCCTCAGCCTTTCTCCCTTCCGTGACAAGGCATCTGCTACTCGGTTACTCGCTCCGGGTTTGAATTGAATTTCTAAATCAAACCCCAATAATTTTCGAACCCATTTTTTATAGTCACCGCCCACCTCCCTTTGCTCCATGATATACTTTAAACTTTGTTGGTCGGTTCGCACCACGAAACGGCTCCCGAGCAAATAATGCCGCCATTTAACCACGGCCAAACAAATGGCCATTAGTTCCTTCTCATAGATGGCCTTGGCTTGTGATTTCGGGCCTAGCAACTTACTGTAGAAAGCCACAGGTCGAGAGTCTTGCATTAATACCGCACCTAGCCCATAGCCGGAAGCATCGGCCTCCACTATGAACATCCTACTGAAATTAGGCATGGTGAGTACAGGGGCAGAAGTCATGGCTCCCTTCATCCTCTCAAAAGCTGTCGTGGCCTCCATTGACCACCCAAAATTATCCTTGCGTAGCTGCTCGGTCAGGGGCCTTGCTATTTGAGCATAGCCTTTGATAAATTTTCGATAATACCCTGTCAACCCGAGGAAGCCCCGCAACTCCTTCAACATCCGAGGAATAGGCCATTCCACCATCGCCCTAACCTTTTCAAAGTCTACTGCCACTCCTTCCTTCGACACAATGTGCCCCAAATAGGCTACTCTCGGTTGGACGAACTCACATTTTTTGAAATTTGCCACCAGTTGATGCTCCTTCAATGTGGAGAGCACCTTTTTCATGTGCCCCAAATGACTCCTTATCGGGGCTGTAAATTAGAATATCATCGAAAAACACGAGCACAAACTTTCTCAAGAACGGTCTAAACACCTCGTTCATAAGTGCTTGAAATGTGGCCGGTGCGTTAGTGAGCCCGAAGGGCATTACTAGAAATTCGTAGTGCCCTTCGTGGGTCCTAAAAGCTGTCTTATGTGTGTCCTCCTCCCGTACCAAAATCTGGTGATATCCCGATTTAAGGTCGAGTTTCGAGAAAACAGCAGCCCCGTGAAGCTCATCGAGCAATTCCTCGATTATAGGGATGGGGTATTTGTCGGGTATTGTCTCTCGATTCAGAGCACGGTAATCCACACAAAATCTCCACGAATTATCCTTCTTTTTAACCAACAAAACAGGCTGGAAAATGGACTAACAGACGGTTTGATTATTCCCGCCTCAAGCATCTCCTTGATTAATCTCTCAATTTCATCTTTCTGAAATTGGGGGTATCGATATGGCCTCACGCTCACTGGATTGCTGCCTTCCTTCAATATTATAGCGTGCTCATGCCCCCGTTTTGGAGGCAATCCTTTCGGAGCTGCGAAAATTTTCTGATGCTGCTCAATAATTTCTGCCAGCCACCCTGGCACCGCCGTGCACCCCACCTCAGCCCCAGCCACTGCCACCTCCACACGGTTGATTTCCAGCCACAACCCTCCTCCTTCGTGTTACAGGGTGCGGAGCATAGCTTTGAGGGAGATCTTAGTCCGTTCCAAGGCCGGATTTCCCCTCAAAATTATCCTTTCCTCTCCCACCATGAAGCTCATAATGTGAGTCTTCCAGTTATGCACCACCGAACCCAATTTCTCCGGCCACTCGATCCCCAAAATTAAGTCAGCATTCCCCAAACGTAGTGGTAAGAAATTTTCCACCACCACGTAGCCTTCACGTAAAACGACTCTAACTCCTCGGCACCTCCCTCTTCCCCGTATGACATCGCCACTTCCAAGAGACACTAAATTCTCAAGCACCATCCACGGGCACCCCCAGTTCCGCCACCAACCCTTCCAAAATGAAATTATGGGTGGCTCCCGGATCTACTAAAATCACCACCGATTTAGGTCCAACCTTGCCTTCGAGTTTCATGGTGCGAGGGCTAGAAAGGCCCACCAGAGAGCAGACAGAAGCTCCTGGTGTTAGCTCTTCGTCGCTAGAGCCGCCGTCGGGTGGTTTGGAGGGGCCAGCGTCTTCGTCGTTCGCGCCGCCGAGGAGCAGCACGCTCATCTCTCGGTTCTTACACCGGTGGCCGGCACTCCATCTTTCGTCGCAACGAAAGCAAAGGCCCTTGGCCTTCCGCTTTTGGTGCTCGGCGTCCGTCAACCTCCGTGGCTCAGTTGTTTTCGTCGAAGAGGAGCTGGTGGGTTTGGGGAAATTAATAGATGCTTGGGATTCTGATGGGGCTTTAGGCCATCCCTTGAAAGAAGCCGTGCTTTGGGTCGGAGTGCCATATGTGCTGATGAGGCCTGGCAGTTGAAGTTGAAGTCGGCCCAGGTGCAAACTTAAGCCCACTTTGGGCTCCCGTGGTCTTGCTCGATCCAAGAAATTCGGACCCCCTTCTATAACCACTTACCCGATTCCTTTCTTCGACCCGACCCGCAATCTCCATGGCTTGCTCCAGATTAAACGGTGGACTCCTCGGTTGCCGCCAGCCACTGCTCGTGGAGGCTTCCGGCGTGGGTTGGCCAGAATTGGCACAAGACGCGGACTTTCACGTTCTCCCAGCTTGGTATGGTCGACGCCTATTCTCCCATTGGTACCACCTCAACGCGTCGCCTTCCATAGCGGAGATGGCGGATTGCAACTTCTGGTCCTCCGTGAGTTGGTAATATTGGAAGTACTTTTCCGCCTTAAATATCCACCCATCGGGGTCCGTACCTTCGAAACGGGTAAGTCCAGCTTCCTGGGTTTCCAGCGGTGGTCGCCGCCACCATTTGAGTCATTGAAGTTACGCATCCCAAAGTTGCTACCTTGCCCTTGCTCGTGATTTCTCTGATTCACCAGGTTGCGCAACTCCTCAAAGAATTGAGCTTGGGTGGTTGTTTTCACCGTCATTTGAGCCTCCTGCTGTTGCCGCAACAGCTCGAAACGGTGGTCCAGCCGTTGAACCGCATCCTCCATCGACTTCTTTAGGGTGTCTTTCTGAGTCTTCATGGCCGTCTCTAGGGCTCCCAGCTGATTTTGAACTCCGGTCATCTGCTCTTCCAAGGTGTCACACCTCTGAGTCGCAGAGATAACCATGTTTGTGTTTTTTTTTTTTTTTTTTTTTTTTTTGATAATCGGAGTTGGTGCAGGGGTTGGTGGTTTCCTGCTTCGGTGGTCGCAAGACCGCCGCTCTGATACCACTTGCTACACACTAACTCAATATAACAGTTTTAAGGGAAATGAAGCAATTAAGCAGCAATTTTTGAGGGAAGAAAGCAGTTGATTGATTAATGAAAGCTTAAAAATGGAGTCTTGGATCTGAGTGACTTCAGGCCACCACTCTCTAGGGAGCACCTTTAGGGTACAAATCTCTTTAACCTAGGAATTACAAAATGACTGCCTACCCAACACACTCCCCCTTCCCCTTTCTTATATTTACACAACAAGCCAAGAATAGATTGGACAAAAAGGCAGCTGTCACTGATTGTTAGGAAAATTCCCCTGCTCCTGCTGTGCTTGAGGTATTTGGTGTGCTTGTGTCAGCCCCTTCCTTCCCTTACGCTTGTAGGTGATCCATTCCTTGTGCGTGCTCTTCCCAGCATACCCAGCATTTGTTACAAATCATGACTTATCCTAATGACCAAAGACAAAAATTGGAAAGCATTAGGATACTTTTCTATTATTTGGGTTGCTTGTGTTTAGCTGTTTGGCTTGTATTTCCATTGAGCTTTGAAAAGCAGTAGGATACTTTTCTATTATGCTCTATGTAGCTTAAATTTTGATATGTTTTTGCAGTTGAGGATTATGAAAGAACTGTGGAGCAGAATGAGGAATTTGGACTCAATGATATGGATACTTCTTCAGCAGATGATGCTTATGACGCAAACTAATATAATGAAACAAGTAACTTCAACCTGTGTCAAAAATCCCTGTTCTTTCAGAAGGGAAATATTTTTGTTTGTTTTGTAATTTAGTTTTTCTTTTCTTTTTTCTTTTTGGTAATCTATATCTGATGTTCTACTGCAATTTTTGTATCACTAGGTCATGTAACATTATATTTTATCAATGTAATACAATTTTTTCATTTTGATCATTATCAAATTGATACAGTAAAATAAAGAAACTTTTTTCTTTTTCTTTTCTTTTCTTTTCTTTTTTTTTTTTTTTTTTTTTTTTTTTTTTTTTTTTTTTTGCAAAGGTGTCAAGGAATTGTTTCTTTCTAATCTATTTTCAGATAGCTTGTTGTATCATACTCCTGCTTTCACACTTGAAATGGTCTTCATACCATGGTGATTTTTTTATTTTTTTGAAACAAATAAAATGATGGTTTTACAAGCTGAATTTGGGTTCTACACTAGTTTGAAGATCATTCCATAAATCATACGAAGTAAGATTTTCAATGCCCCTTGTGATATTTAAAGTTTGAGAATGAATAAAATGGTAGAAAACTAGAAACCAAAAATTGATTCCTATTGCTCTTTTGTTTCTGATTGTTCAATTGTAAGAACCGGTCATGTGTATGTTGGATAATATTTGAAATTCAGAGAAAAAAAAAACGTGATATTTGAATAATGAAAGACTATTTGTTACATAGACCAATTTTTAAAAAACTATCCTTACATAAGGACATTATCTCGAGATTGGGATAATGAAACAGATTTCAGAGCAGATAATAGCAGCATTGTAGAAGTTTACATCACAAGGCATAGGTTTCAAAACTCCTTGATAGTTCCTCAAGAGTGTATGTTGAGTTTAAGTTCACACATATTGACAGAGAAGCAACTAAAGGTAGAAGTCTCCATGGAATACTCTTGGCACCAATGGTAAAATTTTTCCTGTCGTTAGTTAAGAGTTTGACAACCACCCATCTCTTTTGGCCATTTCATAAAGAGCAATTGCCATGAGAACTTTGGCATCAGCTGTTAAGCGCCAAAGTTGAGCATATGGGACTACATGCACTTTTATGATCTCACCGTGATCTTGAAGACCAGTTTTCTTACCCTGCAGCTGCTGAATAATCTCTTTACCCACTTGTCTTTGATACAGAAAGACATTGAGTTCCTCATCACAACCTCCCTAACATGAAAAATAAAACAATGAAATTATAGAGCAATGCTATATACAAGCTGAAAGTAATGACAGCTAACACTTCATATTTGGTCATAAATGAACATGATCATACAGTTATCTTTAACACTTGTCATAAACTACTGTCATGCAAGAAATCAAGTCGACAAAATAGATTATATGTGTCATTCAAGCTATGCATATCTGCTTTAATAACACTAATTTGCAAATTTAACCATTATACAGGATTAAGGACCAACTAACCGGTGAGGGGAAAACTTTGCCTCCAGTTGATGGATCCAAGAAGGCTGTAAGCTCAACCATATCCTCTTTATTCAAGTTTATACCAGTTTCTTCTTCAACCTGTCACACAGATTTATATTTTGAGCAAAGCATTTCTAGGAGTCAACTTTAATCCCACATTACAATAATTACATAAAACAAGAGAATTGAGAAACATGAATATCACTAATTAATCTAATTTAGTCAATATACAGGATCACAATCAAGCATGCGATGTTTCTAACCAAAAATTCCAATTGAAGATGAGCAATTCGCAACAATAGAAGGAATAAACAAATAGGTCGTTTGTGCAGCAAGACAAAATGATAGCAGTTCTATAGGTGAATATTGAGAAGAGAACTATTACTTTTATGCTACAAAGTGTATATAAAAGACAAGGATATAGGAGGCAAAAGAGAGACCTCACGAACTGCAGTACCCACAAAGTCACCCTTGTCATCATCCAACATTCCAGCCGGCAATTCTAGAACAAATCGCCCTGTAGGGACCCTAACCTTGCACAGACAAAATATCAATTAGACTTGAGATTGGAGCAGCATATTAGCAATGATGCTCAACATCAATTGGTAGGTGATAAACTTAAAGCATGGCTTCTTTCACCCAGATAATAAATCTCATCTTGCAGTGCCAGTATTACTTAACATAAAAAAAGGGGAATACCTGTTCTGTCAGAACAGCATAAGTCTCACCCTCAGACTCCAAAAGGATGAGGATGGCTACAGCTGGTCCTCGTGCAAACACAATGCCAGGAACCTAAACCAATTCAATATATAAGTACACACATTTTCGAGAATTCTCAAAGCTATAATGGCAATTGGTAGTTTAACATCTGATACAATGTTAAGGGCGGTTTGAGCTTGCACTTACTAAAAACAGATTTTTAGGACTTCTACAACCAATCAGAAATTGATACCTTTTTCCCCATTTCCTTGTCAATAACATCTGCTTTGAACTTGAGAAACCCAATGCGCTTTCCAAAATAATCCACTCCCTGATACCATGCCAATTAACTCAATCAGTACACAGCTCTAACTAGCATCGCACGCCCATAAGGGAGAGGAAGAGAAGGAACAAGAAATGCTCCTTTCTTTATGAAAATAATTCTCTTACAGTAACAACCCTACATAACCTATGATCTCATTTTACATAATCCTACTAAAATAATTTTTGTAACAGTTTTATTCCCCTACCCCCCTCTCACTCACTAATTCATAGAGAAAGTGTCATGAGAAATCTAAGCATGATCTTTACAGACCTTCCTGAATTACTTAAATAGTTAAATGTCTGAAGAAGTTGCTAACAATATTTTTGTAAGATTAATCATGAAAAGTTGCTAACAGTGTAGCAATTATTCTGGAACGGAGGGATTAAGTGACTTATATATCAAATTGGGGGTGTTACACACTCACAAATCACAATGTATTCAGGATGGATGGAGCAGGTTTACCATATGAGCAATCAAGTTAAAGAGAAGTATATATTTTTGATATGTATGTGATTCAAACAATTGAAAAAACAATTACCAATAATTATCAAAAAATGAAGTTGGGAAACTATTACTACCTGAATAAGAACTTTGTTCAAAGACATAACCCCATTATTCAAAGCCCCATTTTCAGCCTGCAAGTTTTTCAGCCATTGTTGAAACAAAGACGAATCAATCGCATTCCTGTAAATACCCACATTCATCAATCAATTAACAAGTACAAAAACTTAAAATTTTCCTGTAAAATCAACATTTTACACTATAATAATAATAATTGATTGATGGGAAACTCACCTGAACTCAGAAGGGGTGATTCCGGGTGCAGCAACGATTTCGACGGGTTGACCCGGTAGAGTGATGGTGTGAGTGAGTTGGGTTGATGACTCGGTTGACATTGAAGAAGAAGGGAAGCAAAAGGGTCTTCTGAAGCGACTAAAGTGGAGTTTTTTAGAAGAGAGTGGAAGAAGAAAGGAGGTGGATGAATGCAATTGCGTCACTCTTAAAGCCATTGGATGTTAACTTGGAAATTGGAGGATCCGGTTGTATATGATACTCCCTGGGTGTTTGGTATGAAAATTTGTAGCATAGAAAACGTAAATGAATAAGTGTTTCCGTTTCTATTAGTTTGGTATGAGCTATAAGTAACAAATATCATTTCCAAAGGGTAACAAAATCCCCCAAATTGTTACCCTTATCCAACTAGTGGAAACAAAATGTGTTTTCCTCCTCAATCATAAACTCCTCAATTTGTTTCCATTTTATAAAGATACCAAACATATATCAAAAGTAATGTGTATCAATACCCTTTCCCTTACTTATATAAATTCTTTCCATTCCGTTTACGGAATTTATACCAAACGCCCCAAAATGTAATTGCGTTACTCCGTGTTTTAATAAGAGTTACACATCAATCGTCATATAGTTTTAGGCAAATCAATTGACTTAAATAAATAAATAATTTGCCAACAACTTCAATGACAAATATTGAGAACAAGTACCGTTTAAAATTTTCTTTTAAAAAAATAACACAGTCATAAAAACTTTGAATAGCATTACTATATTTAATTTTATGACAAAAATTTCCGGTTGAGAGAGTCTAATTGATAAATTTTTAATTAATTGTGGTATAAATAACAAGATATTTTGATAGTCTAACACAATTGTAGTTCAGTTATCTTTAATTTTGCATTATAGTTGATTTAATTTCTCAATTAAATCTTAAATTAGGCTTTATGGTAAAAAAAAAATTGAATTAACTTGGGGGATTTAGGGTTTTCCAGAAATGGGGTATCGAAGAGGAAAGTGGGACCCATTGGAGATAATCATGCTTCACCGACGGGAAGATGAAGGAAGGTGGTGGCGGGGGCTGGTTTTAATAGAGAGGAAGAGGGAGTATGTAAGTATGTTTTCATCGGAATGAAATGGGGAATGATATGACTCATCATATGAGTCAGCGGTTTCATGAGTTGTCTATGGATATCTGATGCTTTTATTTACAATTCTATCATTAGAATAACAAACTTCATTAATAAAAAAAAAAATCAACCTGTATTTCCTCAACTTTGTTACTCAACCTTTCTTACTAGGTTACTTCGTAGTGTAATAAGGGTTACTTGGTCAGTGTTAAAGGAGTTACTTTGTCAATGTTATAGGATAACTCGGTTGGTATTATAGGGGTCACTTGGTCAGTGTTGCTTTTCCTAATGTACTAGATATATAATTCGAGTAAAAAAAATACGTTGTATATGAAATTTGATTTAAAATCTATAACTCTGCCAATATCGATTCAAGAACTCTAATTATTAATAAAGTAGTGTTTGAATTCAAGTATCCAACAATAAATCAAATTAATTTTGTTATTGATTATTTGACGCAGTCAAACAATTGAAACAAAAACTTTTGTATCCCCGGTTTACAATAATTTTACTGTACATCGAACATTTTGCGAAAAGTGACCCTTTTTCGTACAAAAGTTACCCCTTTTTTTCACAAAAATGACCTTTTTTTCCACAAAATGACCCATTTTTTTCCATAAAAGTATTTTTTTTTTCTTCACAAAAACGACCCTTTTTATTCACAAAAGTGACTTTTTTTTCCCAAAAGTGATCCTTTTTTCCACGAAAAAAAGGCACTTATTCAGGCTCATCTACTTTCATAAAGAGATTTATAAGATTGTTGAATGCCTATACTTCATCTCACCCATCTTATCAGAAAGAGCCAATACTTTCAGTCATCTTTCCAGTACAGTAACAATTCAAAGAGCTCCATATGAAGCCTTTTTTCACTTCAGAAGGAAGACTATCAAAAGTACTTCTCTGCTTTGCAAATACCCTTAGCTTTACAGAGTACGATATACCAATAGGAAGTGCACTTTAATCACATACGAGATACGACATACCAATATACCAAGATAGTATCAAATTAGCAAGAATGCTTAAATTTGTCCTTCTCCATCCATTCAAGGATCGGTATGAAGCAAGATCACAAGATTCAATCATAAAAGAAAATGATTTGCAGCAAAAAAAAGAGGAGAGAACAGGAAAGTAAGAGTAGAGAAAGAAACTGAAAGAACAAAGCAGTCAAAGAAGATCCTAAAAATGAAAAAAAAAGGAAGAAGGTGCGAGCAGCGAGCCGATTTACAATATCGTTATTGTTAATCGGTTTTTAATAAATTTTAATAGCTACTCATTCCATCTACGAGTAGCTTCTGAATAGAGCAAAGTATATGTCAGCAAATTATTATAGTACCGAGGAGTGAGTCTGGGCGCATAGCACCTATGGGCGAGTTATGTACATAGGAGGGTAAGAAAGTAATTTCCGGTGATTTAATTTTTAAAACCAAAGGTCTAGTGGTACATTATAATGTACCATTATGCATGTATAATGTATCACTAAAGTATAAATTTTCTGAATAATACTTTTTATGGACTATTACGTGTGTAATGGTACTTTTTACTATCCGATAGGTTGAATATTTTCCCTCAAAATACTTACTACTTGTCACTTATTATGCATGTAGTGGTACATTTTTTCATTCACCTGTCACTTATTATACATGTAGTGATACATTTTTCATCTTATTATCATCCTATATGCGCTGAAATCTATAGGCGCTATGCGCCAAGACTTAATCAGTACCGAGTACTCGATAAAGTAGAGTAAGATTCAGCACAGCAGCTCAAAAAAACATGTCTAACACTAAGTATACAACCAACTCATTACATAACTTCGTACGTGTAACAATTTCCCGCTAATCGCCAAACATGTTTGGATTTATCGCCAAAAAATGACATCTTCTTCTCTCCAAACATTTTATACAGGAACTGGAATCACTCGAAGTCTCTGATTTTTCTCCAAAGTAAACGCAAAATTCTCCTCCATATCCATCTTCTCCGAAGAAACTTCATCTTCTAACTTCCAATCAAACCCATGAATCAACGAACCCAGAATCAATGGAATTATCCGAATCGCCAATGGCAACCCAGGACAAATCCTACGCCCAGCACCAAATGGAATCAGCTCAAAATCACAACCCTTCACATCAATTTCAGATCCCACAAATCTTTCTGGCTCAAATGATTCGGGTCTTTCCCAAACATCCGGGTCTCGCCCGATTGCCCATACATTCACCAGAACTTGAGCGTTTTTGGGTATTGTAAACCCGAATAATTTCACATCTGATTCAACTTTTCTGGGTACTAGAAATGGTACTGCTGGGTGTAATCTAAGGGTTTCTTTTACGATTGCTTGTAAGTATGGAAGATGGGTGATGTCGGATTCTTTTACTGGGTTTTGTTTTCCTACTGTTTGGTGGAGTTCTTGTTGAGCTTTCTTTAATTTTTCTGGGTTTTTGAGTAGTTCTGCCATTGCCCATTCTATGGTGCTTGATGTTGTGTCTGTTCCTGCTGCGAATAAGTCCTGTAAATGAGATGATTGAGATTTTTGGATTAGTGCATGTAAAGTGTTTGATGAAATGCTTCAAAGAATCTGGGAACAAATGATTAGGTTTTTGGATTGTTGCAAATAAAGTGTTTGATGAAAGAGACATGCTTTCAAAGAAAAATCTGATAAAAAATACACTTTATATTTTGGTTTTTGGCATATTGCATATGATGTGTTTGATGAAATGCCTAATGGATTAGTACAAATTTGATATGCAGGTTTATGGATAAGTGCAGATAAACTATTTGAGGAAATGCTTCAATGAATGTGGTTAAAAGTAAAGAGCAGCTGAGAAAGTATTATGTATGTACCACAAATAGATTAGGGATCTTTGATGGATCGATTTCCTCGGTTTTCTCTTGGTTAATGCCTAGTAATGCATCGAGAAAGTCGTTGTATTGTGTTGTGTCTGATGATCTCTTGCTCTGCAACCTTTGCTGAATCATGGAGTTGAATAAATCTATCATCTTTTGGAAGTGAACACTCATTCGCCGCCTGATGCCTTGTGGGTCTATCTTCTTAAGAATTGGGAAATAATCTGCAAAGTTTGGTTTTCCTGCTTCATCCATTATACATCGTACTGTCTCTTTAAATTCACGAGTAAACTCTGAATTAGGGTCACCCAAATTTACTGAAAAGAAAGTGCTTGATAGCAGATTCAGGATAGTGGTAAAGGCTGCTTGCCCAATATCAACTGTTGTATTGGTTTCACTGCATTTTTGTACATAGGAAAGGAGATCTTTAACCTGGTTTACTCGAAAGCTTTGGCTTGCATCAAGTTTATTGTTGGAGAAAACATGAGAGTTGCAGATTTTGCGAAAGTTTCGCCATTTTGTTGATACCGGTGACCAGACTATAGAATTTTCGTGGTGATTGAGTGCACAAACAGCATCAATAACCATCCGGTTGGAGAAGGAAATATCATTCCTTTGGAGGGCTTCCTTGGCGATGTCAGCTGAAGAAATGATTACTGTTGGGACTCGGCCGAGCTGCAGAGTCATGAGAGGGCCGTATCTCTTGGAAAGCTCAGTTAAGGAGACATGTGGTTTGGTTCCTAGGCTGAAGAGGTTCCCAAAGATAGGTACAGTGGGCGGACCCGGTGGTAATGTCCGTGGATGTGAATCACTGCTTTTCTTTGCATTTGAGAGGATAAGGTGGATTGCAATCCATGCTAGAAGAAGATACAACACAAAACTCAGGTAATCCATGATTATGTGATTTCAGTCTGTATTTCTTTGTACTTGATAAGTTGGCCTATCTTATACTCTCCACATCTGGGGTCCTTGTGGATCTAAGATTAATCTGCTTTGTTGTTTGGATTGTGAATATGATGGATGGATTAGTTACCACGTAATGCACGTGGTGTTGGAGGGGGCATATCATTTAAGTGGGAGCAGGCTCATTTAGATATCTAGTATATAGGACCATTCTGGATGAGACAAAATTAGAATGACAATTAATTATATAAAAAATATATAATAATCACTGACTCCCACTAAAATAGCTGGTTGCTTGATACTGCATGATTTGTATATATTTACTATAAAATTATAAATATCTACCATATATGTTTTCTGATCGCCTGGAAATATCTGGATCACCCTGGTATGTTCGATGGCCTGGCTCAGTATAGCCCAGGATCAGCCTAATTTAAACCGGGTCAGATCCAATTTTTGTGTATATCGCTGACAGTTGTACTTTGAAGACTCAAATACATAACCTTGTGATGAAGATGATTAATGCCAAAACCAACTACATTCAGGAGGGTGCACTGTGCAGAAGTGCAGACTAATCATGTTCTAAAAGTTGTATGTGTACTTATATAATTGCCTTTCCACTCTAATAAAATATACTAAGAGCTAGATGAATGACATACTGGATAGCCAATTGTATAAGTACACATATGACTAATCAATGGCTGCGTTCCATCTAAAGTGGCAAATAGATGTCATCTGGTGATTTGATATTGTTGAAACTTGAAAGGCTTGTCCGTGTATCTGACGGCACTCCTTAGAAGCCGTAATCTTCTTATAGAAGCATGTGACAAAACATTTCAATGTACCTCACTTTTTTGTCTGTGAAATAACCTTGTGAAATAGAAGATGTAAAATAGTTTACTTGTAAAGCCTGTGGCTCTGAAAAAGTTTATTTACAAACTTGTAGTTCTTGTGAATTATCACTATGTGCTTAAGCAAGGGAACCCCCCCAATATTGAGAGGCTGTAAATTTAAATTGTTTAATGGGATTATTTTTATATTGGGTTCTCTGTTTATTCTGAATTAACTATCCCTAAATATTAGGCCACACTTGAGTGAGGAATAATTGTGTTAAAATACCATGACTGTTGTATCTTCTACATCTCCATCCCAGTAGTCCCTCATACGAGCGAGTTATTTAACTTGCTTAAATCAAAAGTTGGCATATCAATTTGCGATTGCTGAAATAGTAACGTGGCCTATTTTTTAGGGAGAAGCTCTTCCATATAGGAAAACAGATGCCCCTTTTGTTTAATCTGAAACAGGGTCTACTCTGTTTGGTGCCTCCTGTACGTCTGTAAATGATTTTCATGAATTAGTACCACTTATTTGACATTTATCATACTGATAGCTGGATTTTCTCATCTAGCATTCTGGTGGTCTGGCTATCTCTAAATTTTCACAGTGATGAACAGTAATATAACTATACAAGCCTCTAAAATATGTAGAATTGTATATCAAGCATAAATAAAGATATTCATCTCTATTAGGGACTTGAGGGAAGTACAAACCTTGGCTGTAATTTAGACATTTTAAGAATCTTTAAATATAGAACAGCATTTTCTAAGAATCAGTTTTTCTTTGATGGGTGATCAACTTCACGTTTAATTGGAGTAGTAGTGTTCATATTTGGAATATCAATAACTCCTTGTTTATTTTAATACCATGATATCGACTCTTAAGTGATAGGTCTAACTATAATAAGCTCTTTACTGTTGCAGGTCTATGGTTGCATACTTGCATACACCTTATTTACTTCTACAACACAAACTGGTATGATACAGTAATATTCAGACACATACTGGAATAGCATGAAGTCGTTGAGCTTTCTGCAGTGAAATCCCAAATCTCTCCTCCATATTCATCTTCCCAGGTGAAATTCCGCCTTCCAGCTTCCAGTCAAACCCATTTACCAGTGACCCCAACATCAAATAAAGCATTCGAATCGCCAATGGCAATCCAGGACAGATTCGACGACCAGCATCAAATGGAATCAGCTCAAAATCATGACCTTTAAAATCAATGTGTGATTCCAGAAATCTTTCTGGCTCAAATGAATTTGGGTTTTCCCACACATTTGGATCTCTCCCAATTGCCCATGCATTGATCAACACTTGTGCGTTTTTTGGCACTGTAAAGCCGGAAAGTTGTGCATCTGAATCTACTTGTCTGGGTAATAGAAGAGGCACTGGTGGGTGTAATCGTAAGGTCTCTTTTACTACTGCTTGCAAGTATGGAAGCCGGACAATATCTGGTTCCTCTATTGGGTTTCCTTGTCCGATGATTTCATTGAGCTCTGCTTTTGCTTTCTTCAGCTTTTCTGGATTGTTAAGTAGCTCAGCCATAGCCCATTCGAGGGTGCTTGATGTTGTGTCTGTTCCTCCAGTAAAAAGGTCCTGGAAAAAAAAAATCCAAGTTGTGGAGTAAGCCAAAGAAGAAATTAAGTACAATTTTTTAATGAAGTGATGAAATAGTAATGGCAGAAGACAAACTAGTAATAGGTTTGGGATATCTGGTGATTCAATTTCCTTAATTTTCTCCTGATTGATGCCCAGCAATGAATCAAGAACATCACTCTTTGAGCCTAATGAGTTTTGATTGTCCCGTAGTCGTTGATCAATCATGGTCTGATACAGATTCATTAGCTTCTTAAAATAAACACTCATACGACGCTTGATGCCCTGTGGGTCTATCTTTTGAAGTATAGGGAAATAATCTGCAATATTGGGCTTCCCTAGTTCTTCTATCATTTCTCGTGTTGTTTTTTTGAATTCACGAGCAAACTCGGAACTGGGGTCACCCAAATCCACTGAAAAAAGGTGCTTGCTAACAAATTTAAGGCAGTGGTGAAAGCTGCTTGGCTGATATCCACAGCTTCACCGAATTCACTGCTTTTCTTCACAAACTTAAGAAGATCTTTGACCTTATTTCTTCGAAGGCTTTGGCTGGCATCGAGTTTGCTGATAGAGAAAACATGTGTGTTGCAGATTTTGCGTAGGTTTCGCCACTGAGATGCTACCGGCAACCAGACTATTGATTTTTCGTGATGGCCAAGTGCATGGATACCATCCAACACCATCCGGTTGGAGAAGCAAAGATTATTCTTTTGAAGGGCTTCTTTGGCTACGTCTGCTGAAGAAATGATCACAGTTGGCACACGACCGAGCTGCAGAGTCATGATAGGTCCATATTTCTTGGCAAGTTCAGCCAAGGAGATATGGGGCTTGGAGCCGAGGCTGAAGAGGTTCCCAACGATGGGTAGAGGGGGCGGCCCAGGTGGTAGTCTTGATTCATTGCCTTTCTTAGCAAATGATAGGAGGAGGTGAACTCCAGCCCATGCTAATACAAGACACAGCATAGAAGCCAGATAATCCATGGCACTTCTAATGGATTGTTTAATTGTTTTTATTGGATGTGTAATGTATCAATGTACTTTGTATATAGTTAAACTTGTTACAATGTTAGTACTTAGTAGTGCAGGTGTTATTTTATATCTCCCTTCCTCAGTTAATTTCAAATTTTAATCTTTTTTTTTAATTGTTTATAAGAGTTAATTTCCAAACTTGTGGATGATTGAATGGTCTACACTTCTTCTAGAATCAATTACGAAGTATCTGCTTTGTTTACATTTTTCACTTGAAGTATCTGCTTAGTCTGTAAAAACCCAGTTTGATTTAAGTACCTTTCAATACTAGGTTTTTTTTTAAAAAAATAAAATAAATTAAAAATAAAATTAATATCCAATTATGACGATTTAGTATAATTTTTTTGTTTGGATTTATCATTTGAGAAAGTGTGTTATCTGACACGACTTTCTAATGAATTAGTGAATTACATTAACATTTAAGTACTGGTACCATAATTCAAGAGAGAACATTGAATATATAACCTACTTAGCCAATGCGGGTTCATTTTTTGCAAAAATCACTCATGAGTGTGAGATGAGGTGTCAATTCGGGTAGGTAAGTCGGATTCGGTGAGTTTGGATCAGGGTTATTTCAATTTTGGATAATGCTATAATATTGTATTCATAGTTTCATACAATCATATATGTTGAAATCTTAATCGGATTTTGTTTGGATCGGATGAATTTTTAACATCTTTAGTGTGAGTATCTACTTGATGACCCCTGTCGAAAATTATGTCTAAACCCCGCCCAAAATTGGTCATATTAGGGGATTTTACTATTTATTACGTTTTGCTTAATATAAACAAAAACTTTTATGGTTAAAACCGTGAATCACATTGAACTAACCTACAATAATATACTTACCTAATTACATTTCAATCACAACTCTCAACATATTTGATTATCAAAACATAAAATATTGGTCTCCAACTTCAAATTAACAAATAATAAACTCCTCAACGTTCAAAATATAATTTTTTTTTAAGCCCTACCCCTTCGTTTCTTTTTACTATCTCAGTTGCATTATTGCACATCTTCTTATACCAAAAAAAAAAAAAAAAAAAAAAAAAAAAAAAAAAAAAAAAAAAACTTCTGGAGTGACATAACACAAGTCCTTTTTGGCAAAACTAGCAGTAGGTAGTGGTCGAATAGCGGGTAGATTAGAGTAGTGAGTAGATGTCATGCCTATTAATTAGTTTTGGGTAGAGTTTAGCTCTCAATGTAACGATTAATAGTTGAGTGTTTGGTAAAACTAGCGGTTAAATTGTTAAAAATATAGTTAAAATACATGCATAATATTTACGAAGTAAATAAAATTTGTCAAAAGCTACCATATACCTTTCAAACGCTAATATTATTAATGTTTGACAAAATCTAGATAAACGTTACTTCTACTACTAACTGTTACCTGAATTGTTACCTTACCAAACACTCTTACATTTTCAAGCATGTTTTGATTTGATCCAAATGTTAACTGCTACTTAAAACGCTACCGTCAAACAGGACCAAGATCTCATAAATTATAGAGTACGAAGTATGCTTGAATATCAAAAATCAAAACAAATGTAAATTATTATGTTTTGAAATATATAAGCATTAAAACTTTGTATTATACTTATTTTTTTTGTTTAAAAAACAGAAATTAGTATCTCAAATTTGGGTGTAGCACGCCATCTGGGGTTGGAGTTACTTTGTTAGTATTATCGGAATTACTCGGTCAGTGTTAAATGATATATTCCATCGGTCTATTAGGGTAACTCAATTAGAATTACAGTAGCATCTCGGTCAATGTTAAGGAATTACATTAATCTTTTAAAATGATCAAATCATGTGATCAGTCGCATACAAAACGCGTTTTTCGAGTTTTTTTTTACTTGTCCAAGCCTTTACTCCCTCCGTCCCATAATATATGAGACGTCGGACTTTTTTTCCACCGTTCACACATTAGATTTGGCCATAATTTTTAACTACATAATAAAAATATATTTTATCATAAAATATGTTTAAATATAAAGTTTCATAATATAATTTTTAAAATAATTTTCATTAATATTTATTTGTATAATAATAAAGTCAAATTAGTGTATTGACATGTGTGCAATATTTAACTGTGCAACGTATTATGGGACAGAGAGAGTAATTTACAATTAAAAAAAAAAAAAAATAGTCCATATAAGCCCACCTACATATAAAATGTGTTTTTGGAGTTTTTGTTTTACTTGCGAGTAATTTATAATTAGTCCATATAAGCCAACCCGCAACATGACCTTCATGTCTAATTTGCTAAATTCTTTACCCTTTATACTTTTTTACTCGTAACAATTTTTTCTGCTAAAACTTCCACAAAAAAGAAAATGGATTAGGTTTCAATCAAACCCAAAACAATTGACTCCAGAGTCATCCAATTAACCAATGGCAATCCAACACAGATTTATGGGTTGCGGAGTAATTCCTCCATTACCCATTTTACTATTTTAGGGTGCTTGATGTTGTATCTGTAAGAGAGATATCAAGTTTCTGGGTTAGTGCTGATAAAGTGTTTGATAAATTGCCACAAAGAATTTGAGAAGAAAAGGGTTTTTGGATTAGTGCAGATTAAGTGTTTGATGAAATGTGTCAAAGAATCCAATAGAAAATTTGATCAAATGCCTCTAATAATAATACTGTAAATAATCTGGATTGGTGCAGATAAAGTGTTTGATGAAATGCCTCAAAGAATCCGGAATAAATTTAAAAGGTCAAGTTTTGGAATAATGCATTCAAGTGTTTTTGATGAAACGCCTTAAAGAATCTGATTTTTTAAAAAAGATTGTTTTGTATGAATAGGTATCTATGGTTTATGATTATTGGAGAGAAGTGTATGTTGAATTGCCTCATAATCTGATTTAAAAAATTAAAAGTATGATATCAAGGTTTTGAATTAGTGAATGTAATGTGCTCGATGAAATGACACACTGAACCTGACAGACAATGAGAAGCAACAGTGGAATTACTATTTTTTTTTTTTTCTAAACCAAGCTGCGAGAATTTTATTAAAGGAGATCAATTTCCGCCTAAGATATGAAGCTTTGGGGAAAAGGACCAAGAGATACAAGTTCATCACAATCTCTAGCATGAGGAATTACTACCTAATTACCTATGTACTGGTAATAGATAAGGGAGTTTTGGTGGTCTGATTTCAACGATTCTCCAGTAGCCCTATATCCGTCTTGAGGGCATAAACAATATCAATGCGATAATGGAGCACTGCCTTTTCTTGTATATGAAGATGGCACACAATGCTCAGGTAATCCATAGATTTCTAATTTTCCTGAGCTCAGTCTGCATCTTTTGTTGTGTATTTGATTTGTTATAGTGTTAGGACTATGTTAGTAGATAAGTGAATCATACATGCTGCACAATGCTCAGGTAATCAAATATTTCTAATTTTCTTGCGCTTAATCTGTATCTTTTGTTGTGATTTTATTTGTTATAGTGTAAGAACTATGATAGTGAATAAGTTAATCATACAAAATTCTGATCAATTATCATGTTTTTTCCCCTTCAGATAATATCATATTTCTTTTCTATTTCATATGACTGTATTGTTAAAAAAAGAAAAATTGAATGACAATATTGAGTAATAAGTGTTTTTAAATTTGATGGTTTATCAAATCCACTTTAAATTGAAGTAGTGATATTCACAACACTTGGACTTCAGAAATCTACAACTCAGTGTTTATTTTACAACAATGATATTGATTTAAAGTAATGTTCTTGATACTTTGAAATTCGGAAAATCTTTAACTCCTGCTAAAATTAATTCATGATATTGACTCTTTTCTGTGGCAGGTTCATGGTTGCACACACTTTATTACTTGAATACTTGTACAATGCAAACTGGAATGATATGGCAATTTTCAGACACGTACAGGTATAGCATGAAGTCGCTAAGCTTTCTGCAGGGTGATCCCAAATTTCTCCTCCATATCCATCATTTCGGGTGAAATTTCACCTTCCACCTTCCAGTCAAACCCATTTACCAGTGACCCCAACATCAGATGAAGCATCCGAATTGCCAATGGCAATCCAGGACAAATTTGACGGCCAGCTCCAAATGGAATCAGCTCAAAATCATTACCCTTAATATCAATCTGTGATCCCAGAAACCTTTCTGGCTCAAATGAATTTGGGTTCTCCCACACATCTGGATCTCTCCCAATTGCCCATACATTGATCAACACTTGTGCGTTTTTAGGCACCGTAAAGGAGGAAAGTTTCACATCTGAATCTACTTTTCTGGGTATCAGAAAGGGCACAGCTGGGTGCAGTCTGAAGGTCTCTTTTAAAACTGCTTGTAAGTACGGCAGCCGGACAATATCAGGCTCCTGTATTTGGTTTCCTTGTCCAATGATTTCATAGAGCTCTGCTTTTGCTTTCTTCAGTTTCTCTGGATTGTGGAGTAGCTCTGCCATAGCCCATTCGAGGGTGCTCGATGTTGTGTCAGTCCCTCCAGCAAATAGGTCCTGTAAAAAATATAACATTCATTGTTTGGAGAAAGCCAAAGAAAAGGTGACTGCAATTTTTTGTTGAAGGGATGAAAAAGGAAAATCAGATGACGTACTAGCAAGAGGTTTGGAATGTTTGACGGTTCAATTTCCATAGTTTTCTCCTGATTGACTTCTAGCAATGAATCCAGAACATCAGTGCCTTTAGTTGAGCTTAATGACTGCTTTTCCTACAATCGTTCGTCAATCAGTCTTAAATAGGCCCATTATATTCCCAAAATGAACACCCGTACGACGCCTGATGCCTTGTGGATCTATCGACTGAAGTATTGGGAAATAATCTGCAATGTTCGGTTTTCCTAAGTCCTCTATCATATCTCGTGTTGTTTTTTTAAATTTACAAGCAAAGTCAGAGCTGGGGTCACCTAAATCCACTGAAAAAAAGGTGCTTGCTAACAAATTTAAGGTAGTGGTGAAAGCTGCTTGGCCGATATCCACTGCCTCATCAAGTTGACTGCTTTTCTCCACAAATTTAAGAAGGTCTTTCACCTTATTTCTTCGAAGGCTTTGGCTAGCATCGAGTCTGCTGGAAGAGAAAACATGTGTGTTGCAGATTTTGCGGAGGTTTCTCCATTGAGGTGCTACTGGCAACCAGACTATTGATTTTTCATGATGGCCAAGTGCACGGACACCATCAACAACCATCCGGTTAGAGAAGGAAATGTCATTCTTCTGAAGGGCTTCTTTGGCCATTGCTGCTGAAGAAATTATCACTGTTGGCACACGACCAAGCTACAGAGTCATGAGAGGACCATATGTCTTGGCAAGTTCAGTCAAGGAGATATGCGGTTTGATGCCAAGGCTAAACAGGTTCCCTAAGATGGGTACAGAGGTTGGACCTGGTGGAAGATTTTTTCGGTTTGTTTCATTGACCTTCTTTACTACTGAGAGGAGAAGGTGGATTGTAATCCATGTTGATGCTAGGAACAGCACTAAATTCAGGTAATCCATGGGTCTTTCAGTGTTTAGATTGTTTGCTTGGTGTAGATTTTTGGTAGAAGGCCTCTCTTGTTGCTTACACTTGTGAGAGAAAAATAATTATATTGAAAGCATAAGTTATTTTATTGCTTAATATGCCAGTTATCAACATTGGCCACTTGCTGTTTGGCAGTAGCAGACTGATGTAAAAATAATATGTATCATGTATTATGCATTTATGCCCCATTAAAAAAAGCAAGCATATAGAATTATGGAACCTAAATCAGATATGGAAATCTTGGATTCATTTGTCTTTATTGATTTTGTAGGTTTATTTCTCTTTCTCTTGGCTAAGCATGTTCTCCCTCAATTTGATACATCATAAAATAGGATTACATGTCGGGGATCCCAAGATCCCTTATTTTCAAATATCATTCTTTTGTAGTGTCAGAACAAAATGCAAATTTCATTATATACAGAGTGGTTTGAGCTTACTATATAAAAGTCTTCAGGCTAAGCACGCTTACTGTAGGGTACAACGAAAGTCTACGAAGTATATTAGTATAGTTGAGAACTGTGTGACAATGCTTTAAGAAGAGCTATTGCTTCAACATCTCTATTTTTTTGCTCAATTCTTTGATAAGTGTGATTGTAGGTTTGTAGGGTTACAATTCAGATACGAACTGGAATGGCACAAAGTCGCTGAGCTTTCTCCACGGTGAGCCCAAATGACTCCTCCATATCCATCTCATCTGGTGAAATCCCATTTTCTAGCTTCCAATCAAAACCATGAATTAGTGATCCCAGCATCAAAGGGATCATCCTATTAGCCAATGGCAACCCAGGACAGATACGACGGCCAGCACCAAATGGAATCAGCTCAAAATCATGGCCCTTGAAATCAATATTTGATCCCATAAATCGCTCTGGCTCAAATAAAGTGGGATTTTCCCACAAGGTTGGATCTCTCCCAATGGCCCATGCATTTATCAGTACTTGTGCATTTTTGGGGACATTAAAGCCGAAGAGCTGCACATCTGCATCGGCTTTTTTAGGCAGCAGAAGTGGCACTGGTGGGTGCATTCTCAAGGTTTCCTTGACAATGGCCTGCAAGTATGGAAGCCGAGGAGTGTCAGTTTCTGCTAATGAATTTCCCTTTCCAATGATTTCTTGGAGCTCCATTTGTGCTTTCTTCAGCTTTCCTGGGTTGTGCAACAATTCTGCCATTGCCCATTCTAGGGTGGTTGATGTTGTGTCAGTTCCTGCTGAAAATAAGTCCTGCAGAGAAGAGATGTCAATTTTTTTTGAACGCAACAAAAACATCTCAATAACTTTTTTCAAGAGAGATACAGCAGATGACTACCAGTAGAAGATAAGGTATGATTGAAAGTTCAATTTTCTCATTTTTCTCATGATTAATGCCTAACAGTGCGTCTAAAACATCGTTGCCTTCAATTGATCCTGACGGCCTTTCCCCTTGCAACCTTTGGTTGATCATAATCTTGAAAAAATCTATCAGCTTTCCAAAGTGAACACTTGTACGTTGTCTGATGCCCTGTAGGTCAATCTTTTGCAGGAAGGGAAAATAGTCTGCAAAGTTGGGTTTCCCAACTTCTTCCATCAGGCCTCGTATTGTCTCTCGAAATTCACGAGCAATTTCAGAATTGGGATCACCCATATCAACTGAAAAAAAAGTATTTGACAGCAAATTGAGGGTAGTAGTGAATGCTGCTTGGCCGATGTTTACTGCTGTACCATCATCGCTGCTCTTCTCAACATAGAAAATAAGATCATTGATCTTATTTCTTCGAAGGCTTTGGCTAGCACCCAGTCTGCTGGCAGAGAAAACATGGGAATTACAGATTTTTCGTAAATTTCTCCATTCAGATGATGCTGAACCTGCTGGCAACCAAGCCACTGAATTTTCATGGTGTTTGAGTGCACGAACAGCATCAAGAATATGGCGGCTGGAGAAGCACACATCATTCTTTTGAAGGGCCTCTTTTGCCACGGCAGCTGAAGAAATGATCACTGTAGGCACTTGGCCGAGCTGCAGCATCATCAATGGGCCATATTCTTTGGCAAGTTTTGTCAAGGAGACATGTGGCATGGAGCCGAGGCTAAAGAGGTCCCCGGAGATGGGTAGAGGCGGTGGCCCTGGTGGCAGTTTCTTTTCATTGTTTTTCCTAGCAAAAGATCGGAGGAGGCGAACTCAATGCTAATACAAAACACAACACAGAATTCAGGCCATCCATGACACCTCTAAAGTACAGTATTGTTTGTGTTGGCACTCATAGGTATATTGTGTAACGTGGTGCAAGGATTTGTTAAATGTATGATTTTATATCCTCCCTCATTTAACTTACAAATATGTTGATGTGGCTACATAAATGAATGGTATGATCTGAATCTCTTCTGAATTTATTTATAAATTGAATTTTCTTTCCTACTTTTTTGGCTTGTTTTTCAAAAACCTGTCACATAATTCCATTACTACCTAAGACCTAATTAGTTGGTATTGACTATTGAGAGGCACTGAAAATATATTGAGGCTAAAAAAGTTATGTAAAGGTGATGTTGCTTTACCGTAGATTTGGGTTTATGACTTTGGTTAAAATAAGTATATGCAAGTAGATACATACTACGAGTAATCCGTATAATAAATATTACGAGTAATCCGTATAAGTATATGCTTTACTCATCCACCCCTCACTTGTAAGTGGAATAGTTCGCGCTAAGTATAAAAAGCCTATGTCGCATCCACATTTCAAGCGTAAAGGGCTTTTATATGAGAGGGTGTGATAGAATACACACTTTAAAATGTTGGATCACCCCTTATTATTTTAATTAATATATATCAATGTATGTTTTCCACATGAACAAGCAACCAATTCTGTCCTTTCATAGATTTATACATGCATTAATGCAATAATCCTAATCATTATTGAATCTTTATAATCTACCTAACTTGGGTTACATCCCTTTAAAAAAAAATTATTCCATGATTTTTTTTTTCTCATTTTAATTACAAGAGACATTTTTTTTAAGTTCAAATTAGTACCATATACTTAAATTAATGCTGTTTTCTTGTATGCCTCACCCTATCTTTTTTGTTGTAATTAAAAGGTACTCTATTGTTAACAACTTATTTTATCTTTCAATGAAAGATATTGCTTGAAGGTGAAAGTTTAAAATAATGTTATAATGGACTTAATGGTTATGATAATAGATTTTACGTAGTCCATGAAAAATTGAGATTGTGATAACTGGGGTTTTTCAAATAACAAAAGGTTACTTTTTTTTTTGTAATTAAGTAGTTGATGTTTGTTTTATAATGAATTGGGGTTATTCTTATGGATAAAATAAGATAATTGATCTTTACTTATAAATGTGGTAACGATCTTTACTGATAAATGTAGTTACTCATATGAATGATTAAGTATTACTCTTGTAAAAAATGTTGCTACAGTACACCATGTGCTTAGTCACAAACTAGACTTGCTATCATTGAACTTCACAGAAGAATTTAATGAGGTCTAAAAGGAGACATAATATTAATGTACTAATAGTTTACAGATAATTAAATTCTAACCCTTTAAAAAAAAAAAAAGTGATTTTTAGTAATTGTAACAACTTTTTTTTTTTTAAAAAAAAAAGAAAAGAAAAACGAACGTAGCTATAACCATTTTCATCTAAATGGTAGATGCGGTCGGTTCATAAGAAGTTGAAAAACGAAAGATTATGAATAACAAATTATTCCAGTATTTTGTTATAACGGATTTGTGCAATGGAACGATTTGAAAATTCACCCACAAACGTTATATAAAATAAAGAGCAAAACACGATAATAAAAGAGACAACATTTTTCTCTCTTCAAATAAATTATTATTTTAATTATTAACTTCCTACAAAATAAGACAATAACCCTATTGATGATTTTTCCTCAATAACAATCATTAATTTTCTAGTAAGCCTAAACCCTCTTGTATACATAGGCTAACCTAAAATCTCGCATCAATAATCCATCATTAATTTTCGAGTACGTGTTTTTGTCATAAGTATTTAAATCCATAACATTATAGGAAATTCATCTTATGCTTATATAGATTCTATATCATGTACATTGTTGTCTGATTTATTACTTTATTTGCCACCTTAAGGCTTTGTAGCCAAGCTAGTAGTGACATAGTACTATTGAGCCACCTTAAGGATAGCTACACGTACGCGCCACCATATGCATTGTTAGACATTGAAGAAAGTGGTATGATCAATTTAAATAGCTTGTCAAATTAAATACACTTTGTATTGATGAATAATGATTGTGATGAAAATAGTAATTGCATTGGAGTGAAGCTTCAAAGAAAATAGAAAGCCGCCTCAGTTACGAGTACAAGTATAATGCTTCCTCTTGTTTTGGATTTTGGGAGCTAGCGTGTTTAGATCATACGTAACAACTTGTATTTCAATTTCAACACTTTGGTATTCAACATCCACCAATCAAAATCAAGTGGGTGGCTATTTGTAGAATTAGGTAGAATTGGGCAGAAATTGCTTAGCTTTCATTGATGGAAAAGCACGAAATATATAATACAAAAGATCTCTAGAATCCTAGTCCTAGATAAACATGGAAACAGAGAAGATAAAATATTTCCTAAATATATGATATTTCCTGAATATCCTAATACCCCCCCTCAAGTTGGAGCAGTAGGATAAAAAATGCCCAACTTGGAAAGAAGTTTATCAAACTGCGCCTTTCCGAGTGCCTTTGTGAATATATCCGCTAATTGATCTTTAGTGGACACATGTGACGGAGAAATTAATCCTTCAGTGATGGCATCGCGAACAAAATGACAATCAACCTCTATGTGTTTCGTACGCTCATGAAACACAGGGTTCCTCGCAATATGCAATGCTGACTCACTATCACAGAACAATTTAATGGCTTTAGGATGTTGCACACCCAAACTCAACAATAAACCCTTGAGCCACTTTAATTCGCAAGTGGCGCCATTCATACACCTGTACTCCGCCTCTGCAGAAGAAGTTGAAACTGTAGGTTGCTTTTTAGTCTTCCAAGAAATCGGTGATTTTCCTAGAAACACAAGCCAACCTGTCAACGAGCGTCGAGTTAAAGGACACGCCGCCCAATCTGAGTTAACCATCCCTCTAAAGTGAGCTCACTATCCGAATGCAATAATATGCCTTGGCCGGGAGATCCTTTGAGATACCTAACAACTCTCAAGGCCGCCTCCCAATGTTCTATGCGAGGTGCTTGCATGAATTGTGACAAAATGTGAACTGAGTAGGCTAGATCCGGTCTAGTGACCCCGAGATATATTAGCCGTCCCACAAGACGACGATAAGCTTCTGGATACTGAAGAAATTCGCCATTAGCACGAGCGAGTCTGTGATTTTGTTCCATGGGAAACCCACTCGGCTTTGCACCCAATAAACCTGTTTCAGAGATAATATCCAGAGTATACTTTCTTTGACACAAAAATAATCCGGACGGACTACGAGCCACCTCAATGCCTAAAAAATATTTAAGGGAACCAAGATCTTTCATTTTAAAACAATCACTAAGATATGCTTTGAAAGCCTTAAGTGCAGCGGAATCATTCCCAGAAATAATAAGATCATCCACATAAACTAAGACATTAATTTGAGTATTGCCATTAGTATATGTAAATAAAGAGTAATCTGAATAGGATTGGATAAATCCATACCGTTTTAGAGCCGTTGTCAACTTTGCATACCAACACCGAGGTGCTTGTTTCAAGCCATACAATGACTTGCGTAACCTACACACCAAAGACGGATCTGAACTTTCAAACCCGGGGGGAAACTTCATGTAAACTTCCTCTGCTAGGTCACCATGCAAAAAGGCATTTTGCACATCCATTTGATGTATTTCCCAGTTTTTGCAAGCCGCTATTGCGAGAAAAGCACGAACGGTAGTCATCTTGGCAACTGGAGCGAATGTCTCATCATAGTCAATTCCATCTTGTTGATGATTACCAAACACCACTAATCTTGATTTAAGACGCTCAATTTCACCATTAGATAACTATTTAGTTTTATAGACCCATTGACTACCAAGAGCACGTTTCCCAGGAGGAAGGCGTTCTAGAGTCCATGTACCATTGTCCTCTGGAGCACGAATTTCATCTTTCATAGATTTACGCCATCCGTCATATTTCATTGCTTCTTTGAAAGATTTAGGATCATTATCCTTGATAATAGCTGCAAGAAAGTTGCGATACTTGACAGAAAAATTGTCACAATTAATGTAATGTGCTAAAGGATAAGGAGTACCCGAGGAGTGATCGGAAGGAAAAGAGAGTGGACTATTAGCAAATACCGTATGTGTCACAAAATCTCGATGCAAGACATTCAGAAATTTTTGTCTCAAGCCACGGCCCAAAGCTTGATCATTTATATTAGCTTCCTTGTCATCCGATTTTGCAGCAGTCGTGGGCCCACTCGAAGAAGCCCCATCTAGCACCTGCTCAAATGGCGTGAAGGTGGGGAAAGCAATAGGTGGCCCATCTGGCGCTGGATTACCAGCGGGCTCACCAGCAGCCACTGTGGGCTGATCTGCCAAAGGCACAGCGGACCTTGGTGAAGCTTGTCCTGCCGCTGGGTCTTGAGTATGGGATTGGGCTTTGTGGTGTGGATCAACAACATCTTCATAAATAATTGCTGAAAAATCCTCATGGATATTATGATCCTCATACTCATTATTGGAAATATTCACGGCCTCCAGATTCCCAAACGGAAATACTTCTTCAATGAATTTCACATCCCGTGAGACAAAAAATTCCTTTGTAGTCAAATCAAACACTCTCCATCCCTTTTTACCAAACGGATAACCCATGAAAATACATTTGCGACTCCGACTAGCAAACTTATCTCCCTTGTTTTTCTGATTATGAGCAAAACATAAACATCCAAAGGTTCGAATAGAGTCAAAAGATGGGGGTTTGTGAAAAAGGATTTCAAAAGGAGTTTTGTTTCCCAAAAGAGGAGTTGGGGTACGGTTAATTAAATGAGCAGCAGTGAGTACACATTCTCCCCAAAAATAAATAGGTAGTTTTGCTTGAAATCTCAAAGCACGACTAACATTCAATATATGTTTATGTTTCCTCTCTACTCGCCTGTTTTGTTGTGGAGTTCCTACACAAGATGTCTGAAACAAAATTCCAGTGGCTCTAAAGTAGGCAAGTAGACAGTTAAACTCTGTCCCATTATCACTTTGTACTACTTTAATAGTTTGAGAAAATTGCCGATCAACCATAGCAACAAAGGCCATAAACATTTGAAAGACCTCTAATTTATCAACCAACAAATAAACCCAAACTGCTCGTGAATAATCATCCACAATTGAAAATAACGAGCTCCACATGACGAAACATGTCGATATGGACCCCATAAATCACAATGAATTTTCTCAAATATTCGAGATGCTTTATTATCACTTAAAGGAAATTTGTCTCTAGGATGTTTAGCATGCATACAAACTTCACAACCCGTATCTAAATGATCTTTGCTACCAAAAACATTAGGAATTAACTTAACCACTTTTTCAGAAGGATGCCCAAGTCGACGATGCCATAACTCTAACTTCGGTGTAGCTTCAACGTTTGACACTTTCAGTTTGCCAAAATAGTATAGTCCATCTCTTCTAGTTCCCATTCCAATTGGCTCCTTCGCTTGGTCCTGTATAGCACAAACATAAGAATCAAATTGAAAAATAGTGTGTAAATCATCATTAAGTTGAGAAACTGAAAGTAAGTTTCAATTCAAATTCGGAACATAAAGAACTCCAGTGAGAGTAATTGTTTCAGATAAACAGACAGATCCCACCAAAGTGGCTATTACTTTTGCACCATTCGGCAACCCAACAGGGCACTCAATATTTTTCGTGTCAACTAGCCAAGAACTCTCTCCGGTGACATGATGAGTCGCGCCGGTATCAATAATCCAAGATGAAACATCAAACTTACCGGTCAATCTGTTTCCGGAATTTGAGCATTACCAACAACCCCCGCAATAGCCTTCCACTGTTCAGGAGTAAATAATTGTCCCAAAGCCGAAACTGTAGAAGAATTAGATGCGGAAGACTGACTGTCACAAGCGGCTGCATTGGCACGAGGATGACCACGACCTTGGTCCTGGCGTCTACTCCCTGGCCTGCCCACAATCTCAAAACAGTGGGTCTCAGGGTGCCCTTTCTTCTTGCAGTGGGCGCACACCTTATCTGCCCAACAGGTGGAGGCTTCATGCCCCGTCTTGTGGCACTTGGTACAAAGAGGTTTGTCATAACCCCTTCCCCTGCCTCGCGACACACCTGCCGCATCAGCTCCAGTACGCACAGCAAAATCAACGGCCTCGGTTGGATGAGTGGCTGCTTCCTTCCTTGACAGGCGAACACGCTCCTCTTGAGTGACTAACTGATAGGCTCTGTCAAGACTCGGAAGCGGGTCTTGTGATAAAATTTGAGTGCGTAGGGATGAATAAAAATCGGGATACAATCCCATTAAAAAATCATGTAACTTTGCTTACGCTCTTCGCTCCTCGTGTAAACGACCACAAGGACAACCAGAAACAGAGCAAGAAATTAATGGCTCATGATGATCCAACTCTTGCCACAAGGAGTGTAATTGACCATAATAAACAGAAACCGGCATATCCCTAGATTGTTCACACTTGGCTATGGAAGATCTTAATTGTTGAATGCGAGGTCCATTAGTTTGAGCGAACCTCTGTTTCAAGTGATCCCAAAACGGTTTTGCTTCTCTAAATTTGGACAAAGAGGATTGTATTTCAGGAGTAATTGTATTTGATATCCATGATATTAGCATAGCGTTAATGGCCGTCCAATCGGACTTGGTGCACGGTGGTGATGGAGTAAGAATTGTTCCATCCAAGAAATCAAATTTGCGTCGAGCTTCGAGAGCGGTTTGAATATCAGCAGCCTAGCTATCATAATTATCGAAAGTTAAATGAGTAGGTGTGATGAAGTCTCCTGGGCGATCTTGGGAACCAAGATAATAAGGGGAATTTGGTTTTATTTCGGTCGGTGGTGGGGGTGGCGGTGGAACATCATCACCTGCCATTGAATGCTATTGATTAGAAACTTTGGCCTGATACCATGTAGAATTTGGTAGAATTGGGCAGAAATTGCTTAGCTTTCATTGATGGAAAAGCACGAAATATATAATACAAAAGATCTCTAGAATCCTAGTCCTAGATAAACATGGAAACAGAGAAGATAAAATATTTCCTAAATATATGATATTTCCTAAATATCCTAATACTATTACTGAATACCATTAAAAAATTTCGTACATTACTTTGGCTTGATTTTACATTTGTTAAATATACATTTGATTTTTTTTTTTTTTTTTTTTTTTTTGACACAATATACATTTGAATTTGACTATAAAGCGTTCGTATGTGGGAAATAGAAATGAGAGTATGTGGAATAGAGATTGGGATTAGATATGGGAATTTATGATTGGAAATCTTTTTTTCTTTTTTTTTTTGATATCCAATTAAAGACAATGCTCAAATCATGTTCCTAATATAACACTAGATTAACTCCCGTGCGATGCACGAATATAATAAAAAAAATTATAATTGTGTAAACTTCAAATACATATCAGTCAAAATAGGTAAAATCTTTGTATTACATACGATATTATTAACATAAACCAAACAATAAAATTAAAATAATATAAACAAAAGAAAATTCATGTCTACAATAAAATTTTGCAAACTTTGTAATTAGATGGAGTAATCACATATATAAAACATTGATATTTGTTTTCCTTAAAATTTTTAAAAGAAAAAGTATTGAAAACTAAAAAGTTTAAAATTTACTGTATTAAACTACTTTGCAATCAATAGTTGGATTAAAAAAAAAGAAGTTAATGCGGGAAAAAAATGAATGAAAAGCTAACACATATACAATTTGAAAAAAGTAATGATATCAGCGGTTGTTACTTTAATAATATTTATAGATTTTAAATGACAGTTTTTTAGTTTGTCATAAACTGTACTCAACTTCATATAAAAGACCTAAGCCAACTATGTCTCAACTAAAATCTCAAACAAACATTCTACGATAGTCTTCTAACTTCTAGGACAGGTTCACGACGGAAAACCCCGTCATAAATGTTCTTTTACAATAGGATATTTCATCGTTAATGGGCTCTTTTCTTAAGTAAAAATCAACGAGTACTTTTCTACCATGCAATCAATAGAGGAGTCTTAAACTCTTAGCCGTCCTAGAGTCCTAAGTACCTTATAAACTTATAAATAAGATAGTTCAAGCACGTAATAATTAACAAGTTACAACCCAAAGTTGTACAACTCTTACTCTTTCAAAGTTCAAAAATATGGCAGCCTTAACAGTTTTGATTATTCTAGGGGTGTTAGCCACAATTTACCACTCACAAGCACAAATGTTGCCAAAAATCTTAGAAAGAAGTAGTTCTCATCATACTTATTCCATTTCTGAAGATGTTACTATTTTTGAAAATGGAAAATTTGAGGTAACTAAACCTATTAAGGTTGGAAAATCGGAGTTTTATGCTCCGGAGCCTTTGCTAGTTGTTTCACCTCAAGAACCGGGGTCGTATCCTGTACTCTTGTTTATCCATGGAACTCTTATTTCTAATGAAGATTATTCTGATCTCTTTCAACATTTTGCTTCTCATGGCTTCATTGTGGTTGCTCCAAAGGTACGTAACAAACTATTACATATAGCTAGCTAGTAGCTATGTATTACTTCTTCCTTCACAAACTTCCATAACGGTTTTGTTAATTATTGGTTACGTAGTAATTATCTTGGAGGTCAAGAGTGTAATATATGTACTAAATATCTTGGAGGTCAAGAGTGTAATACATGCACTAGATAGTTTTACATGCATACCTTATAGCTAATATGTTCAAATGTTCAATACGAGACACGTCTTAACAGTACTTGATATATTGTTTTGGATGTAATGTAAAATTATGAAATTTCATCATATGAAAATCTACACCTTAAGTTTTTGGTTGAGGCCTTTGAAGGAGGGGCAGATGAGATTCGAACCCGTGACCTTTGTGTCATGCTGGGTCCGATACCATGTTAGTGGACCAACTCAACCAAAAGCTTTAGCTTATGATTGAGGCGCAGGAATATGTTTTATACTTTATTAAGATGCACTTAATTCTAGGCATAACCCTAGGAGTAAACGGATATTCAGCCGAATGTTTATCTCTTAGTAATTTTATTATGTAAAAGTTTTTTTTTTTTTTTTCTAAAATTTATTTTTAGGCTTTAAGGTCATATTTATACATTCGTATATGACCATTTAGCTATTATGTGGAAATAATCTCTTTTTCTTTTTTTTTTCCTTTTTTTTTATTATTTTTGTAAAACTCCAGCTCTTCTCAATAATCTACTTCCCTAGTCAAGAAGATGAGATAGAAATGGCAGCTTCAATAGCAAACTGGCTACCAACAAATCTACAAGACGTGTTACAAACACGTGTCAACGAAGGAGTGGAAGGCGATCTATACAAACTAGCAATATCCGGTCATAGTAGAGGAGGAAAATCAGCATTTGCTCTTGCACTGGGTTTCTCCCAAACAAAATTATCACTCAAAATTTCAGCACTTATTGGCATAGACCCGGTTGCCGGGTCTAGCAAAAATGACCGTACACAACCATACGTTCTAACGTACATGTCCAACTCGTTTAATTTATCGATTCCTGTCACAATAATTGGCACTGGATATGGTAACCAATCCAACTTCTTCCTACAACCTTGCGCCCCAAATTTGGTGAGCCATCAACAATTTTTCGACGAGTGCAAGGAAGGTTCACATTTTGTGATCACGGACTATGGTCATATGCAAATGTTGAATGATTTCGTGTATGATCCGGTTGCGAGTGCTGTGTCACTTGTGTGTAAATCCGGGAGTGGTCTTAAAAGTACGATGAGAAGAACACTAGGTGGGATTATGGTGGCTTTCCTTGACGCGTATTTTGGAGATGAAGAAGGAGAGTATTTAGCCATCTTGGCTAATCCTTCTTTGGCTCCTACTAATCTTTACGTCCAAAATAAGGGTAACTTTAGGTTTCCAGGAAATTATGAGCAAGTTTAATGGGATATGGTCATATCTCATATGGTATGTGTTGCGTGTTGCGTGTTGCGTGTTGCTGTCTTTTGCCTTATTGTAACAAAGTAATTAGTAGTATTGATGTAATTATTTTGTCAATTATGCAACAATAATGTTAAAAATTGTCTTTCTAATGATTACAAGCAAGCTAGCCTACCAACTCAAATAATTTGTGAATTAAATTAGGGTACTAAATCACGTCCAGTATTTACCGGATAATGTCCGTATTTTAAAAAATACATATTAAAATACCCTCCCTTAAATAACCCATCAAAACCTTTTCTTTAAACTTTTACCTTTCTCTCTCTTCACCCTTTTCTCCTACCCTTTCTCTTTCCCCCAAATTCAACCCCCCATTATCATCCACAAGACCACAACCACCGTTTATCACCATAATCAACCACCAATTTTTTTTTATTTTTTCATTTTTTTTTTTGTAAGAAATTTAAGGGTTGACGGTTCAAGGGTGGCGCAAATGTCTGGAAATCAGAGAGGAAAAGGCATCGTCTCCGGCGAACAGGTGAGTCGTTTCTTTTTTTTTTTTTTCCGTCGAGGTTGAGGAACGCCTGGAGATCTGGAATCTCGAGGCTAGGAACGCCCGGAAATTCCGGATCTCCGGGCGTAAGTTCGAAAATCCCAGACGAAACACGAACGCCTGGAATTTTCGAGCATACGCCTGGAGAGCCTAAACTTCCAGGCGTTCGTAGCCGAAAGATTCTAAATCTCTGGGCGTTATTTTTTTTAAAAAAAAAATTATTAATTTTGTTTCATGGGATGAATTAACAGGCGTTCTTGTTTGTGATGACATTCAAAAAGTTTGAATTAAAAAGCTAGTTTCTTAGTGTAGTTTAGTGATAAAAAATTGTTACTTACAATCCTTCTTGTTTGTGATGACATTCAAAAAGTTGTGTTTCATTATCCTCAAAATCACCTGTGACAACAAAAATTGCATTCAGTTTGTGGGTTTTATGCTATTTCATGATTCAGAAGTTTTTTTTTTTTTTTTTTTTTTGTTTGCTTTATTTCCCTGTAATGCAGTATTTGAGCAAAGAGAAGTGTTCTGTTTCTTACCTTTGCCTCGTTGCTTAGATTAATAGCGACAATCCTCACCATGCTCTTTCCTGTTAATTCATCCCATATAATAGAAGATTAGATAACTCAATTGAGAAATTCAGAACTTATGAAATTCTGAAATATAGTACTTGTTAATTGAGAAAATCAGAACTTATGAAGATTCATTCATGTTGGATTGTTGATCTGCTGGTGATATTTAAGTAAGGTATTCGATTGGGGGTTATCATTATTATGAAGAGCTTTAATTTTGGGAGTAAAGGCTTTAATTTTGAAGTTGTAGATGAAATTAAACTAATAAAGGCTTTATGTAAGTCTCTGCTGATATAACCTGAGGATGTCTACAAGTTACAAATCTGTAACTGTTGTAACATGAATACTTTTTAATCGAAATCAAAGTGGGACTATGAGCTCTTCTGCTTTCTGCTAGCAAGAGTGGCAACTTAATTTTTATTATTATTATTAGAATAATAATTATTATTAGTATAATTTTTATTATTATTATAATTTTTGGGAGTAAAGGCTTAATTTTTTTTTTATTATTATTATTAGTATAATTATTATTATTATGAACTAAAATTATACTTATTTTAATTTCCTTTTGCAAAAAATTAAGATTGAGGGTTCGGGAACACGACACGCTGTATCACAGCGCTTGAACGCGTCAATTAGGAGGGAGAGAGACCGATATCGTTTTCAGCCTCGTACCGAGACGGGACTAGCCCCTAATGCTAATATGGCGAGTTCGACCTCCGTAGCACATAGTCATCATTCAAGGTCTCAGAGGAATGGGTCGGGTTTCGAGTCTGACCAGGAGGAGGGTGAGTCACCGGGTCCCGAGTACTACTCGTACAGAGGAGGACAGGGTTTATCAGGCGATAACGATGACGAGGAGGAGGAGTCTGATGACATTATTCATACGACACTACAAAAAAACTAGTGAATTGCGACCGCCAGCACCGGTCGCAATTTTTGAGGAAAGCGGTCGCTATTCACAATTGCGACCGTCACCGGTCGCAATTCACAATTGCGACCGTCACCGGTCGCAACTGCACGGTCGTAATTTTAAGGGTCGCAAAAAAAAAAATTGCGGCCACGTGGCGGTCGCAGATCAAATTGCAACCATTTTTCGATTTTCAACGACCGTTTTTTTAACTGATGTAATTTGTTAATTGCGACAGGCATAGCGGTCGCAATTTCTGGAAATTACGACCGCCTAAGACGGTCGCAAAAATCGGGTATCTGCGACAGGCCTGGGGGTCGCAAAACCATGGGATCTGCGACATGCCCAAACGGTCACAATTTCCAGTGAATTACGACCGCCTAAGACGGTCGCAATTTCCTGTGATCTGCGACTTTCCTTGACGGTCGCAAAACCATTGGATCTGCGACAGGTTAGATAGACGGTCACAATTTCCTGTGATTTGCGACATGCCTTGACGGTCGTAAAACCATTGGATCTGGGACAGGTTAGATAGACGGTCGCAATTCCTTATAGAATTGCAATTTATTATTATTATGCAATTTTCAAATAATTACAATTTGCATTATCGATGCCATCCTAACCTGAACCTATAACCTGTTATCATGTGATTTAATTTCAAAATTAATATAAAATAAAAATAAAATGCATAATCCATATAGATAATAACATTAATAATTAAAAAGTCCAACTTCGAACAATATATACAATTATAATGTTCAAGTTAATAGTAATAGTAATTAGTTAGTAATAGTTTTATAAGCTTAAATTTAAAACTAAGTTAGGTCTATATGAATAAGTAATGGCCTATGTTCCTTCAAAAAATAGATAAGGCCAACATGTAACAATATAATACCAATTTCAGGCCTATATTCCCTAAAAAATAACGAAATGGCCTATATTCCCCCCTAAAAAAACCTAAGGCCTATATTCCCAAAAAAAATACCTAAGGCCTATATTCCCCCAAAAAAATACTAAGGCCTATATCAACAATACTAATGTAAGAGCTTTATGAACAAAAACTACGACACCGGAGTTTGGTGACCAAGCCCACCACCACTCATGTCCGGGTCATCTTCCCTACGAAACTGAAATGGAGGACCACCTGAACAGTTAGAGAACAAGTTCTGCAACATTGTCTCCATCATTCGCTTACTCTCAATTGCTGCCTCCTCCCGCTCCTTCTTCAATGCCTCATGCAATTGCGTTGCAAACTGTGCCTCCATCTGTGCCTGCATTTGCACTTTTGCCTCTTCTATTCGCTCGACAACCTCGGCTTGCACATGTTCCTCCAACTGTGAAGCTATAGAAGGATTGTACGATTGCGAGCCTTTCTCGGAAGAGGGGGTGTAAAACAAACTAGCACTTGCACCTAGGCCCTTCACTACACCCTTTTTCCTACCACCAACGACCTCCCAGTATAGCTGGTTAGGGTCCGGTTGTGACCCTTCTTGAGTGGAAGACTCGTCAAGCTTCTTTTGGTAGGCTTCCTGAAATCAAACAAAACAAATTATGCATATTAAACATGTTTATAGGTTCACATTGCGAAAACATACACATTTTCAAGTATTTACAAGGCTATAGGTTTGTGACTAGGCTAAAAATGGCATAAATGACCTTCTAACTTACCCATTTTCTTTGTTTTTGCTACATTCTAAGAATTTATCAATCAAACAACTCATATTTAGCATATTAAACATGTTTATAGGTTTAAATTGCAAAAACTTACACATTTTCATGCATATTCAAGGCTATAGGTTCATGACTAGGCTAAAATGGCACAAATGACCTTCTAACTTACCCATTTTCTTTGTTTTTGCTATATTCTAAGAATTTATCAATCAAACTATTCTTATTTAGCATATTAAACATGTTTATATGTTCAAATTGCAAAAACTTACACATTTTCATGCATATTCAAGGCTATAGGTTCATGAGTAGGCTAAAATGGCACAAATGACCTTCTAACTTACCCATTTTCTTTGTTTTTGCTACATTCTAAGAATTTATCAATCAAACAACTCATATTTAGCATATTAAACATGTTTATAGGTTCAAATTGCAAAATCTTAGACATTTTCATGCATATTCAAGGCTATAGGTTCATGACTAGGCTAAAATGGCACAAATGACCTTTTAACTTACCCATTTTCTTTGCTTTTGCTATATTCTAAGAATTTATCAATCAAACTATTCTTATTTAGCATATTAAATATGTTTATAGGTTCGAATTGCAAAAACTTACACATTTTTATGCATATTCAAGGCTATAGGTTCATGACTAGGCTAAAATGGCATAAATGACCTTCTAACTTACCCATTTTCTTTGTTTTTGCTATATTCTAAGATTTTATCAATTAAACAACTCATATTTAGCATATTAAACATGTTCATAGGTTCAAATTGCTTAATCATAGACATTTTCAAGCATTTACAAGGTTATAGGTTCCTCAAATTTCAAATCACAAGTATAAGTGCCTATGTTTTGCATGCTTCCTTCAAAAATAATTTCATTAGTTTCCAAAGTTAGATGTGTTACCGAGATTTGTTGTGCCCTCTTGTTAGCCGCAACTTTTCCTTTTCCTGGAACTTCCTTGAAATGTGTCTTTAGGAACACCTCTGGAGCAGTGGAAGCACTCCACCGGCTTTCTGAGCCTGCACAAATCAAATAACTCCATAAATGCTTAGTGTATGTAACTACTAAAACATATCAGTATCATTATATACCATTAAGTATTACCATTTTCTTTGCATGCTTTGATGCAGAGATAGAACCTTGGAAGTGTGACGGCTCAATTGGATTAGACAGGGAGCCGACCCTCCTGTTCTTCTTCGCTTTCTCTGACCTCTCTAGAAATACCGGATCCTTTCTTTTCGCTATAATTCGCTCAAACATAGACTCTCCTATCCATTTGGGAACTGACTTGTTTCTGACCAAAGCATTGTATGTAATCTCTTTCAGCCTCTTATGTGCCTTCTTTTCATACTCCTTCATGAGGGCATCAAGATCAGCATTCCAAAGGTATTGTTTCTGCAAACAAGAAAAATAAAATGTATGATAATTTATTGTAATAAGTAACCAAAAAACAACAAAGTTAGATGAGTAAACTAAACTCGGGGGTTTTATAATACCGTAAACGAGTTCCACCAGTGGGTCTTAGTATCCTTGTCAACCATTTCATAGTTAAGCCATGGTCCGCGCCAATGTGCTTGAAAAATATTTGTAATGGAGGTGCTCACGGTGTTATCATCGAACCTTTGTACCAATAAGCAAACAGATGAAGTCATTACATACAAATCTAACCAAGATTGTTCAAGTTGGAATGCAAATTAAGATAACCATGAGTAATTTACCATAACTTCGTCGGGTGCAAATTCCTTCTCGCAACGGGGGTAGGAACCTCACCCGTGGGAGAGTTACCGTCTTGCGTCTCAGGAACCTGAGTAGATGTCCCAGAACCACCTACACCTGGCTCAGGGGATGGGGTATGGGGTAACTTCCTGAGAAGTTTCCGTATTTGCATGGCTTGTCGACGGAAACAATTCTTTGAAGCAAAGGGGTGTGTTAAAGTTAGTGCTTTAAAGTTAGTTAATTAGATATTTAGTTTTAATATTGTTTTTACTTAGTCAAACTAGTAAGTTAGTAGTGATAGTAGTGGGCTAGAATTATGGGCACTATCAAGTATCAACAACAACAACAACCCACGTAATTAGGCTTGCATGCTAATTATTTGCTTTTGGTTTATTTTGACAGTTATTTTGTAGCCTATATAAGGCATGATTTGTTATTAGTTTATTTGAATGAGAATAGCATTAGCTTAATTCAACGTTCCTATTCTAGTTTTGCTTTCTTATTTCCAACAATTGACATAGACCCAGTTGTCGGGTCTAGCAAAAATGACCGTACACAACCCTACGTTCTAACGTACGTGCCCAACTCGTTTAATTTATCGATTCCTGTCACAATAATTGGCACTGGATTTGGTAACCAATCCAACTTCTTCCTTCAACCTTGCGCCCCAAATTTGGTGAATCATCAACAATTTTTCGACGAGTGCAAGGAAGGTTCACATTTTGTGATCACGGACTATGGTCATATGCAAATGTTGAATGATTTCGTGTATGATCCGGTTGCGAGTGTTGTGTCACTTGTGTGTAAATCCGTGAGTGGTCTTAAAAGTACGATGAGAAGAACACTTGGTGGGATTATGGTGGCTTTTCTTGACGCGTATTTTGGAGATGAAGAAGGAGAGTATTTAGCCATCTTGGCTAATCCTTCTTTGGCTCCTACTAATCTTTACGTCCAAAATAAGGGCAACTTTAGGTTACCAGGAAATTATGAGCAAGTGTAATGGATATGGTCATATCTTATATGGTATGTGTTGCGTGTTGCTGTCTTTTGCCTTATTGTAACAAAATAATTAGTAGTATTGATGTAATTATTTTGTCAATTATGCAACAATAATGTTAAAAATTGTCTTCTTAATGATTACAAGCAAGCTAGCCTACCAACTCAAATAATTTGTGAATTGAATTATGTGATTTCATTTTGTTGTATTATTGTACAAACTTCCATACTCTTTACTACAAAAGATCTTTATGATTTTATATACTAGCTTCTTCGCTTGATACACCCTGATTTGTTACATTTATTATGGCATGTAGTTTTTAAGCATACGTAGATGTGGGTGGTTAATTATATTATTTAAAAGTATTACATAAAACTAGTCAATCACTACAACGAATCACTCGTTATTACTATTATGCTAATAGCGGTTTTTTTTTTTTTTTTTGGTAATCACTCAAAATTAATGTCAACTGATAAGATTTGTGGTGCATTATTTGTGATGCAATTATAATATATATGTATCAATTATCATTTACTTGTATATCATGGCTATGGGTTATCAAAGTTGAATTTATAATTAAAATAAGGTCTAATAATAAATTCATATTAGTTTAGATCACTGAAAATCAGATGAATATGACAGGCAAATACATGTTAATCAGCTACATAAACGAATTTTTGTTAATCTGGTGGCATTTTTGTAAATATATTGAAAAAGTGTGTTATCTATTCAATACTTTAGATGAGCTGTCTAATTATCGTTTGCAACTTGCATTTACTGTTTGGTGAGGAAATTACATATGTACCACTCAACTATTATATGAAAAGACACATGTATCCTTCCTCTGGTACTTAAAAAGATGATTATACCCACAGATAAACAAAATGAGTAAACAAACTTACAACTCGAATAGGACAACATACACTGGGATGACAACAAATGGAAAAACATTAACTTAACGCTTGTTTGAATGATGAGTTAAACCGAAAAAGATGCATAATCTATTAACTATTACTAAAACAAAACGTTACTGACATCATCAACGCTCAAACTATTTTACGTGTTAAAAAATTTTCCTCCAATTCTATGTGTGATGTCATCAATTATTAATGATTTTTTTTATTTTTTTTAATCTACAATTTTGACTTCAATGCAAAAATTGTCTATAGAAATTTCAATTAAGCAAGTTTTTCTCCTAAATAATAATTTCACATAAATTGTTTGATATTTGATCGTGATTTCAAATTTTTACTTTCCTTAAATGTAAATTATTTGTATATCAATTTTAAACTTTATATACAACGTAATATAACAAAATATAAATTACAAGAAAGATTAACTCCATCCGAGCATGGCACGGGGATATCTTAGTCATATCTGTATGAAATGTCTTACCATTGGATATTAGTTTTTTATCATCAAATATCTAATTCTAACAATTTTAATTGGGAAATTCTAAATAATAGCCTTCAACTTTTATAAAATTTATATGGTGGCAAAACCAAACAATTTCTTCTACTCCGTACAATAAAGTTTGTTTTTATTTTTTATTTTTAAATATTTTTTTACTTTTTTTTTTTTAATTTTTATGGATCTTTATTTCATGGGTCTTGTCATGGACACATTCATATCATCATATTACTCCCTCCGTTTTTTTTTATTATTATTATTTCATTTGCATCACTTTTCTTTTTAGGGTTTTTTTTAAATGCATCACTTTGATATTTGGTAACTTTATACTTCATTCGTTTTTCTTTTATTGCACCATAGGACTTTTACACTATTCCCTTAATCTTCTTTGACCAGCTTTTGTGATTTATCTATTAGAAAAAATATAGTTATGTGGGATCTAGTTAGATTCGTCTTGAAATCTAATTCGTCTTGAAATATTAATAGTGAAAGTAATGCATTGACAAACGTGAAACCCCTTACCAGGGCTGTATCTGGGCTGGGGCAGCCGGGACACCCGCCCAGGGCCCCAAAATCTGAAAATCAAATTTGTGTAAAAAAAAGAAAAAAAATTAAAATTAAAAAGTAAGCAGCGTTTCTTTGTAAGTTAGTTAAGCATTCCCTTAATAACTCCTCACATTAAATCATTAATATTCTTCATTGAAATTAACTCCTTCATTTTGGGAAGTTAAATTTGACAAATTAATCCCATAATCTACTCAATTCATCCGTATAATCTTCTATTTTAATCCATGAAATCAATTATTTGTATCATTACCTATATTTTTCTGATTTTTCATCTTCCTTCCCAAATTAATGCTAAAATGGTGTTTTCCCCATAAACATTCTTCTTTGCAATCAATTTTTAACGGGATTAAAATCTATGAATTTTCCTATAAATTATACTCTTTCAATTGTTCTTCACATATCAATCTACTTAATTAATTTTTTTCTATTTGTTTCTATTAATTATTCACCATTATTATGGATTTTGGCTTTGATGTTCGAAGATGAACTCAGAAACGGTACGAGCCTACTATTAAGTCATTGGTAAGTTCTGTACATTAATTTTTTTCCCAAAAATTACAATTGATTAATTTATTTTAATGTATAGATTATTCGATTTTACAAGAGAAGTTCTGAAATACTCATATTAATTTTATGTCATACGAATTTTAATATGAATAGTATGTCAAATTTATATTTTTCCCAGTTCATTCTAATTTCTAATTTTGTTTGAATTATGATATTTCATATTTGATTAATGATTAATAATTAATTGATTATGAATTATCAAATTGTCGAATCGATAAATTGATTGATTTTTTAATTATGAATTATCAGTATGTATGTCGAAGTGTAGAAATGAAGAATGATAATTGATTAATTTTTAGTTAAAAATTATCAGTATGTGAAATGATAAACTTTTAATAATTTATTCAATTGTATCGAATTTTTAATTTGTACTATCAATATGATATTGTAGGCGTCGGGGTGTCTCTCATTCTACGATATCCGAGAAATTCTGAAATATTAAAGCCTTTAGTAAAAAAAATTTATGCATACCCAAAATTTTCTCTTAGTCAATTTAGTTGTTAGTTTACAAGGGCCCCATTTTTTTTATCCGCCCCTAGGCCACCAAAGTCTCAGAAACGGGCCTGTCTCTGACGGTGCAATAAAAAAAGAATGAAGGAAGTATTATATTTTATCATTTCTCTCTTTACTTTAAATCCCACTCAACTTCTTTATCATTTCTCTCTCTTCCATAGTCCCCACTAAAATAATAAAATATCATCTCTCACATACTTTCTCTTTCAGGGATGGTACCCCTCTTACAATATTATATTACTCTTCTAAAATTTTATAAAATCCAAAAAATAAAAATAAAAAAAATAAAAAAAACAAACAAAAAAAAAATTAAAAAAAACAACAAAAACGAGGGAGTTGTATTTTACGTAACGGATGGTTTTACACCTCCACAAAACGTTAAGCAAATCATTATCATCCATTAATAATTGATAAACATGAATACATGATGTTGCATTAGAATCACTAATCAGTCTCATACTCTCATCTCTTTGAATTTTCTACATACAATTTGGATTTCACCTATTCGAGCATCATCTATGTCCTTCATTTTTATTTGTTCTTTCAACTTATTTGAAAATATCATAGCATTAACAAATTAGGTCTCTTTCTTTCTCTCTATACTGCCATAACATGCATAGCAACTGTTGTGGAACAAAAGTATGGTCACCTTATCCCCTAAAAGAAAAGTGTATCTATTTTTCAAACTTTTTATTTTTTATTTTTACATAAAGTAATTTTGAAATTACATATCTTTAATAATAGGACTTTTAATTTTGTGAAAAATTACCTTGCTTATACAAGTCAATTTTTGTGAAAAACTACCTAATTAGAAAATGTTTTAAGAAACTAAGCTACCTTTTAAACAATCCATGTTATAAGGAACTACCTCATAAAACAATAATTAATGTTGTAAAAAGTTACCTCTTGCCCAATTATTGCATTGAATAAAACACATTTAATGACTATTTTCAATCAGTTTTTTCTCCTTTTTCCCCCCAATTTCTCCATAAGCCCCCTTATAACCCCTAATTCCCCTTCACTTTTATGCTATATTAAACATATGATAACAATTAACAACATTTAGTTTTTATAAGGTATTTTCTTACAATAATTTTTTTTTATAAAGGTAGTTTTTCACAAAATTTGATGGATGTTAGGTATTTTTTCACAATAAATCTTTAATAATATATAAAACTATTAAAATATAGAAAGCCCTTTAAAAAAAATAAAGCAAAATAAAAAATAGGAGACTTTTAGGTGCTATATATATGATGGTTTATACATAGTATAATCCTCAACCATATTCAAAGAAACTCATAAGATAGCTTAATAATATAATGGCAAAGTTATTATTATTAATTTTTGGGGTGTTCATCTTTGTTAACTCCCAAGCTCAAACTAGCCCAACAATTTTAGAAAAACATAATTCTGAAAAAATTACTGATGTTTTCCATAAGGGTAATTTTCAAGTGACAAATAATCCAATAAGGGTGAAAAAAATATGAATTTACTGCTCCAGAGCCTTTGATCATTATTTCACCTAAAGAAGCAGGAGTTTATCCTGTTCTTTTGTTTATTCATGGCACCATGCTTTCTAATGAAGACTACTCTGTATTCTTTAATTATATTGCTTCTCATGGCTTCATCGTCGTTGCTCCTAAGGTAAATCATAAACTTCTTACCTGTGCGTTTAATTTTTTTTATGCGCTATTTTATCCTGATTTTTATTTAATTGTAAATATTTTATTATTGATAAATGATAATTGCTTATACTAAATTATACTTGTATTAATGAAGTGTTGTACAATTATTGTTACTTTAATTCGTTATATTTACGCAATGAAGAGGGGCATGATGGTCATTATAATATGATCCGTTGGTCACAAGACTCACAAGTTACAACACATGTTATTCCGGTGGCCACTGACCAGTACATGGGTTAAGAGGTTTAAGTAGACGGTGGTAATGAACAACGTACACTTTTCTATAATTATTTAAAAATTGCTAGAAAAAAGGGCTGGGCATGCATATTTTATGTGCTTCATTTCACCATTTGTACTCCTTATGACCTTATTAATCCACTTTTTGTACTTTACAAATTCAATTCATTAAATTATCATCACTAAAAACTCCTATAAATTAAAATTGTATCATATCATGGTTCATATTGCTTTGATCGAATTATTATATGAGTACATATATGAGTATTTGTTATCGTATCATCATGTTTATAAAAATTGTAACCGTAACCTTAATCTTTGTCATTATTATATTTAAGTGACAGTAATTAATAATTTCAAACTTTTATTTCAGTTGTTCCGGTTATTCCCGCCTAAACTACCTAGTCAACAAGACGAGATAGACATGGCAGCATCCGTAGCAAACTGGATGCCTCTATATCTACAAGGGGTGTTACAAAGATACGTTACCGGAGTTGAAGGTGATCTCGAAAAACTCACAATCTCCGGTCATAGTAGAGGAGGAAAATCAGCGTTTGCTCTTGCACTTGGTTTCTCCAATATCAAGCTAGACGTTACATTTTCAGCACTAATTGGTGTAGACCCTGTTGCTGGTAGAAGTGTAAATGATCGAACATTGCCTCATGTTCTAACCTACAAACCCAACTCGTTTAATCTATCGATTCCAGTCACGGTAATTGGTTCGGGATTGGGTAACCACACCATCTCATATGCCCCGAATTACGTGAGCCATCAACAATTTTACGACGAGTGTAAGGAAAATTTGTTGCATTTTGTTATTACAAAGTATGGTCACATGGATATGTTGAATGAGTTAAGATTAAGGGTGCGTTTGGTTCGCTGGTTTCAGGAAAGGGAATGGGAATCATTCTCTTTCAACCTGTTTGTTTGCCACTTTTTCCCTCAATCATTCCCCCATTTCATTTTTCAAAATACCCCAAAACCCCTCTTCCCCATTCCCCACCCCCCCCCCCACTTTCCCATTCCATTCCCCACCCACCCTAACCCTAACCCTAACCCTAACACTAACACCCATATACGTCGGTGGTGGTCGGACGGCGACTGTCGGCGAGCACCGGGGAGTGGTCGGGGAGGCTCGGCGAGCACCGGGGAGTGGTTGGCGATGTGGTGCTGTGGTGGAGGAGGGAGATTGAGCGTTGGGGAGGGGAGCTGGAGCATCGGGGAGGGAGTTCGAGGTGGTGCTGTGGTCGGTGGTGGTCAGCGACCGTCGGCGAGGGGGGCTGGAGGGTCGGCGAGGGTTCAGCGACCGTCGGCGAGGGGGGCGCGACTGTCGGCGAGGGAGTTCGAGCATCGGGGAGGGGGGCTGGAGCATCAGGGAGGGAGTTCGACGGTCGGCGATGGGGGCTGGATGGTCGGCGACGGTCGTCGACGGTCGGGGATGGGTCGGCGACGGTTGGCGGAGTTCTGTGAGGGTTCGGCGGCGGTCGGAGCTGCGCTATGGTGGTGGTGCTGTGGTGGAGGGAATGATTCCCTGGTTTTTGTAACAAACAACCTTTCAACTTTTCCACTTTGCCATTCCATTCCATTTCATTCACGTTGTTCATTTCATTCCGATTCTCTTCTGTGAACCAAACGGCCCCTAAGTCCTATAGCCGTGACTACGTCACTTATGTGTGCACAAAGTTTCCGTCCGAAAGCTACTATGAGAAGAACACTAGGTGGAATCATGGTAGCTTTTCTTAACGCCTATTTTCGAGACGATGGAAGGCAATACTACGCCATTATAGCTAATACATCCTTGGCTCCTACTAACCTCTTTGCTGAGAAAAAGGGATTCAACTTTGGGTTTGCAACAACTTATGCTCAACTTTAAAGCTTAATTTTCTCATATAGTTTCATGTGATGTAAGTGTACTACGTTACACTACTAATCGTTAGCATTGTTTTAGCTTTTAATAAGTGATTAGTAACATAATGTTGTGATTTTCTTATTAAGAACGTTTTTCATGTATTAGGTTGATGACTAAATAAAGGCCTTCAAGCAAGGCCATCTTATGTAACTAATCGTGACTTTAAGCATGCTTTTTAAAATTAGCATCTGAAATAATATAATATTAAAATAAAATTCAAGATTAAAACATTCGTTCTTGTTAAAACAGAGACAAAAATTTAATTAAGCTAATAAAATAAATATTAGCGTATAATAAATTAGGTTTTAAAATCTCGGGTATTACATCCTTACCCCCTTAGAAAAAGTTTCGTCCTCGAAACTGGAGCTCAGTCGAACTTAGAACAATTATATCATTAAAGCATAGAGGTCACATTTAATCAATCAATTCTCATAATATTTCTACAATAACAATAATATCACAACATATAATATGTAATAGTCCATACGTTGTTTGTGGTTAAACAAACAGTTCGAGGTATTTTGTTCGCATTTGTTCCTCCACTTCCCATGTAGCTTCAGATGTTAGGTGATTGGCCCATAAGACCTTCACAATTGGAATTACCTTGTTTCTAAGTTGTTTCTCTCTACGGTCAAGGATTTCAATTGGTTTTTCCTCATATGTCAAATTGTTCGGCAACTGAAAGGGTTCATGTTGAATCACATGGCTTGGATCAGGGACATATTTCCGTAACATTGACACATGAAACACATTATGCACCTTCTCTAAGTCGATGGGTAAGGCAAGTCGATATGCTACCTTATTCACTTTTTCTAAGATTTCATACGGCCCGATGTACCTTGGAGTTAACTTTCCTGATTGACCAAATCTCATAACTCCTTTTGTAGGAGAAATTTTTAAAAATACATGGTCTCCAACATCAAACTCTAACGGTCTCCTTCGTTGGTCTGCATAACTCTTTTGTCTTCTTTGAGAAGCTTTCATTCTTGATTGGATAAGACGAATCTTGTCAGTTGTTTCTTGAATCAGATCTGGTCCTATGACACGTACCTCATCAATATCACTCCAACACAATGGTGTTCAACATCTCCTCCCGTAAAGGGCTTCATATGGGGCCATTCCAATGGTGGCTTGATAGTTGTTGTTGTAAGAAAATTCCACCATAGGTAAATATTTTTCCCAAGTTCCTTGAAAATCCAAGACACATTCTCTTAACATATCTTCAACAATCTGATTAGTGCGTTCAGTTTTCCCATCTGTTGTTGGGTGGAAAGCAGTACTAAAGTTGAGTTTTGTTCCAAGCGCCTTTTGTAATTCTTTCCAATATATAGCCTGATATCTTGTATCACGGTCAGAAACAATCGAACTAGGTACCCCATGTAACCGCACTATGGTGTTCACATATAATTCAGCAAGTTGATCCAGACTCCAGTTATTTTTCATTGCTAGAAAATGTGCAGATTTTGTTAATTGATCCACAATGACCCAAATAGCATTCATTCCTTTAGTTGACCTTGGTAGTCCTATGATAAAATCCATTGATATCGAGTCCCATTTCCATTCTGGTACATCCAACGGTTGTACAAACCTGCTGGTCTTTGATGTTCTATCTTAATTCTCTAACACGTCAAACATTTAGCTACAAATTTTGCCACTTCTTGCTTCATGTTACTCCACCAGTACATTTGTTTCAAATCCTTGTACATTTTGTTTCCTCCAGGGTGAATCGAGTATAGTGAACTATGAGCTTCCTCTAAAATCTTCTTTTTCAACATCTCTTCATTGGGAACACATAATCTACCTTGAAACCTTAATGTTCCATCCTCCTGAATTACAAAACCCGGGGATTTCCCACTTCGTACCTCATTCTTTATTCTTTCCAATTGTGATCCTTACTTTGGGCCTCCTTAATTTCATCTATCAATGTCGGTCTTATCTCTAGTGTATTTAGACAAGCATTCCCATCCTTATGAATAAATTCGATTCCCATCCTTTGTAAGTCGTTATAGTTGGCTTGGGAAAAAGGTAAAATTGAACTCAGGCGAGCTTTACGACTTAAGGCATCAGCAACAGCATTAGCTTTGCCAGGATGATATTGGATACTCACATGATAATCTTTTAAGAGTTCCAACCATCTACGTTGTCTCATATTCAGCTCCTTTTGGGTAAAAATATACTTGAGGCTTTTATGGTCAGTAAAAATTTTATATGAAGCACCGTATAAGTAATGTCTCCATAATTTGAGTGCAAAAATTACGGCAGCAAGTTCAAGATCATGAGTGGGGTAATTTTGTTCATGTATTTTGAGCTTGCGAGAAGCATAAGCTATGACTTTATCATTTTGCATCAATACACATCCTAAACCATGCTTGGAGGCATCACTATAAATAAGAAATCCTTCAGTTCCAGATGGAAGGGTGAGAATAGGAGCAGTGGTGAGACGTTTCTTAAGTTCCTGAAATGCAGACTCACAATCTTTATCCCAAATAAACTTGGTATTTTTCCTCACAAGTCGAGTTATAGGTAATGCAACCTTGGAAAAGTCTTTAACAAATCTTCTATAATATCCAGCTAAGCCCATAAAACTTCGTACATCAGGAACGTTGGTTGGTCTAGGCCATTCCACAATTGCTTTTATTTTCTCAGGATCTACAGATATTCCCTTATCAGAAATAATGTGCCCCAAAAATGATATTTCCTTTAGCCAAAACTCGCACTTTGTTAATTTTGCATATAACTGATTCTTGATCAAGGTATCTAGCACTATTCTCAAATGTTCCTCATGTTCCTCATTATTCTTGGAATACACCAAAATGTCATCTATAAAAACAACAACAAACTTATCGAGGTATGGTTTAAAAATCGGTTCATCAAATCCATAAACACCGCTGGTGCATTAGTTAACCCAAATGGCATTACAACAAACTCATAATGACCATATCGCGTTCTAAAGGCAGTTTTTGGAACATCTTCAGATTTAATGCGGAGTTGGTGATATCCAGACCTCAAATCAATCTTTGAGAATACTTTTGCACCTCGAAGTTGGTCAAATAAATCATCAATACGAGGTAAAGGGTATTTGTTCTTGATTGTGATCTTGTTTAGCTCCCTATAATCGACACATAACCTCAAACTTCCATCCTTTTTCTTCACAAACAAGACTGGGGCTCCCCAAGGTGACACACTCGGTCGAATGTATCCTTTCTCAAGCAACTCATCTAATTGTTTCTTTAATTCTTGTAATTCAGTTGGTGCCATCCTATATGGTGCTTTAGAAATAGGAGTCGATCCTGGAATTAACTCGATGGTAAAGTCTAATTCTCTTGGTGGTGGCATGCCAGGTATCTCTTATGGAAAGACTTCTGGGTACTCACAAACTATAGGAATGTTAGTTACTAATGATTCAGATGGGTTTAAGTCAACCACACTACAAAGATAACCACATATCCTCTTATCAATCTGGTGAGCTTTCAAAGCAGAGACTATTTGGATCTTTGGTTTTCTTTCAAACTTTTGATAGGATATCTGTTTCGGGGTTTTCTTTGGGCAAAGGGCTGACCAGCCTCGGCAAGGAATGCAAGTGAACCTTTAATTTCTGGAAGGCGGCCTCAGCATCCGGCCCCCATTCAAACCTTGCCTTTTTCTTAATTGCCTGGAAAAAGTATAGGCATTTGTCGCCTGATCGGCTTAGAAATCTTCCCAAGGCCGCCAGACAACCTGTTAACTTCTGAACCTCTCGGACGGTACGAGGCGACTGCATGTCAATGACCGCCTGTACCTTCTCAGGGTTCGCCTCTATTCCTCTCTGGTTGATAAGGAATCCGAGAAATTTCCCAGACTCAACTCCAAATACACATTTCTTGGGATTGAGCATGACATGGTGCCGCCTGAGTGTGGCGAAAGTTTCTCGGAGGTCCGTCAGATGATCTTTCTGAAGTTTAGTCTTGACAATCATATCATCAATGTATGCCTCGACGTTTCTCCCAATCTGATCAAAGAACACTGTGTTTATCATTCGTTGGAAGGTAGCCGGGGCATTCTTAAGACCAAACGGCATGACCGTGTAACAGTATAATCCCTGATCAGTGACGAAGGCCGTCTTCTCCTGATCTTTCTTCCACAAAGGAATTTGATGAAAACCAGAATAGGCGTCCATAAAACTCATCAAGGCATGGCCGGCTGTTGAGTCGACCAGGTTATCAATTTTAGGCAGAGGGTAACTGTCTTTGGGGCACGCCTTGTTCAAGTCTGTGTAGTCTACACACATTCGCCAGGTGCCATTCGGCTTTTTAACAAGTACCACATTTGCAACCCAATCTGGGAAGTAACATTGCCGAATGAACCCTGCATCAAGTAATTTTTTGACTTCGGCGGCTGCCGCCTGACCTCTTTCTTCACCATGGTTCCGTTTCTTTTGTCGTACCGGCTTCTTTTTCGGATCCACAGCGAGTTTGTGTACTGCCAGATCAGGACTAATGCCTGGCATTTCATGGACTTCAAATGCAAAGATGTCCTTGTATTCTTTCAACAGGTTGTGAAAGTCGTCACCAAGGTTTCTCAGAGCAGTCGTCCCTACTTTGACTGTTCGGTCAGGATTGGAGTCGTCTAATATCAGGTCCTCATGCTCACCAGCCGGCTGAGGGCGGAACTCATCCGGCCGGTCCTCTGCCAATGATTGCTATTTTCTTGCTTTTTTTGCGGACTCAGTCTGGGGTGCCTTTCTCTTTTTGTCGCCTGTTTCTTGAACAGGCGCACTTTCCTTGACATTGTCAAGGTCTGTTTTTTCTCCACTTGACCCAGTGGCCATAACAGTGGGCTTGACATCCGAGAGATAGCACTCTCGGGCCATCCTCTGATCTCCCCTTAGGGAGCCGACTGTTCCATTGTCCCTTTCAAACTTAAGCAGCATAAGTGACGGAATTATAACAGCCTTGGAATTATTCAGGGTTGGTCGACCCAGAATCATGTTGTAGGCCGAGAGTTCCTCTACCACT